GTTGTGACGTCAAACACTACTCCTTTAATGGCCATGTAAATAGGTTGTCCGTCCTGTATATCGGGCGGGGGTATGTTTAAACATTAGTAAACGTGACTTGCAGTTATTTGTTAATAGAAAAGTCAAAAAAGCTGACGTTAGGACTGTTTTTGTGGCAACAACACATACCTCGCTTCCATCGTATCTCTGCAACTCCTCATCCGTAAACAGGCGCACCGGTTTCGATGCGTTTTTTATTTTACTATCATTTGAAGAACAAACATTTAATAACGCGTATATTAAAACACTACGCCAATAAAACATTGTGGACTGTCGTGTTGAGGTTTGAGTTGAGGAACGAGTCTGCGGCTTCAGTTTCCTTGTTGTCACGGGAGCGGCTGCGCGTGTTTCCATTCAGATGCTGATCTCGGATCAGTTTCACAACAAGAGGTGGAAACGCTCCATTTGTCTCGGAACAGGACATGGAATTGGTGCTTTAGGACACAATTTGGTAACGTTTTAATGTGTACGTGTTGGGAATGCGGGAAAATCTAATATATTCTGACTTTAATACAAAACACAAACTTCTGCTTTGGGAATTTTCTAAACTTCCACTAGCGTCAAGTTTCAGTTTCTCCATTCACGTGATGGACCGGAAGTGACGCCCACCACTGCCAATGAAACTCCTCCTTTTTATTTATTTATTTTTTATTAACAATGCTTGAACAGTAACAGAAAGGCATTATTACTTTTTAGAATTACACAAAAGACTGAGATAACAATCTATTTGCATACTTTCCATCTTCATTAATAATATAAAAATAAATAAAATAACATATTAACAAAAAATAAATAAATGATAAAGAAAATTAAGTAGCAAGGGAGAAAAATTTCTCAGAATATGAAACCAAAATCCTCTAATGATGAATATACATTTCTTGCTTTTGAGCGTTTCATCTCTCTTAATGTCTTCAAATAAGTCACAAATTCTTCTTTAAACACCACTAGAATTTTCTAAACTTTACATTTATGAATACATAATTTTAATAATAACAAAAAGTATTCATTATATAAGATATCTTTTTATTTTTAAGGCCAAACTTGATAATTTCCCATGAGAAGAAAAGTCTTATAGATCTATTTTCTGTGGTATAATCTCCTCCTTGAACGCGTTCCTTCTTCCTCAAAATACGATCCAGCCGAATAATGCTGAATCTTTTTTTTTTTTTGGATCGTATCAACAAAAATATTTCACACTACACATCTTTGTTTTGAAATAGGCATGCATCCCTCAAACTGAACCCAGAAATCATTAAAACCTTTACAAATATGTGCAATTCCCAACTGGCATATGTATATGTCATTAATAATTTACTGTTTCTATTAGGCTGTATCACTAATTACCATACTTATCCATTCTTTTTGCCTGTATTTGTTTATTGGAGAAAAACAAGGCATTTATTAAAACAATAAGGCACATTAGTGTCTGATTAAAAACTATGTTTTTTTCAAAATCGACCAGAATAAAAATAACATTTTGATTCACACAAAGTGCGCAGCTATATAAGACAAGTTTATTTATATAGCACATTTTATACACAATGGTAATTCAAAGTGCTTTACATAAATAGGAATAAAAGAAACAAGTGTACAAGAATAAAAACAAAGAATAAAATGATTAAAAACAGATTAAAATGTGTTAAAACAGGTTTTAAAACAATGTAAAAGAAAGGCATAATAGAGGTCACAGAACATTATATTTCACTATATGCATAAGACAGGGGATTTTAAACTTTGGCCTGGTGACATTAAATAACACATTGTTTCAATAATAAAATAAAAACACATTTAAAAAGATAATTAAATATTTTGGATAAACATGTTAGTATAAATGTTCTAAAATAAACAATTAATGTATAGTAATTATAATTCAAATAAATAAATTATCAAGCATTTTACTAAACAAACTGCAAAATGAGTAAACTAATGTTTATAGCCTAAATAAAAAAAATACAGTACTAATATGATTATAAATAATTTCCAAATAATCTTTTGAACCATTTATATTGTATACTTTATAACATCTATTTTTTTATGTTTAGCACTAAAATACTAAGAAAAAGAACTTCTGAGAAGCTCAGGGTTTGTGAAAGAACTGGAGGGGGGTTTCGAGTTTAAAAGTTACTTGATTTCATCTCAACTGAAACAAAACTCTTGAACGCTGTAAGAGATTAAATGTTTTGTTTACCTGAAGGTCATGCGAGCATCAAAGAGCAAAGTTGCTTTGTGCATTATGCAAATGTGTTGTTTTTGAATTTTGGAAATCCCTATATTACATTACCAACATTTAACAAACAAAAACATGACATTATGGCCAAAGTCTTTCAGTTTTGAAATATTTTGTCAAGATTTTTAGATTCCATAATTAGTCACAATGATGAAGAAATAGTGTTTTACAAATCAGAATAGGCAATCACATCATAATCAATAAACTATTCAACTAATCTGAATACATGTACAGTATTTTAAAATGTCAACTAAATACAAGCACTTAATGTTTGGGATCTGATTACATAATCCTCATTATGTGAATCATGGTTATTTAAACGCCCATGGCATGTAAAGACAAACAAAAACATATCTTAAGATATATATATATATATATATATATATATATATATATATATATATATATATATATATATATATATATATTAGGGATGTAACGGTATCAGAATTTCCGAACGGTATCAAACTAATGATAATGAAAAGACTCGAAAAAAAAGTGCTAAAGGTGTTTATTCACATTAGCACTGAACATATCAATGACATACAATTTAGTCATCTATCTGTAAGTTTAGAATCAGGAACTTAAATTTTTCAATTTTAATAACAAAAAACTATTAAACCATATAAAAAAATAAAGTTTCAATTTAGTATTGTTGAAGACTCATCACCTTCAACATTTAATCACTCATTTAGATAGAGATGTTTTTTTAAGGAAAATTATCATATAACTATGATCTGGTAAAAGCTAGGATCTCTGGGCATGTCCCCTGCAACAGAAAAAACCCTCTCATTTGGGACTGAGGTTTCTGGGACAGAGATATGATTTAGCCAAGGTTGACAGCAGTGGGGTAACGTTGTGCATTGTCTTTCCACCACTTGAGAGGACAATCCATGGGTGAGACAGAGGCCTCTTTGCTGTACAAGTCAATGTCTGCATCAATCTAACAAGTGTGCTGTGTTCTGCTGTCCCCATGACTGTTTTTAGTCGTATTCCCCGACTTATATTTCACTCCAGTCTGGCAGTGCCTGCATATAGTTTTTTTCTTTGTCTGTCACCTTTTCTCCTTTTTCGTATCTTTTTAGAAAGAAACCGAAATGCTTCCACACATCCGATTTAAAACCCGCTTTAGGTTTGATCATTTCCAGCTCTTTTTCTTCCCCGCTACTAGCAACACACTCCATTTCCGCATTACTGGATCTGTAGTGACAACAGACCGCAAAGGATGATGGCCACGTCTAGGCTGATGGCAATTGTAGTTCCCGCTACCTCCTGTTCGCTTCATTCGCCTAAGCAAACTTTTCTCAGAAATATAGTTTTATTGAGTCATGCGCCTACGGTAATATTGAAAAAAATTACTATTGCGGTATGACGGTATTTACAATATTGTTACATCCCTATATATATAGTTGAAGTCAGAATTGTTAACCCCGCCGCCTTTTGAATTTTTTTTACTTTTTTAAATATTTACCGAATTATGTTTAACAGAGCAAGGAAATTTTCACAGTAGGTCTGATGATATTTTTTCTTCTTTGTTTTATTTTGGTTAGAATAAAAACAGTTTATAATAAAAAAAATAATAATAATTTTTGGGAGAAAATTATTAGCCCCTTTACGCTAATTTTTTTTCGATAGTCTACAGAACAAACCATCGTTATACAATAACCTAATTAACCTAGTTAAGCCTTCAAACCTCACTTTAAGCAGTATAGAAGTGTCTTGAAAAATATCTAGTAAAATATATATATATATATATATATATATATATATATATATATATATAAATATATATAATTATAAAGCATCTTGTTAACAAATATGTGAATGTGTAGGGAATTATGTGAGGTGATGATGAAATTCCACCACTTGATTATTCACTGAATTTCTAATCACTTTAAGCCTCCAGTCATCTAATAATGTTAAACTACATATAATGCTACATATTTTCATTTTAAAATCATTGCCTAAATATAAATCAGTTTCCCAAATAAATGATCTACTTACAGTCATACTTTAAACCATTTGCTAAATAATTTTCAGATCATTTATCCTTAAAAAAGTTTTGTCACAAATTATGTTACAATTGAAGAGTTTCATTTAAGATATTACTTTTTTATATTTTGCATGGAAAAGTGCATTAAAAAACATGATTTATGGAGATGAAAACTCTTCTTAGTAAATTTTCACTCATTTGGAAGTTTTGTTTTTCCAAATGAACTATTTAAGTTTGTCTCTTTAAATATTTTGTTGCTATTATTATTTTTATTTACTTAAAAAAGAAAGATTTTGGGGTGACAGTGGCTCAGTGGTTGGCACTGTCACCACACAGCAAGAGGGTTGAGTTTGAGTCCCGGCTGGGTCAGTTGGCATTTCTGTCTGGAGTTTGCATGTTCTCCCCATGTTGGTTTCTGAGTGCTCCGGTGTACCCCTCAGTCCAAAGGCGTGCTATATGTGAATTAAATAAATTAAATTGGCCGTAGTGTATGTGTGTGAATGTGAGAGTGTAGATGTTTCCCAGTACTGGGTTGCAGCTGGAAGGACATCCACTGCGTAAAACATAAGCTGGATAAGTTGGCAGTTCATTTCACTGCATGTAGCAACCCCTGATAAATTATTATTATTATTATTTTGTTTTAGAAAAATAAATGAAAAAAAAATATGGAAAAGAGCAAAATATTTGAGGATAGGACATTCATATTTAGACAACTGTCAATTGAAGAAAATATTGATTTTAAAACAAAGTAAATGGTTTAATGTTTTAATTGTTAACACTTACTTTAACCTGGAAAATCATTTGATTCATTTAATTAGCTAGAAACTTCAGTGACGTTGATTAAAGTTTCAATTTCATCCAAATTTTCTACAGGTTAAGTCATTATATAAAAAAAAAATCTGTCAATCAATTCATATAATAAGTGTGGCTTGATTTTTAGTAATTTCAAATCGCTTAACAAAACATTTTAAATTAACTGGCTGAAACAATATCCATCTATTTGTAATGTTTCCTCAAATTGTTATTTCGCAGATTGGTGGTCTTCCCTTCCTTCTAATGTGTAGTTATGAACAAATAAATCCAAACTCCCAATTAAACTTTCTCATTTTCATCAACAGACTCTCTTAGCATGGACATTAATCTATAAACATTTTTTGCCACATAAACGTTTCATAGGGAACAATAAGGACATTCAATTAAGAACAAATTATTATATCATTGTTAGTGGTTCAGTAATAATATAGTTTTGGTGCAACAGCTGTTCAGTAGTCAAGTACATTTGCTTACTGAGAGTTTCTTTCCAAATACCAGATACCTGTAACTCCAAAAGAATGTGCAGTGGTGATGGGAGCCATTTCATCTGGCTTATATATACTTCTGAGGAACTGTGGATGTTCCCCAACAGTTACGGCATCTTCCTTTAATCCCTGTGACACTCCTGTCGGTCTAACTTGTTTTTTGGAAGAAATAAACAAAATCACAAAATAAGATTACTATTTCTTAAGAATCCAACTTCTACATGTGGTGTAGAAGTTGGATTCTCAAGAAATAGTGATCTTATTTTGTGATTCTTTTTATTATTACTATAATACGTACTATAAGATGCACGGTATTGTCTTTTGGAAAAACCTTTTTGATAATCTTAACTAGGCGAAAATCTGGGCACTACAACAAAAAAGCTCTCACAAATAAGGTAAAATAGATTTCTTTTAAACTGATCCATGAGTTTTATCCTCTCAAAAAATGTATCCCAAAGTTTAGTTGACACTGACTTTGAGTTGTTATTTTTATGTGAACGCTAACAAAACGGTGATGCATTTGTTTTGGTCATGTCATTACATTCAGGAGTTTTGGAATAGTATAGAGTTGTTTGTTAGGGTGAAGATTTTACAAGTGAAAATGATTAAATATTTTGTGCATTTTAACTCAGACCCCACAAAAGAAAAAAAAATACATTTAATTATTTTCCTTAGTAGATTTCACATTCACAAATGCAAATTTTCAAACAATAAACCTGTCTTTGTGGTCTTCATTGAAGATATGGTGAACTAAAGCTGATTTAAAAAGTAAGCTTTAAAAACTGTCTGCTTTTAAGATCTTTGTATAAGTAATCTTAAATGAACCCTTGTATTTGTAAAAACCTTTAATGTTTTTTCCTCTTTCTCTCTTCTCTTTATTGCTTTATTTCCTATTATGTTATTTTTTACCCATTGTTCCATATGTACTGTACTTTTTGCCAATTTCACTTGTTGACTGATATTGTAGTCAGGGGTGGATTTAGTAATTTTGGGGCCCTAAACAATTCTAGCCAAGGGGCCCAAAAGATCTAAAATGCACCTTTTTGTTCTTAAACAGTTATTATTATTATTATTATAATTATTGTTTGTATTTTGCTGTTTTTTTTCTTGTATCATTCAATCTCATTTTCTACATTTTATCTTAAGGCAAAATAATAATAACAACATAAACGCCTTGTAAAACTTTTGAAATTATTTGTTTTCTTAAGATAAATTCATAACTAAACATAATAAATGAACTATTTCATTTTAACACTAATCTTTACTGATTTGACTCCTGGACATGTCCATGATTGAAGGTAGGGGACACATTTGCCCAGATGTAATAATTACGTTAAAATTTGAATTTTAAGACTCTCACTGTAAAAAATGTCATAAAAAAGTATGTTATATATAATTTATAGTATTATTTACACTTCTAGGTATTTATTTTGGGCCCTCAGATTTCCTGGGGCCCCAAGGGGTCGCTTACCTTGCTTATTGGTTAAATCCGCCTCTGATTGTAATTTTTGTTTTATGTACTGTTGTGTATGTTCCTGGATCCAGCAATTAAAATAATCTACAGGTTAAACAATTCCTTTGAACACCGAAAATGAACTACATCTTCTTCTTTCTTGATTTAAAGAGCCCATATTATGGGTTTTTGAAAATTCCCCTCCATGTAGTGTGTAACACAGCTCTAAGTGAAGTGAAGTATCCAGCTAAGGCTTAAATCTGTAAGAATACAGTGTTTAAAACTGTTGATTCATCTATAAAAGAGTCGACTCATAGTGCTTCAAACGAGTCGCCTTGATACCGATTCATTAGGTGTTTCGCCATGACGTACGAACGAAACCAAGTTATTCACGTGCACGCGCAAACCCGGGAGATTTCAAACCTGAGGCCCCGCCCTCTGACGCAGAAACCCAGACACACACACACACACACCCACAAACATGCCGGTCTATTGAAGTCACACTGCAGATGGATATATTGAGTCTCTACCCAAAGATGAAACATCAGCATTATAACCAAGCAGTTGGAAACTACTGGAAACTTCTGGAAGCTACATGCTACAAAGAATACTTCATCTGAGTTTGTTAAAGGAAGGGTCAGTAAAGAGTAACTTACTGATGGACGTCAGGATGGGTTTCTTCCTACCTTTCCCAAGTGTAAGTACGTGCGGTTAAAGTTGTTGCCTCGTTGACTCTAGCTTGCAAATGTATTTAGTTGTGATTTGTTACTTGTAACCGCGTGTACTGTATCAGGTTAACTGGCTATATTCTCTTATCGCGTGCAAAGTCACGTTAAAAACGCGACGCGTGCTGCGTGGTGTATGGAGCTCCATGGTAGAGTTCTGCATTCCCGCGGCTGTCCGAATAAATCGCGGGAGCGGTCGGTAACGGGTTTAATTTGGGACGGGAGCGGGCTGTCTAGCAATATCACGGATATTGTATTGCGAATGAGAAAGAGAGAGTCTGCTTGGTGCTTGTGTGTGTGTTATTGCGCACGCGCGCGTATGAGAGAGAGAGAGCGAGCGAGAGCGAGCTTTGTGTGCTTGGTGCTGTGTGTGTGTTTATACAGACAGCTTGGCTGTCTGGACTGTATAGCTGGGTGATTTTTGGTTGTGTTCTCCCCCGCTCTACCGGGATCGGGCATGGCGGGCAGAAAACGGAGTGGGTTCTCAGGCTAAAACCTGGCAGGTGCGGGCGGAAGTGGGAGCGTTGTCGTCCGGAGGTGTGTGTGTGTGTTTTTGTGTGTGTGTGTGGCAGCTAAAATCCACGCCTACACTATCGAGCGTGTATGAACTGTGATTACTTTTTATATTGCTGATTAGCTATTGGCCATTTCACTCTCTAACTGAAGGCAGTCGACCAATCGCGACAGACTGTCATCGGTCCAATCAGCGCAGATTAGCTTCGCGCTAAGGAGGGGTTTGGGAACAAATGAATCACTGGACGATTCATACGGGAGTCACTGGGATAATTAGGTAAAAATAAATGCAGATTATAAGACCATGAAAGTGTTTTTTGACCTTGCATGCATATTAGACTGTTGTTGGAGACCCTTACAACCAAGATATGACCCTATTTCATGTATAATATGGGCTCTTTAATGGCGGATGGCAAGCAACTTGTTAAGATGCATACTTCCACCTACGGTACCGGGATGTGCAACTTTACGGGTTAAAGTACATTTAATTAAAAAATATATAATAATAATAATAATAAAAACTATTTAATATCCTATTCGATGTATAAATTAGAATAAGAATGGAGCCTGAAAGAATTATTAGGGGAAGTTGGGAAAATGTGGGAAATTAGCAAGGCTATTTTCAAGGCTATTCCTGTATATCTAAGAAAGTTTGAATAGCCTTGCTAATTTCACACATTTTCCCAACCTTTCCCAAAAATCCTTTCAAGCTCCATTCTTGTTCTAATTTATACATTGTTTCCTTCAAGACTTTCTGTTTAATATTTTTTTTTACATTTTCTGTTATATGACACTTATCACATTTAACTGATAAATTTTTCCCCATTAAAGCAAGGGTGGATTTTGAACCAGTATGTCCTAATGCTTGTCTAGTTATTATTACTTCTTCTTTTCTGCATTTGCCTTTATAAATATTAGTATTGATTGATTTTTTGAAAATGGACCACAAATGACTACAGATAGACAAAGTTCAGCAAAGGGGCGTGTTTAGTGTATACAACCAATGAGCTGCTCTGCTGCAGAGTGATGTGAATGCTATTGGTCCGCGCCAGCGTCAGTCATTCAAAGACATAACAGTCGGTCACGCGCTTCAAGGCTGAACGAAAAATTCGAAGATGAATGACAACGATAAATGTACTTTGAAGTTAACTAAACACACCACTAACCACGCGTTACTCTCACTTTAAAACAATTTCCCAGAACAGCGTGTTTTAGTTTGTTCATACAAATAACATTGTCCCCCAATAACAAAAGATAAACGCTTATGTACGGCAAATTGACGTGAATCTTCAGAGAAAACTAGACGATAACAAAACCCAACTACTCTACGGAAGACATAAGTAAACTTTTACTTTACAGAAGCCCTCCCCGAGCTCCTGTGATGTCACGCCTGGCATGTGTTTTTCTGGCTATTGGCTGTGCCTCCCGCGAGCTTCTCAAGACACCGCTAGAAATGTGTCTCAAAGTCGGGATCTACTTCTGAAAGTTGATGGCAAACTTTAAACACCGCAGATATTCGGAGGTGAAGCACGATGCTGAGAAGAGACACATCGCGCTCTTATCAGGAGGTAATGAGCTTCCAAATGCGGTTATTAACGTTAGGTCCTACAGGGCTTTATTCATCCGGTCATGTGATCATAACAGCTGACCGCTTCTCTTACTCATGCAAAATTCAAATAACCGTATGAATATATTGTTTTTAATTGTCACTTGCTGCATTGTAGTTCAATGGAGAAGAGCGTCCTGAGACAGTAGAGTCCATTCGGGACAATGGTGTTTCTGAAGTGGAGCAAGATGATGAAGCCTGCGATCCTTTACCAGGTCAGTACTTTTCTGTCTGGTTCTGAATGTCAATAGAGATATTTTAGTATTCACTCACACACACACACACATATATATATATATATATATATATATATATATATATATATATATATATATATATATATATATATATATATATATATATAGTTGAATATGTTTATCATTGATTTATATACATAATCAATAATTGGATTATTATCTTCAGACGGTAATTTGACAGGATTTTATTGTTGCTGAAATAAAAGAAAATGTAATCATAATCTTAAGGTAAACTATTTTCAGATACAGTAATCTTATCTATCTATCTATCTATCTATCTATCTATCTATCTATCTATCTATCTATCTATCTATCTATCTATCTATCTATCTATCTATCTATCTATCTATCTATCTATCTATCTATCTATCTATCTAACATTGATTTATTAATTATGCTATAATTAGTTTAGGTGATGTAAATATATTTATTTATTTATTAAACTTTTACCGTCTTGAGATAAATAATCATAATTTAGTATAACCACTGAACCAATAAAAGTGTCCCTTCTCAGTACACAGTTAAAGACAGGACCCTATGCTAGATGTCTAAAATAACAGTTCGTCTTCCTATATCCAAAGAGATGAATGAAACTGTACTGAAGAAAATCCAGAGGCAACAAATAAAAACCACAAAAAAAAAAAAAAAAAAAAACGTTTCACAATTTTTGTGGCCTTTGATGAAGCATTTAAAAGACTGAAGTGTGCAGATTCTCATTCCTGTTGTTTTCCTTCTCAATACATTACATTTTAAATGAACAAACAAACTGAATTGTCCCAAAAAGTAAATTTAAATAATATGTAAATACTTAACAATATGTAAATAAAAAATAATCAAAACAAAAAAAAAGTTTATTCCCCGTTGTTTTCCTAAGATGTGTGTGTTTGTGTGAAAATAATTAGGAGATAGCTTAAAAATTCACAGTTTATGGATAAATCTTTCTGGATTTAGTTGTGGGTTTGGGTAAAATTAAAATATATGTTTTTATTTCATAATATGTTTTGTTATTTTCCATGATGCTTTGAGAACATTTCTTTTGCATATAAAATTTGTCTAAATTTAAATTTAAGTCAGCGGCAATAGCCTAGTGGGTAAGTGAGCGGACATATAGCACCACAGTGCTTACGGCGACCCGAGTTTGATTCCCAGCTCGAGGTCCTTTGCCAACTCTTCCCCTCTCTCTGCTCCCAATATTGTCCTGTCTGTAATCTCCATTGTCATATCCCCTCAAAATATTTATATATATATATAAGATTAATAATAAAAAAAACATGGACCCTTTTCAAATTTCCGGAATTCTCAGTAGTAGAAGGCAGCCTAGTTGGGTAAACTTAAGAGTGCAGTGAATGGGAGAGTACAACAAATCATTTTTATACTATCCTATTTTAATAATACAAGAAAAACACCACAATGGTGTTATCAAGACTTTCAGAAAAAGAAAAAAAAATGAGTGAGATTAATAACAGTAGCCAGAAGAGAGATTAACGTCTGTCCATAGATGCTGCATTAGAAACACCTCACATAAGCGGCAATTTGTTTATCATGATTGAATGCAAAGATGATATATTACATTCATTCATAAATGCATTTAAATTTACATTTTCAAAATCTAAATATTAAGAACTTTCAAGGATTTAATTAAGATGCTGATGACTAGGGTTGTCACAATACTGGAATTCGATACCAATCAAATCTGAAATTTTAAAGACATGCATGTCCTGCGAACATGTGATTGGCTGTGAAGGTCATTAGTTCACTGAAATCCCAGCTGTTGACTAAGTGTAACCCCAGATACAGGGACACTGGAGCGTTTTAAAGTCACTTTGATCAGATGGTTTGTCTATTAGCTGACATCCGAGCGATCCACTGATAAATCGCTATATAAATTTAAACACATATATATATATATATATATATATTCACACACACACACACACAGTTGAAGCCAGAATTATTAGCCCCCCTGTTTATTTTTCCCCCCCAATTTCGGTTTAACGGAGAGAAGATTTCTTTAACACATTTCTAAACATGATAGTCACTCATTTCTTATGACTGATCTATTTTATCTTTGCCATGATGACAGTAAATAATATTTCATTTGATATTTTTCAAGACACTTCTATACAGCTTAAAGTGACATTTAAAGGCTTCACTAGGTTAATAAGGTTAACATGGCAGGTTAGGGTAATTAGGCAAGTTATTGTATAATGATGATTTGTTCTGTAGACTATCGGAAAACCTATGTAGCTTAAAGGGGCTAATAATTTTGACCGTTAAAATGGTTTTTAATATATTAAAAACGTGTTTTATTCTAGCAAAAATTAAACAAATAGGACTTTCTCCAGAAAAAAAAATATTATCAGACATACTGTGAAAATTTCCTTGCTCTGTCAAACTTAATTTGGAAAATATTTAAAAAGAAAAAAAAATTCAAAGAGAAATAGATTATAAAATAAGGAAACAGTGGATGTAGTAAGGTAGGAATTTTATTAAGACAGATCTGGAAAATGGGTTTTAGAAGAGTTATTAAAAACACACCTCCTGCTCACCATTTCTGTTTGATGTCAAAACTGACAGTTAAAGGGTTGTGGTTAAGTATGTTAGCCACACCCAATACCTCAGACAGACATAATCTCAGAATTTCACTGAAAACAAACAGGAAGCGCATTTTCAGATTTTAAGTTTAGATTAGAAGAGCACCCAATGTTTTCTTAATGACATTTACAAATGAAATGTTCACCACAAAACGAGCAATGTGAACTAAAAGAAATCAATATGGTTAGTTTTGATTACATGTGTACTTTAAAATGTATTCATTGTGTCCTTATCGAACAGATAGCTTAAAATGAACTTTTATTATATATTGCAGATGAGGACAATGTGGATAGCAATCTAATGCCCATTGGCTTCAACAAAGCTTGCCTGAAGAATGTTTTCACAGTAATCCTTGTCCTCATTTACTTGGCGCTCACGGCGGTGGCTGTGTTCTTGGCCTACCAAACCATTTCAGACTTCATGGACAAACTCAACCACCCAGTGATGTCCGTTTCATACAAAGAGGTTGAAGAGTTTGCTGCACCAGGTGAGTGTTTCTATTTATATGTTTAGTTCACCTCAAAAAATAACCTTTGTTCATCTTCAGAACACAGATTAAGCTATTTTAGATGAAGCGTCCTCATCCTCTATAGGCAGCAAGTGTCTTGAGGTGTTCAATAGAGCACCTTTGGGATGTGGTGGAACAGGAGATTCGCATCATGGACAAATCTGCCGCAACTTCGTGATGCTATCATGTCAATATGGACCGAAATCTCTAAGGAATATTTCCAGTACCTTGTTGAATCTATGCCACGAAGGATTAAGGCAGTTGTGGGGGCAAAAGGGTTCCAAGCTGGTACTAGTAAGGTGTACCTAATAAAGTGGCCAGTGAGTGCAATCTTTTAAAGTATGTTTGATCATTCTTTTGTTTGCAGGAATTGTTTTATTTCCTGGAAAGGCACATTTATTAAGCTGCATGCATCACTATCACGACAACATTCCACCTCTTGTTGCATTGGAAAATCTTGCGAAAAGAGAGTGTATGAAAGAGGAAGTCATCTACCATGGGCCGTATTCAAACCAGACAGAAGTATGTTTTTTAGATCGGAAGTTTTTCTAAAGAAATGGTACTATTATTAATCTTTTTTATGTAACATTTCTCTTTTTTTGGCAACAGAAGCGAGCTTTGGTGTTCAGAGGGCCGACTGACGTGAGGAACCGAGAGCTTATATTCCTTCAGCTTAGCCGAAACGAAACAGAAGAGGATTTCAGCGCAATCAGCTATATGATTTTTGCTAAATTCAGTGACATGCTTGAAAGGTAGATCCTAGATAGGAATGTTTACCATGAATTGGGTTTGTTTTACTGTTTGAATAAATTGTACTTTTTATTTCTAACCAGCTCAGATAAAGCTGCATTTATGATGGACTGTGAAAGGAACTACTCGATGTGGACCTTCTCTGGAGGCTTTAGGACGTGGGTCAAAATGTCTTTAGTCAGGACTTCAGGCAGAAGAAATGAATCAGTAGAATTTAGACAGGAGGTAATGAATATTTAATATTGTTTTTTTTTTTTTTGTTAACTTCAGCATAGTAATATAATAATTAGGGTCATAACAAACATGGAAAACAAAGAGATTGTATTTTTTTACAACATTCACATCAGTGGGCTGATATCTTAACATATCATCAGTGCAGAGCTCATTCATATTCACAATCGTTCCAAATATGGTCAAAACCAACCATGTCATATTAGAGCCAATCACTAGGGTTGGAAATAAATCTGTAAAGTTTGGGAACAATCTAAAGCCACATACTTTTAAACTGCGGCATCTATAAAGTGCCAAATGCTAAAATGCATAATATATGGTTATTGTGGAAGCATATTTGTGTGACAGAATAGGAATAATGAAAAATTTTAGTTTATATAGTATAATTATAAAAAATAGTATATATTTCACTATTAATACTTTTCACCATTTTCAGGATTTCAAGATTGCGAGATATATATACTCACCGTCCACTTTATTAGGCACAGCTTACTAGTACCGGGTTGGACCCCTTTTTGCCCTCAGAACTGCTTTAATCCTTTGGGGCATAGATTCAGCAAGGCACTGGAAATATTTCTCAGAGATTTTGGTCCAAATTGACAAGATAGCACCATGCAGTTGCTGCAGATTTGTCGGCTGCAAATCCATAATGCAAATCTTCCATTCCACCATATACCAAAGGTGCTCTATTGGATTGAGAGCTCTGGTGACTGTGGAGGCCATTTGAGTACAGTGAACTCATTGTCATGTGCAAGAAACCAGTCTGAGATGATTCGCACTTTGTGACATGGTGCGTTATCCTGCTGCAAGTAGCCATCAGAAGATGGGTACACTGTGGTCATAAAGGGATGGACATGATGAGCAGCAATACTCAGGCTGTGGTGCTGACATAATGCTCAATTGGTAGTAATAGGTCCAAAGTGTGCCAAGAAAATATCCCCAACACCATTACACCACCAGCAGCAGCCTGAACCATTGATTCTAGGCAGGATGGATCCATGCTTTCATGTTGTTGACGCCAAATTCTGACCCTACCATCCGAATGTCACAGCAGAAATCAAGACCCATCAGACCAGGCAACGTTTTTCCAATCTTCTATTGTCCAGTTTTGATGAGCCTGTGCCAATTGTAGCCTCAGTTTCCTGTTCTTAGCTGACAGGAGCGGCACCAGGTGTGGTCTTCTGCTGCTGTAGCCCATCTGTCTCAAGTTTGGACGTGTTGTGCGTTCAGAGATGCTCTTCTGCATTTCAGTTGTAACGAGTGGTTATTTGACTTACTGCTGCCTTTCTATCAGCTCTAACCAGTTTGAGCATTCTTATTTGACCTCTGGCATCAACAAGGCATTTGCGCCCACAGAACTGTCTCTCACTAGATATTCGTGTGTTATGCTTGAAAATCCTAGTAGATCAGCAGTTTCTGAAATACTCAGACCAGCCCATCTGGCACCAGCAACCATGCCTTGTTCAAAGTCACTTAAATTAGCTTTCATCGCCATTCTGATGCTCTGTTTGAACTGCATCAGATCGTTTTGACCTTGTCTACAAGTCCAAATGCATTGAGTTGCTGCCATATGGTTGGCTGATCACAAATTTGCGTAAATGAGGTGTACCTAATAAAGTGGAAGGTGAGTGTATGTATGTATATATATATATATATATATATATATATTATATATGTATATGCATATGTATGTGTATGTGTGTGTGTGTGTGTGTGTGTGTATATATATATATATATATATATATATATATATATATATATATATATATATATACTTTTTTATTAATAGAATCAATAAAAAAGTGTGTGTGTATATATGTATATATATATGTATATATATATATACACACATATACACACTGCACATATATATATATATATATATATATATATATATATATATATATATATATATATATATATATATATATATTATATATGTATATGTATGTGTATGTGTGTGTGTGTGTGTGTGTGTGTATATATATATATATATATATATATATACTTTTTTATTAATAGAATCAATAAAAAAGTGTGTGTGTATATATGTATATATATACATATATATATATACACTAGAAGTTACAAATGCATAACTTTTTAACATCCCAAAATGAAAAGACTGAATTTTGAGGTATAAACTCTGTTGTAATTTTGTAAACTCAGAATTTGTAGAGTAAAGAAGTTCAGAACTGTGTGATATAAACAGACAATTCTGACAGTTAAAAAAGCCAGTGTTGTGAGATGTAAACATAGCCTAATTAGATAAAAGGCAACATTTTGAGAGGGAAAAAAATGTCAATCACAACCCCGCAATTGTGTGAGGGAAAAAAAAACTGTGAGATAAAAATAAGCACTATATTTTTTAAATCCATATTCTGTTTTATTTTTACCCGACATGTTAATTCTAGTCTAGTGTGGTGAAGTACATTGACAAAAGGCCTCCACTGGAGCAAACCAACGAGCTTTTCTTCATCGTGTTCCAATGGCGGGATCCATTTATACAGCAAGTTAAAGACGTAAGTGAACACGCCTTCAAATATTCAATTAATACTTCAGATGCTTTGTAGACTGTCTAATTAAGTATACTTATATCTTCTTTTTAACAGATAGTGACAGCAAACCCGTGGAACACCATTGCCATTTTGTGTGGCGTCTTCATGGCCCTGTTTAAAGCAGCAGACTTTGCCAAACTCAGCATTAAGTGGATGATCCGAATCCGCAAAAGACACAAAAGGGCAAAAATGAGAGAAATGAACCAAATCAGCTAAAACCGGACAACATTACACATCTGGAGATTTTAATTAGGACCATTGGGACTCCTGAACTGCTGAACCATTTCAGATATACATTTTCTTAATGAATGTATTGCGTTTTAACTGGAGTGATTTTAATATTGTACAGTATTGTACAAACTCTGAGGCACATGATCAACAGTACAAGAGCAAAGTTTAATTATTAACTTCACACATTTGACAAGGTCCTTTGGTTATGTTGCATTTCTCGACCATCAATAAGTAACTCTTTTGCAATGTTGTCTTGTTTTCTTAATGCTGAGGATTACTCTTCACTGTTGCTGTTTTCTATTAACATTTCCATAAACATCAACTTGAGATGTGTTTTTTAATTCCAAACCTATGAAATTATTTCAGTGATTTAAAAATGTTTTGAAAACATTTGTTATTTAGCAATCATATTTGTAAGGGGCAGTTTGTGTGTTGTTACTGTGCCGTTTAACAATTAAATGACTGTCTGGCGTGTGTATTTTCAGATTGTGTAAATACATCTTTTCATGTAGTTTTTAATGAACATTAACCATTTATATTTATTAAAACCACTTTAATCATATAAATATTACGATTGACGCAGCCTCTATGATTAAAAAGTATTGATATTTAAACAATCCAATATCTCAAGCACAAGTAGGCCTATTACATTCTTTAGCCTACTCTTTTTAAAGAAACCCAGCTAACAAAATGTTTTTTTTTTCTCTCGTTGGGAACGTTTTCTTCATGTAAACAGACCATTCCCTCTGGGTTAAAAAAACATTCCTGGAACATTCTCACACAGTTTCTGTGTTTGCTGGAAAGTTAATGTGAAGTATAACTTTGGCTGTATTACACACAAGGTGTGCTCTCATAATTTGAAACAATATGTTTCCCCCAGTAATCCTTTGTTCTGATGATTTTATTGATTTATTGATCTTGTTGCGTTTTTATTTAAAATAATGTAGACCGTTAGCACGGGACTTTTACTTTAAAGTTTTGGCGGCCATTTTTGAACTACGCGATTTGTTTCCTTGTTCACGGTGGCAAGGCACTCATAACGTTACTAAGAAGCGAGGAATATGAATAGAAATTGTGTTTTTTCGTGGAAATCTGAGAAATTCAATCTCCGCGTGAATTGAGAGGTATAAAGTAAATATTTTTTTCAAATCCATAAGTTTTGCCACTTTCGTAATCCTAATGTGTGTTAACATTAGCCTGAATGCTAAACATCTGCACATTGAGCAACGCCGCTGCACGTTTGAAATATTGCGCCCATTTATTTTTATAACAGTCTAGCTTTCTTAAAGTTTACACTAGTATGTTGTCAAGTGATGTTTGCAGAATTATTTTCAGATGCATTAACCAAATAACGAATACAGGCAACAAACATGTCTTAACAGGAAAGAGATAATGTTACACATACTAATAATAAGACTGCTTGCCTTTTTAGTATTACATACGTTACTTTTTATAAGATTTCATTTTTGAATTGATAAGACATGCCAAAAAAAGTAAAAAAAAAAAAAAAAAAAAAAAAAACATGTTGTACACAAACTCAAAAGTGCACACCCTCATAACTTTGAGGCTCCTAACGTTAGAAGCCCATTTCAATGTGTATTGTGATTAGTTTTTTCTTATAAGAAAACATCGCACTAACACGAAAATCATCACATAAACAAAAGTGTCTTAAGACTATAGTTGATTTAGTTTTAGGCTTGTTATGTTAAAAAAATCACGTTTAAACAGCCAAATTAGTTTACATGTACAACCATAAACAGCACGTTGTCCTTGAGCGCCAAAACTTCTCTCATAAATGTTTGCAACTTTACAAACCAAACAATGATCCAAAACACAACTTGGCACACAAAATACATTGAGGTAAAGTTGGTTTCATATTCGCACATTTGTTTAGTGACAAATCCCTATGTTGTTTAACCATGGTACTCTGAATATTCGAGATGAAATCACATAAATGACTTCAAAACAACATTACCACTATTTAATTGACTGTGAACAATGGTGTACTTTGATAGTCATTGGCCGCTAATATGATTTCACTATTAGGAATCTGCAAGGAATACTTATATGAAACTATTATTAAGGGGAAAGTCTGAATGTGTGAATATAAAACCAGAATCCCACAGGGTTACGTTAGGGGGAAAGTTGGTTTTATATTTGTACATTCAGACTTTCTCTTTAATTGTATAATTTCAGAAAAATATTATTTTCAAATTCTAAATAGGGAAATCGTATTATCAGTCAAAGTAAAACGTTGTTCACAGTCAGTAAAATTGAGCTAATGTTATTTTAAATTCATATTTACATGCCATTTCAGGCCAAAATATTAAAAGTAGCATAATAAACATTTTAAATACATTATACACCTGTTACATGTTGTCACTGTTCCAAAATGGAGGAATGTTCAAATATTAAGCCAGCTGTACTTCAATCAGGCATACTACTTTTACCAAAAGCTATGCCCCCATATTAGATACCAGTCATACTCTCTTGAACATGCTCATGATGATTGACTTTATTGACAGAACAGTAAGTCATCCCTGTGGGTACTTATGTAAAATTTAAGAGTTGAAGTTGCTCAAATGTAGTATATCTTTCAATTGAAATAATCAGATATGTTTTGTTCCCAATTAGACATGGGCTGGTTTCTGACGGTATGATAACTTTGGAAAAACGGTTTCACTGTTTTACAGTATTGTTAGCTGCTGTAAAATAATTTTTAAATGTCTTAATAAAAAACAACAACTGCTTTCCTCATTTAACACAATATATAACATTTTAGGAAACATTTACAGTATTTTGAAACAGTAAACATGCCAGGGCTACATAATTAAAATAAACCATTGACTTCTGCTCTCTTCATGAGCTTTAAAAACACAGATTTCCCTTACAACATATAAAAAACATTTAAAAAAAACTCTACATATACCTTAGAAATGCTATAACAAAACATTATTGTCGTTTTAATATTCTGACTTCTCCAAACCCCACTAAACCTTGAAACCGGTCATCGTCCCATGCCTACTCCCAATATTTTGTTTGACAAAAGGACAATTTGAGTATTTGTTTAGATCTGTCCTGTATGCCTCAGAGGCAGATCCTACAAGGTGTTTTTGCATTGTACTGAAACTGCTCTGCTGTTTTATTTTATTTTAAGATGTGTTAATTGTGCAATAGGTCATTTTCTTCTGAATTTTTTTTTGTTGTTCTCGTTGTAAGTCTCTTCACATCCTGATGGCAATGTGTGGCTATTTTTTACAACTAAAAATTACACTTTTACAGCTACTTGGGAGTTTTGCACCAAAAATACCTTCATAGTTTAGGACCAGACCAGGAAAGGTTAATTCAATCAATCATTCAGTCTGAACAAGGGTGTAGATTTGCTCTTGACATTGGTGGGGACATACATCCCTATAGCGCATGCATAGAACAGAACAACTTGTCTTTCGTGCTTTTAAAAAAATGAATAAAGGCTTTAAATGCTTAATAATTTGAATTGAGGTAAAGTTGGTTTTACATTCGTACATTCCTTCATTTAACTGTCTCTATATTGTTTACCACGCTATTTTGAATATTCAATCAGAATTAGCAGCATGTAAGTATGACTTCAAAACAACATCAACACTATCTAACTGACTGTAAATATTGTTGTATTTTGATAGTCATTGGCTGCTAATTTGATTTCCCAATTTAAAATTTGCAAAGAATACTTTTCTGAAATTATATTACAAAGCAGAATGTCTGAATGTCCGAATATAAAACCAACTTTACCTCTATTAAATATGAATAGCAATTAATGCCTAGTTCACACTAGAGGATTTTAAGCCTGATTTGAGCCCGATTTGGAAGTTAACGAGCTCGCCGACAGATCGGGCTGTGATCGGGAAGAAATCTGCGGGTGCACGGCGCTCGCCGCTCTTTATGTGTGAACTACTGAACAACGCATCAACGAGGCTCGCTGACGCGTCGCCGACACCTCGCAGACGGAAATCCAACATTCAGCATGCTAAATATTCCAGAGCAGTCGGCCGACTCAACCCCACGTGTGGTCAGATGTAGTGACGAGCTGCAGCCAATGAGAGAGCATATCAGCATGGGCTGAATGCCTGTGTGCTCAGGAGCTCAGCAGAAACATCTGTGATTGGTCAGAATGGGCATCAGTGCACTCGCTTCATTCTGCGTTAGCACAGACATGAGAGTAGACTATATTAACAGTGGAACTAGAATTCTGTAACTATTAGAATTACCATACTGCTCATTCTGACCGTTCTCATATAAAACGCCATACTGTCACAACATATTTACATTCAAAGCTATTATTGAGATATTAAAATTAAGCTTTGAATGTTTGGCATCATATTTAATGACACCATTACCCTAAAAATATCATCTTTTTTTGGTAATACAGCCTAAAAATATTTAGTTAAGATACTAAAACACTTAAAGGTCTTGGCTTTCATTTTCACTTTCAAACAGGAGCTATTCGGCACAGAATATGCTGTTTTGAAAGATATCTAAAGTAAATTGATGTTTTTGCCATCAGAAAGTTTTGTTTATGTTAGCAGGAAGTTGCCAGGCAAGAAAATGCACACATATTTAAAGTCAAAGTGAAAAGTATCAGACATGCATGCAGTCATTTTGACCAATATGGTAATTTAAGGCAGAAATGCTCAGTACTGTACTGTTTTGTAATAAAAAGAAATTTATTGTCAGAAAGAAATACACTGATAGTTAGAAAACGGCAGGGTGTTATAAATATGTTAGTTTTATTTCAAAGAGTTATAAAATTACAAAAATTAAAAACTCTCTGTGTATCTATCCACTGGAACCTGCAGATGAGTGATTAATCCGCTGATAAATCAGCTGATTTGACAATGTTTATAAATGCTTTCTCCAAAGCTTGAAACGCTGTCTGTGATGTAATCTGCACACAAGCAGCCAATAGTGTTTAGCTTTTTCTGACGACTCCGCCCTCAAAATTTCATTGGCTGTGGTTTGGTAGCTTGAATGAGCTGATGGGGAATGAGTTGTTGTCAGATCATGTAGTGTGTGACCCCCCTCTTGTGGATCGTTCACGGAGTGTTGCGTAGTGTGAACACCTCAGAGATTAAAAGACACAAAGTCAAGTCATGTAGTGTGAACGGCACAGCGATCTGCTGATGTTTAAAATCCTGTAGTGTGAACTAGGCTTAAGGAAACATGTTTCATGCTGTAAAAATCAATTAACATGATTTTACTGCAATCTGGCTCTGAGGAGGTATGAATGTAGAAAAATTTAGAGAGGCACGTCACTAGTTTAACCGTTTTATCCTTTTTATTGGAAACTAAATTTCAATTAATTGCACAGCATTGGTTAATATTATTATGGTGGACTCCAAGTGAAGCTTCTCACATCCAAACTTTATTACAGCTGTTGTTAACAGCACAAATAGGCCCAATCAATGACACTGTCCTTGGGCCTCATCACACACCCGGCGCAAGGTGCGACGCAATTGTTGTTAGCTAGTTTCAGCTTGGCCCAACGCAAAGCGCGTTAGTCATGCGCCTCGCTTACACACTGACAAAACGTAAAATAATAACGTTTCCTTGTGATGTCAGGCTGGAGGATGTGTACCTGCAAAAGACATTATTCAGTCTGAAGTGAGTGAGTGAGTTGGGGTAGGGTGTCTGGGGATGTTTTCTGTCTGATGAATGAATAGGCTGGATACCCATTCATTGGCGGTCACTTTTGACTGGGAACACCACAGGTGTAACAAGGTTGATTAAAACACTCAAAATTCAACGAAAGGGCTGATCATCACTTTTAATCACGACAGGAAGGTTAAACCAAAGTCAACAAAAGTATCTTTTTGCTTATGCACACAATAGGTAATTTTCTCCATAATGAAAACATTTTTTCAAAACATCAATCAAATCTAGCATTTGTGGTGGATTAGGTTTACACCAGCATCTAGTAATGGCGCTTTTATTTCAAGCAAGGATGACAATACATATATATGACAATACATATATTGTTTTTTTCTTCCATCGACAGTGTAAATACGATCAATTGAAGTATTTAAGATAATTTCTAAAATGCTATCTATGTATCGCTTTCAGAAAACTTCCCCAAAATATGTGCAAATGGTTAGTGTCCTGTGATCCGCAATTGCTCCAACAAATAATATTTCTCCAGCAAAACTCTCTCCAATACTTTGCTGTTTTTTTGTTGTTGAAATCTTGTTAGTCAGATGTAAAAATGTAAATGTCAGCTAACATAAGAATGTGTTTTAAAATATTTTAATTGTTATTTACTGTCTGAAAATGTTGACAATACGTGATTGCAGGATGCAAAAATGTAGTTTATTATATCTCTGTAAAAGTTATTGCAATTTAGCACCCTCTTTTGTCTCATGTCTCAAGAATCATTGGTATGACATGCTGTTTAAAAAACACGTTTCCAAACCTTTCATTTTCATTCCATTTCCCTTTAAACAGAGCTTTTAAATGTAATCGCTGTCCAATGGCTCCTCAAACTGTAAGAACAGTGTTGGTGCAATGTTTTTCCAAATGGCGTTTGAAGTTGAACATGTCTAGACTTGACCCTGGCCTGCAGGGGGTTTGCGGTTAGCTTCTGTGCTACACTTTCAGCATGCTGCATTTAGTCTCCTGACCTGAGAGCTGTTCCTGGTTTATGTCCTCTGGCATCTTGTGCCGGAGCCAGAAACACTGACCCTGAAACACTGTGACCCTCTTATTTTTCCGGATGGAGTTTGTCCAGCTACATACATTGCTGATGCCACACTGTCTAATGTAAGATTTGGCAGTACCTTTGCATATGAGCCTCTCCAGTATGAAATGAACAAGATCAGTCATCTTTGAACTATGTGCATGGCTGACTCTGAATGCTGTCGCTGGCTACATTATAACCAGTGTTGCGTATTCAGATGAGCATCTAGCAAAAAGCTTTTTCAATCTCCTTTTTTATATATATTAGGGTTGGGCGATGTTGACCAATTTGGCATCATATGATGTCTTATGTGAAACATTGCGATGGATGATGGCATTATTGATGTAAGCGGCGGTGAATTAAGTATGAATAATTAATTCATAAATAATTTATATTAATATTTTTAAATTATCAATAATTAATAATCATTTTAAATTAATAATAATTCTTAAATTATTTGTAGATAACCCTTTCAACTACCTGACCCGCTTAATCTTTGTTTTACCCATAACCAAATCATGAATAAATAAAGATAAGTTGCACACAAATTACCATTAATCACTTTTTCAGCAGAACTCTGGCATGAATAGGCAGAGTGATCTGTGTCATTGTAATGGCGTCGTCAATGGTGTTATAATGGCATTGGCTGGTAAAAAAGGTGCACAACCAACCAACAATTTTGAGGTTTTCGTTAAAAATATTAAAAGTACAAGCGTAAAAGTGAAAGATTGAGGCAGTGTACTGACACTGACACGTTACGTGATAGACACACCAATGTGGACGTGAATTGTTTTCGTTCTAAAATGCCATTTCACAATTAAGACGTGTTAGTGTAAAGGGGCTTAAGTGTGTATTTTTCACAAGCAGGTTGCTGCTGCAACAGGAACGGGGAGGAGAATCGCAAGGCTCAATAGTGTGATGTCTATCTAATATAGATATTTTATTTTACTGTCTCATCCACTTACGTTGTGTAGATTTGCAGAGATGGACAAAGACTATAGAATACACAAGACGTGTCACTTGGATAGTTTTGAATGGAGAATAGTGTAACGGTTAGTATGGTGAAGGAAGCCCCACATTCTAGTACAGGAGCCAATCAGCGATTGATATATAGACCAGGAGTGTCCAAACTCAGTCCAGGAGGGCCGGTGTCCTACTGAGTTTAGCTCCAACTTGCTTAAACGCACTTGCTTAAATGCCGGGAAGCTATCTGGTACAGGGATGTCAAACTCAATTCCTGGAGGGCCGCAGCTCTGCACAGTTTAGTTCCAACCCTAACTAAACACACCTGATCAAACTAATTGAGTCCTTCAGGCTTGTTTGAAACCTACAGGTAAGTGTGTTGGAGCAGGGTTGGAACTAAACTGCAGGGCTACAACCCTCCAGCAATTGAGTTTGACATCCCTGATCTCCTATCAGGTGAAGTTTTTTTTTCCCTCTCCGCTGTTGCCTCTGGCTCGCATGGTTCAGGATTGGTAGATCTACGCTTCGATGAATTTGCTCTTCAGTGTTTGAACTCTCAGTAATGATTTTAAATTACACTGAACTGAGCTAAACTGAACTGAACTGAACTTAAACTCTAAAAACTGAACTACACTGTTCCAGTTACTATGAACATTTATGTGAAGCTGCTTTGACACAATCTACATTGTAAAAGCGCTATACAAATAAAGCTGAATTGAAATGAATTGATCTAGTATATAGTCAGACCTTGATTAGCTGGTTCAGGTGTGTTTGATTAAGGTTGGAGCTAAACTCTCCAAGACACCAGCCCTCCAGGACCGAGTTTGGACACCCCTGATATAGACTGACGATTCTCAAGGGGCTCAGACTAGTGTGAACTGATTTGAATTTCTGCAAATTTTGGTTGACTCACTGAAACATTTAGAAATTAAACTAAAGACACAGTTGTTGTTATATTTTATTGTTGATTCCTAATATGAAATTTGATTATAAGCTTGGTAACCAATTTTGGGGAATTTGCTGTTTCAAACATGGCCACCAAGTGAAATTACTTGCCTTAAATGCACTTTGAGATGGATTATGTTGAAGTTTGTATGGAGTATCACTTTTAAATTGGAAGCATTTCCAATGTATGGCCAAAGTCAACAAGCAATATGTCAGATATTGTTTATTTGAAGTCTCTTTAGTCAATCTGTCATATTTTTTCTAGTATTCTCTTCACACACACAACATAAACGTTCAATTTTATTTGATTTCCATGTGATTTTCCAGTGTAAATACCTCAGTGTAAATGATTTTTTTATGTACAGATGTGTTGTTATCTATCAATTATTCAGTTTCACAGTTATTTGGAGTGCATTTACAGAAACAGCTTATTTTAGCTCATTATAGATTGCCTTGTAAATCTAAAGTTATGTTATTGTCTCAGAATTGTGTTTTAGGAGGTTTGATGGTTAGAGAGTCAAACTTGTAACCCAAAGGTTGCAGGTTTGATTTCACAGAAAATCTATTTTAATGAAAAAAAATGTTTGGCAAGCACTTTGTTAATGTTTTGGATTTTAAGTTGCATAATGTGATTGTTTTCTTTTTTTTCTATGCAGAATCCTGTTGATTTAAGCTGGCCTGAGACAGAGTAACATCTTTCAAGATGGTTAAAGAACTAAAATGCATTCTTTGTGAAACCGTCTACAACTCCAAACAGGTAAACTCTGTGATTTAAGCATACACCTTTTCCCAGTTCTGATAGAATGTGATAGCTGTGTGGAAATCTGCAATTTAGTTGCTCTTGTATTGTACAAACCTGTTTGACTTGTGCATATGCCATGTCCTATTTTTTTAGGAGATGGAAGAGCACATGAGAAGTATGTTGCACCACCGAGAGCTGGAGAATCTGAAAGGCCGGTAAGAGGAATTGAAACACACTAATGTTAAGTCTGTGCATGGAAAAACCTCAATATGGTTTTTGGCACTAATGAAAAGCATGTGCACTATAAGGCACGTGTCTTCTTTAGTCAGTGGAGAGATAAGCCGAGGCAGCTGCCTTAACCCAGAAGTATATATAGGTACATTAGAAACAACTGGCAGGACTGACAAATGACAACTGCCTCATGTGACTATTATGTGCATCTCTGGAATGTGAAAAGTGAGAATGACATTTTTAAATGAGGAGGGTACTGAAATCTGAAGTGCAAAACACATAAACACCAACTTGTAGAGGTTTGCTATGTTTTAGATAATTGCACCTCATGCTCTTTATAAAATCAATTTAACTTAGTTTCGAGCTGGAGTTCACAAACTTGATTGTAGAGGAACTCTGTCTTGCACAGATTAGCTCCAATTTGAGTAAAACACTCTGATTAAGGTCTTCAAAATCACATCAACTGTTTTCACAGCTTTTTAATTGGTATGTTCTTTTAAGTAGTAGAAATATGAGTTTTATGAATTTGGATGTACTTCATCCCCCATCACATTACCTACCTGCATTAGTTGCAAAACATCACTCAAATGAAGTTTCAACCGTGGGCTCACAGTATTGTAAAGTGTAGTTGAATTTCAGAATCTCAGCGGAAGTAGTAGGTCCTCCTTTCTACCCCAAACCCCAGAATTAAAATGACCACTTGTGTGGTTTTAAACCTTTGTGAGTTTCTTTCTTCTGTTAAACACAAAAGAAGATATTTTAAGGATGCTGCTTGCTTGCACTTATCGTCTTTCATAGTAAGAAAAAAATGACTATAGAAGTCAATGGGTTCGAGCCGCCAGTATTTTTCAGAATATCTTCTTTTATTTTGAACAGAAGAAAGACATTTAAAGGGTCACGAAACACCAAAACACATTTTTTGAGCTGTTGACAGTCGTATATGTGTCCCACACTGCTAAAAACACTATTAGGACACCTATATTTCACTAAAAAGTGTAAATTGGTTGTTTTTGCGTAATTTCAAGCAAATTCGTACTTCCGGTTTGAAACTAATTTTTGAAGCTGCGTCACGGCCATGTCATAATAACGTTGTATTCCAGCGTGCAGACTGGGCGTCTGTGCCAGAGTGTGTCTTATTACGTCTTACAGTATGTTGCATTAATGCATGAGTAAGGCTTGGTTCAAACCAATCAGCGCGCTCTATTGTGCAACTTCATTAATATTCATGACTGTCACAGTGTAGATGGCAGAGTCGCCACGTTGTATTGGCAAAACAAGCGTGAAGTGTTGCTTTTATAGTTTGCTGCAGTTAAGTTTTGTTTTCATTTTCTCTCTGTGAGAGCTCAGACTCACGTGTGGATTAACAGTGTACGCAACGCGCGACAACAATAACTTACGTGTCTAAGGAGGATTATTGTTTACCTGAGAGCTGTTCTCATCTGCAAACGCTGAGATCTGGATTCGCTTGTAGTCTCCTCTAAATAAACTCGCGGCTCTAGTTGCTGTGGATTGTCCTGTCTCTACAGATTTGGTAAGTGAGCGACCAGTGCTCTTTGTTTATTCAGTTCGTATTTTATTCGTATCAAACAAACTATTGCACCGAGTGTAAACAAGTTAGCACTAACAGTTACAACCAAACTATAACCTCGTGTTGGATTTTGTGACCGGAATAACACACGTGGCTTTCTGACACTACCTGCCGTGTGCATCTAAGTTTCCGGGAAATGCGGAGGTTTTTTTTTTCTCTCATTCGCCATGCGGTATCAAACATTGCATGAAAAATACACGCTTAGAGCAGTTCCTCGAATCAAATATCACGTTTGTCATTAGGGACATGAATGAATTCCCTGAATGAAAGAGCCAAACTGCAGTTAAAGTCCATCATTTAATAATTTGGCAAATAATTACAATAAACAAAGTCACATTGTCCGCTGTGGGTGTGTGTTTTGACTCTGAAATTCAGCGCGCCCAAATAGACACTCCCACACCAAGCCTCTTTTCTTCCTCCGACACTCCCCCCTAAATAGAGCTGGACACGCCCACTTTTTTGACTTTTTCCAAAGTAGAGGTGTGAAAACACCCTGCTGAAACGAGGGGGTTTCATGGCCCTTTAAATAGGTTTTGAACAAGTGAATGGTGAATTGAAGTTTTTGTGCGAATTTTAAACCCTTTTGAAAGTTTACAGTTTTTAAATGTATGCCTTGATAAGCACATTGAAGTTTAGATGTCAATGAGCCTGATCTGGCCCCACTGGTTTAGATTATTAATCAGAACAATTTTATAGAGCTAGTAACCAATACTTTGCTTGAACAAATGGAAAGTCATTTTAGAACATAGTGATAATTCTGATCATAATTACAATCACACACACAAACCAAAATATTTTGAAATGCCGAATGCTGACTGAAAAATGGCAGGCTGCCCTGACACCATTTTTTAGGGGATAGACCAACTGTCAACAGCAGGAATCTTATCAGCTCACAGGTTTGGCACTGAAGATAGCAGCTATATCAGAGAGGGGTTTTTAAGCCGGCAAATGTAAGCAGATCATATTACAGCTTGCTCAAGAGTCCAGCCCCTGTTGCAGTCCTAAAGAGCAGAAGAAGGAGGAGACAGAGAACGGGGTGTGATTTAATACACCAAAATTCAACAGCTCTGCCTACCCACATCTCAGAGCACAGCGGACTCCATCATGACAGCGTGCTAAGGCTCAGCAGCTGCTGAGCGGGTGGTCACCCCTCTGAGCTCAATGTCTCCCACTGCCTTCTGTTCATGCCTTTTCCCCTTAAACCAGTTGTGAACCCCATGAAGATAAACCACAAGATCAGGAAGATTGCATTGTTTTTTTTTCTGTTTCAGTAACTAGTTGGATTTTATTTTTATGTTTGCAAAGTCAGTTTGCCTCCTGATCTCTTAAAAGGAACCTAACTGATTAGACGATCGCTCTGAGAAGCAGTAGCCATGCCTGAAGGAAGCATTGAGCAGCCTTTCTTCTCCTCTGTCCCCAGGGACTGTGGACATGAGTGCCGGGTCTGCGGCATAACAGAGGTGAGCCTGACCGACTATGCCAGTCACATCTCCAGTCCTTCACATAAACAGCGTGTTGACAATCAGAAGCGGCAACACTTAAACGAAGACCAAGATGAAGAGTACTTTGACAAAGACATTGTGAGGCTCATTGAAAATCGCAAAGAAATGATCAGGTAAGTTTTTGTCTGCTATGCTTTTTTAGACAATAATAGTGTTTGAAGACTCGCCAGTTATCAGGTATTTATTAGGTGGTATGTTTTTGTAATATTTTTAGCATGTTTTTGTAAGTACAACAGCTCTATATTAAACTGTTCTGCAAACATTTCTGACACTGGAGTCTGCTGTCCTTGAGGCCTTAAACAGCCATGACTGCAACACTTGCACTCTCACACTCTTGGATGCACTTCCCCTACTATACCCCTGCAGCTCAATCCTTAAACAGCATGGGCCGTATGTCTTTAAATAGTCTGACCTCAACAACTATTTTTATGCACCATGCTGTTAAAGTAATAGATGGGGGTTATTGACTTAAATCCTACCCAGATGCCCTAAGAGTCCATAAATCATTTAATTTAGATCACGGTGAGAGGTTGATTCTTTAATTGTGGCTTGATTTATTTTTCATAAGATAAAACAAAGCATTTATGTGCCTTAATATTTCTGTGGTCAGCCACAAAGCAGCCTTGAAGATCTTAACAAACAACTGCCATCAACTACAAATTTTTAAAATCAAGGCAAAAATTATTTAAATGAAAAAAAGAAATAGTTTCTAATTAATCTAATTATAAAGGTTTGATGAAATAACTTGTCTTAAGATTGTCTCTGGTAAAATTGCATTGATCTACCGTCATGTTCACCTATCCTCATTGTGAAGTTTTTAAACACCGTTTATAGCTGTTATATCATTCTGTCACCTTTATACATTGACCTCCCATCAGGAAAGAAGAAGCTGCTGCAAAACAGGCTAAAGAAGAGCAAGAAAATATAAGAAAGTGGCAGGAACTTCGAACAAGAAATATGATGTATCAGCCCTGTGGCCCTTGGGACCGGCCATATTCTAACTTTCCGCAGATGCCCAAGAGGGGTAGAGGCTCTGAATGGCAGAATTCAAGATTTTCATCCCCTGAATGCAACAAATGGTTTAACCCTAGCCGACAGGTTAGGTGTGCCACATGGCATGCTGAAGGACCCCCTGACTTTCAAAAGTGGGGGTCTTATGGTCGTCAGGGAGGGAGCTTGCACAACCAAGGAAATGTCTGGGGTGGTAAGCAGGGCAAATATGGATTCTGCCCTCCACATCTAAGACAGCAGTTTCCCTGGAACAACAGTCGAGTTAATGTACCTTGGGGTCAGTGCATACCATCACATAAGTTCTTTACATCTTCTACAAGAGAGCATCAGAAGACACCCAACAGATTTGAGAATCAGACACAAAGTGAACAGAGCCTTGAAGAATCTGGTGATCATGATCCCAACAAAGGTAAGGGTCAGAAGGCAGAGAAGGCTTATCGTTGGGCACCATATCCATCAGCTAAACTTGGGGATCCCTCATCTCAGACTAACCCTCACCCACCATTAGATAAGTCAGATGTAAAATCTCCTGAAAACCTAAATGCGCAAAGTTATAACAAGGGCAGTCAGGACATGGAGAGGAAGTCTAAATCAGATCACAAACGCTGGCATCATAAAACCACTTTCTATGAAGAGAGTAATTCCATGGAGCAGAAGATTTCTTCTAAGAATGTTAGCGGTTGTAGCAAGGACAGTTTTTCCTCAACCTCCACCACTAGAAGGACAGAGACGCCCACCAAGCTTTCTGAAAATTGTTCAAAGAGGCCCCTCAAAAAAGCAGGAAGTCAAGATTCTGTTAGCTCTAAAAGTTCTAAGCATTCACATTCAAGCTCAGAAATCCCACAACATGGTTCGTCCAGTGCACAGCAAGACAGACTGCTTTCGGAGATGCTAAGAAAAGCCAAAGAGACTTTGCTTGATAGAAATACCTCTATTGACACACCTGGCCCAGACAGCTGCCTTATAGGATCAAATAATATGCAAGTAGAAAGTTCAGAATTAAACAAGAATCAAGCATTACATGAAAGTAAGAAGAAACTGCAAAAGAACAGGGGACAAGAAACACATGGTTTTGACAGGCGCGTCAGCAGTGACCAAGAGCAATTAACCAGTACTGAAACTAATATACAGATCAGCAATGTGCGCAGTGAATGTAGGTCATACCTGCAGTCCTTGCAAGTTAGTACCTCCACTATAGACCACGAAGATGAGGAGGACAGTGGTGAAATGGAGGAAAATCCACACATACCAGTACAAGATCAAGTAATGGAAACACTGGATGAAGGTTTGTGCTTAGTTGGTGAGGGCTCCCACAGCAATCCATCCCAACAAACAGCAAGTGACTCTGTACCCTCCTTAAGTACACTTGCCTTGCCTGCATGTCTCCAGAGGGATCTGAACCGCCATATGGGCACCAAAGTCAAAGCAGCATCTCATGAACCCAACTTAAATAATGCCAGACGTGTTAGGAACGTGAGTGACATGCGAAAGAATGAGGCTGAGAAGGACTCTGGACTTAAACCCACCTTGCGTCAGCTCATCAGCTCCTCTGGCTCCAGACGGAATGTTAACTGGGACCAGGTGTACCAGGAAGTGAACCGGAAGAAGCAAGGCAAGGGCCTACCAAGGTACTACATTAAGTTTTCAGTTTTTTGCTGTTTATAATCATGAAATGTTTCAAGACTGAGATGCAGTTAACATTTTATATATCTCTTTATTCTTACCCTAACTCTGTATTTGTTCTGGATATTGTTAGATTTGGTATAGAAATGGTGCCCTGTGAACCTGAGGGTCTTAACCAGATGGATGAAGATGATGTACCTCTATCTGAGGGCTTTCATTGGGACTCTCTGTTTGACTCCAGTCAAGTGCCTACCCGCAAGCGTAGCTTGTCTGAAAGTAATGTGGTCAAGGATAGCCCTGCTGGCTCCAGCTCCCTCCTCAATGCTGTCGTACCACTGCGAGACTCTTCTGCTTGTGGATCCTCACAGCCAGCAAAGAGAGAAGAGTTGCAGGAGTCCCAAGGTCATCTGGAGTTCCAGAGTTCAAAAGGGCATGCCAAGGGTGTTGAGGATGTTGAAATAGATGTTGACTGTGCATCAGACACTGAACTGATTGATACGCAAGGAGCTGGGAAGAAACGCAGAGCTCGTGGGGTAAGCATCATACTTTCCATTGCGGATTATGCTTTGCATATTTTAAATTACAATAGCTTTGACGCTAAAAATCTTAATAAAGTCTAGCTACATAGTTGTGTCTAATTGGGTTTTTTGCATAGGATGTTGTATCTCCAGAGATTCCTAATGAAGACCGGAAAAACAAGAGGCAAAAAATTAAGGCCAAGAAAGGTACAGGAAACAAGTTAATGCTATTATGTAAACAAAACTGATATTTCCATTTTGGGGGGTATTTTTATGCTGATATGTATTGTGGTTTGCAGAGCGTTGTCAAGTGGATCAGTTGTTAGCTGTGTCTCTCCGTGAGGAGGAGCTGAACAACTCTCTTCAGGCAGTAGATAATAGTCTTATTCAGGCACGTGCTGCCTTGCAAGCTGCCTACTTGGAAGTACAACGTCTTCTGATGGTGAAACAGCAGGTAAGACTAAACAACAACAATGTATTCAGTTTTATCAAACTCTGGCAGGGCTGTAACGTAAATATAAATATATTTTTACAGGTAACCAGTGAGATGAACTCTCTGAGAACTGAGCGCATTGAAATTCTTCAAGGAATGCAAGGTACACTAGCAAAAAAGCAATAATCTTGTAATGATGTATAATAACTTACCTTTCATGGAGTTCATGCTATACAATTGGCATGTAAATATTGTTTATTGGAAATTTACAGTATGGATCATATTTAAATACATATAGACGCTAACTGTAGTCTCTGTACTCTTCGGTACTCTCTTTCAGGTGAATTTGAGCCAAAAGAAAGACACAGGAGCTGTGAGGAGAGCTTGAACACTTCATCAACACAAGTTTCTCAGATCACTGACAACTCTGTTCATCAATCCTCAGATCCCCATTCAACCACCTCAAGCTCTTCCCAGCCTGTTACTGTTAAACAGGAGCCTGTTTCACCATGTAAGCCCATTTCGGAGCATAACCTTGTCATCTCCCCCAACCCAGGAGCTCAAAGCACCGCTTCTGTCCAAATGACGTTTGCAGCATGTCAAACAGGTAAGTTCCAATCACAGAATGGCAGTTTTAAAAGTAGTATTGCTAACAGCATTGATTAAATGACAGTTTATTCTTCATTTAAAATAGAAACTACCACCAGGAACAACAGTAGGATGGACACTTCACAGGATGCCATAAGCAAAGCTTTCGAGACCTCTACATTAGATCACAGATTAAAGCCATCGCCCGTCAAAGAAGTTTGTCAAAGCTCTCAAGATGGGTTAGCCAACCCTTCTTCCCCACTCATGTCTGCATCCCTCTCTCCCAAGCCACTGTCTCCCTCTAACCTCTCTGAAAGCAATCCAGTTAAGCGTGTTCGAAAGCTAAAAAAAAGAAAGTGCCTTAAGAAAGCCAAGGGGAATGAGCAGCCTGAAATCAGTGAATCTGAGCTTGATTTAGAGCAGCCTGCTCTTCGACCAATCCGCAAGTACCGATCTCATCGGCGATCCAGTGATCTCCTCACCTCTCCCCCAACACCAGAGAAGAAGGATAAGAATGAGGAGATGGTAGTGACTGAAGCTTCAAAGCCACAACCACAGGGAATAAAGCTCGCCAAACCACCGTTGAATGAAGCCAATTCTGATTCATCTGATCTGGAGATTGTAGAGCTTCCCCCCCCTGTGCCCACTGATTTTGTCAATTTAGATTCTTCAGACCCAGAGGAGATGCCTGAAAAGGCAGCCAAGGAGCCAGCCACTATGCACAAAATAGAAAATCAAGCGATAACAGATCCACAAAATCTTGCCTGTAATGAGGTCACCTCCACTAGTGAAATTGGCACTAGAAGTATAGTCAAGGCTATTGAAAGGTAAGTCTGATGCACTATTTGGACTGATTTTTACGCATTCTTAACACATTACAGCAAGGGTATCCAATACTACTCTTGAAGGACCACTTGCTTCAGTTGAAACTCCTGCCAACCACAAAGCCATGGAGGTTTCTAGGTCCAGTCCCAAATGGCACCCCTAGTCTGTCTTCCATTGAAACCATGCTTTTGAAGCAGCTTTGATTGTTAGAAGTGTGTAGGTACATAACGAGCGTGTAGGGTACATAAAAGACAAAGGGGCCACTCGCAAAGACATTACTGAAAGTAAAAATGATGAGTGGGACACCCTACTGTAATTACAGTAATGGACCCCTGGAAGGGGCTATGTGGCGCTTGGGTTAGATTTATTTATTTTGGAATGTGCAACCAAAATTCTATTACATAAGTGAGGGTGTCTTTTCTCCATTGTGAATCCAGAACTGCTGACAAGAACTGCTTAGTACTTTGGTCATTTATTTGACTAATCTGGCAACCGTTAAATTTCGCCTGCGAAATGGTTTGCATTTGTGAATAAGTGCATAGTTTGTTAGTGTACCTTTCGGGACGCAACTTAAATCTTTGGACACCATTAAAAATAACTGCTCACTTATAATGTGCACTATTTAGGGGTATGGGTGCAGGTTTGAACTCTCCTGCTCGACAGGATACCCTTGGATACCCTTGTCTTAAAGTAATTATTGGAAATGAGAATGAATATTAAAATTACCCAAATGAAGATTCTTACAGTAACTTCGGGTTTACAGTAAATGAGAAATATATTGGTATTGTATAATGTGTACCTATGAAAATAAGTTAAATAATAGTATTTAATACTGTAGTATCCTAGTTTCCTAGTGTCGATTTTAGCACAGTGAACAAAGTTAATCAGACTCATCGTAAATTGATTCTTTTAAAATGAACACCCTAATAGATTAACAACGAATGTGGGACTTTCCTTTTTCATCTGTAAGATCTATAAAGTAAAAAAAAAGAATTGGAAAAACAAAAGATAGTGTTTTGCACATATTCAGATGTTGGATTTTTGAAGATGGTAGGAGGGAAAATGAGTGGTGATTGGAAAGACTACACAGACAAATAAAGCTTCGTAAAATCATGTTCGCTTACAGATATTCTGGTTTGGTGTCTGCATGACCTCCGTGCACCTTGATTCTGTCCACTGCTATTGAATTTTTTTTAATTAACCTATTAAAATATTGCTTTCATTTATTTTTGCAGTGAAAAGAAGTCAGCCTCAGCGATGTTGGAGTCCAAAGTACCTTCAGGTATGTTATATGCTGTTAGATGGGAAAGACAGTTCCTAGAACTATTGAAGTAAAACCCATTTCTTTCCACCCAGGAACTTTGGAATGATTTAAGTTTTAGGAATACCATAAACTAGCTCCAGCTTCTGTACTTAAGTCTAGCCCACCAAAATAAGAACTACAGTGACGTAAGTTTACACTGATAAGAGATCTGGTAAGAAAAACTGGTATAGACAAAAACTGTTTTGTCTGTTCCTGTAACTACCTGTAATGACAGCACCTTCATATGGATGCTAAAACAAGTGTATCATTAATACTGTTTATCTCAGCTAAACTCGTCTTCTCTTAAATATACAATGTATGTTGCATACAATTCGCTATTTATATCTTTTTAACTTGTAGCAGTCATTACATTAAATCTGTGTCGTTCCTTGCTCGCTGTGCAGTCATAGCAGAATGACCAAATTAGAATACTCACACGATCTGCATACAAAAATAGTTCAAGTCCCCAAATTACTTTTTAAGGCAAGGTATTCTTAGTGCCGCTTAGTTTTATACTTAACCTGTGCCTGTGAGATAGACTGCTGGGTTAACAGCCCTGAGAATTGTGCCAGGTTATGCACAGAGTCTCAATTGCCAGGACTGGTTTCTCCATGGTTAAACTTTCACAAAAGTGTATAAAGTTAAACATACTTTCGAGTGAAATACTAATTTTGAAGCCACATTTACAATTTGAAGTCAGTGACACGTTTTAATCAAAGTAAATTTTACACACAGCTTTATATTGTGCTCTGTTTGCTACATAGGTATATAGCAGCTCATATGTCAAAATATATCTGTAGAGACCAACATGTCTTTGGTAGTGTTAATATTTCACTAAATAACTGATATCTTTGTGTGTGTGTGTGTGTGTGTGTGTGTGTGTGTGTGTGTGTGTGTGTGTGTGTGTGTGTGTGTTTTGTCAGATATGTCAGATCCCGGGGAGGAGGAGCTTCCGACAGAAGGAGACTTTGAAGGCCATCAAGAGGCTGTGAATGGAATGCATATTCATAATGGACTGCTGTATACTTGTTCAGGGGACCGCACTATACGCGCATTCAGCCTGATTGTAAGAGCTTCACACATGTTGTATTTTTGTCCAGTGAGGGGCTAAAAGTTGTAAAAATTGTCTGAAAGTTGCAGTTTTAAAGGGGTCATCAACTTCCTTTTTTTAATTTATTTTGTACTGTTTCAAGAGTTCCAGTTATAGTAGAAACGATAATAATCATTAAAATTTAGACCCTGTCCACAGTGAACATGCGGTTTCGCTGTTTATCCACAGTGGATGAAAGTGAAGGGGGAGGGCTCGCTGACGAAAGTGAATATCGCAGGGGAGAAGGATTGCTGATAGTGGTTTTGGTTTTAGAGTCATCATATCTTGATTATCCTCACCCCCCGGCCTCTAGCTGCGCCCCGGCAGGTGCCTTAAATGCGTGGACAGTACAACTAGTGTTCTTAGGCGTGTCCCAAATCACATACTTTTGTAATATTTTGTGTTATAAATCGTGTAATTAGTGCGTTCACACTGAAAACTCAAAAAAATAATAAGTGCACTTTAATTACCCGGATGATGCACTCATTTGACCAGTAAAATGAAGTGTGGAATGATGGACACTTCACATACTAAAGGACCGCTGCTTTGTTCATGAAGCGGAAGGGGCGGAGCTATCGGCCGCACATGTTGGACAACTTTATTTATTTTGGATTGTGAAAGCGAAATTCTCATATGAGAGTGATCATTGCGCCTCCCGATGGAGTATCGGTTATACTCATGGCAGGTATTACTTGGTACTTTTAGAATTAATTTTACTAATTGGCAACCGTCAAACATCATCAGGGAAACGGTTTGAATTTCCACTTAGTAAAAAAACATTAGTGCTCCATTTGGGACAACACTACATACATTTACTATGCTGTTAAGTGTGTAAGTGGTATTATTGGCTGACAGTTTTAAAAGGATCGAATGGACAGCACTTTGATTTGTACTGTGATTTAGGTTAAAAATGCATGGTACTTAATACATATCAAATAATCTGTAATAACAAAACAATAATGAACATAAAAGAAATGTTGGACAACATGATGGATCCAATATCATTGGCTCAAACATTATCTTTTAGTTTTAATCTTTCTAAAAATCCAACTATATGAGGCGGATTTAGAAAGTGTAGAGTTTTGAAACTTCTGGATGTTTTGTAGGAGAGTAACCTCAGGATGTAGGCTAACAGGATGTTTTGTAGTCCATTGACCTCTTATAGATCAGTAGATCAAGGGAATTTAAATTTCTCAGTTCATGACCCTTTAAATGAATCTATTTACACATGAAAATAATCTATGAATGTAGTTTAGAAGCAGGTTTCTAGAAATGTCACTTCATTGTTGTTTCAGACCCGGAAGTGTGTGGCTGTGTTTGAAGGACACAGCAGTAAAGTGAATTGCTTGTTGGTGTCATGTGGTGGAGGCCTGCAGCAACGCCTGTACTCTGGATCAAGTGACCAGACCATCCGCTGTTACAGCCTCAAGGTGCTTAATTCACATACAAAAGCACTGTCAGCGTTTATGCTGCTTCTAACTACATAATTTTATTTCTTCCATGGAACGTGAAATTTTCTGAATGATGCATTTTCTGAATGATTTCTGATGATCATGCGTGTTTTTTTTTGTCATTTACACTACTTTAGAAAAACAAGCCAGCTTCTAATTTGAAATGAAATTTTACTATTTTTATTAACGTTAAACAGTCATTCATAAATTATTTCAATCCTTCAAAAATGGTAGAACTTTAATGAAAATAAATTAAGAAACTTTTTTAGATTTTGTCCTATGTATTATTCACTGTTGATGTTTTTTATTTTTATAATAATTATAAAGCTTTTTATTATAGAAAAGCATTATTAAAATTGTAAGTTATTTATAAGTAATAAACATTTGATCTGTTTTATAATGAAATAGCCAAAAAAGCTAGTATGGCAAGCTCAAAACTCTCTTTATCTCGTATTTTATTTCAGCTTTACTTTAATTATTTAAAAAAAAAGTTTCAATCTAATCATGCCTTCCCATAAGATTGCAAGTATGACTAGCATTTCTAATTTCTCCTCAGACCAAAGAGTGTGTGGAGCAGCTGTCTCTGCCAGATCGAGTGCTCTGTCTTCATAATCGCTGGAAAATTCTGTACATCGGTCTGGCCAATGGCTCAGTGATCACTCTCAGTCTTCGGGTATGAAGTGTTCTCATATAAGCTTGATTTAGAAAAGAAAAGCCGACATCCTGTTGTGTGTCTTGCTTTTGTGGTCAACTTTTCTCTCTTCTCCTGCAGAACAATAAGCAGCTGGATGTGTTTGAGTGTCACGGCCCGCGGGCAGTAAGTTGTCTAGCAACAGCCCAGGAAGGAGCTCGGCGCATCCTGCTGGTGGGCTCTTATGACACCACCATCAGCGTTCGAGATGCCAAGAGTGGCCTGCTGCTGCGAACACTGGAGGGACACACCAAAACGGTGCTTTGCATGAAGGTTTGTGGCCGATTATACTTTTCCTGTTGAAAACTGTTCCTGTTTTCCTGTTGCTTTGAGACATGAATATTTGTACATACATACACATATATATTTATATATATATATATATATATATATATATATGAATTTGAAATGTATATATTAACTGTCTATACACTAAGTTTAAATATCATGATTTTCATGAAACTAATTGTGACAACACCAGTTTAAAGGAATACCTATTTAAATTAAAAGTGCTGACCCTAATATTATTTGAAACCATTTTTTGCAGCCTATTTGAATCTATGTAGCCAAACTACTCTTTCATTAAAGTTTTAGTTCAGCCAAAATTGAAAATTCTGGTAATTACGCACCCTCATGTTATTCCAGACCTCTGAGACCCTCGTTCATCTTCAGAACACAAATTAAGGTGTTTTAGATGAACTCGGAGAGCTCCCTCATCCTCCATAGACTGCAATGGTCCAGGGACTTTCAATGTGGCTGTTAATGTTTACAATCTCCCAAGTTAAAAAACCTTCATAAAGTGGTTCCAAAATTGTCTTATGATAGTTATGAACAGGCTTTAAAGATGTACGTCTAAAAAATGGGCCTTTCTTATCGCACATCATTACCTTATAGCAAACTAACGGTAAAGAATGGCCTAAAGAAAGCTAACATTAATGGAGAAGGACCACCGCTTAACACTCAGAAAGAAAATGGTCAAACTTTGATTGAAGACTACCAAAAGAAACGTTTTTACGCAGATTGTTCACCTGAAGTAAACTATAAACAAACGCTAGCAAAATAAACATCATATAGTTTGATTTCAATTGGATTCAAAGGACTTTTAGAAGATGCTAAGCTTCATCTTTTGCTTCTCTGCAGGTGGTGAATGATTTGGTGTTCAGTGGCTCGAGTGACCAGTCTGTACATGCACACAACATTCACGTGAGTACATCAAGTGTCAGTCACATATATATATATTGTATTGTATCTCGTATGCTTATTCATTTTTATGCCTCTGGATCTGCAGACAGGAGAACTGGTGAGGATCTATAAGGGCCACAGTCATGCAGTTACTGTGGTGGCCATACTGGGAAAGGTGATGGTCACCGCATGTCTTGACAAACTGGTCCGCGTGTACGAGCTCCAGGTATAAATGACATATTTAATGATAACTATCAGCTTGACCATAGGCACAAAATACACTTTTGTTAATTTAATTAATTATTATTAGCCTCCCTTTGAATTTTTTTTCTTTTTTAAATATTTCCTAAATGATGTTTAACAGAGCAGGGAAATTTTCACAGTATGTCTGATAATATTTTTCTTCTGGAGAAAGTCTTGTTTGTTTTATTTTGGCTAGAATAAAAACAGTTTTTACTTTTTAAGACACCATTTTAAGGTCAATATTATTAGCCACTTTAAGCTATATTTTTTTCGATAGCCTACAGAACAAACCATTGGTATACAATAACTTGCCTAATTACCCTAACCTGCCTAGTTAACCTAATTAAGCTAGTTAAGCCTTTAAATGTCACTTTAAGCTTTATAAAAGTGTCTTGAAAAATATGTAGTCAAATATTTTTAATGTCATCATTTAACTGTGTGTGTGTGTGTGTGTGTGTGTGTGTGTGTGTGTTTGTTTGTTTGTTTGTTTGTGTGTGTGTGTGTGTGTGTGTGCGCGTGTGTGTGTGCGTGCGTGCGTGCGTGCATGCGTGCGTGCGTGTATTATGCGTGTATGTACCTGTTTTTTTTTTTTCAGCTTAATTAAGCACATTTTAAACTTGATTCATTACTATATTAAACCCTGATGGTCATTTTTAATATTACTGTTATTTTCGACTAATACAATAACATGATATTTTAGGTCTTACAGTGTATCAGTGGTGAACTGTTATTATTATTATTATTATTATTATTATTATTATTATTATTATTATTATTATTATTATTATTATTATTTAAAACAAACAAAGTTACATTCTTTGCCTCATTTAATAATTTAATTTAATTTCATCAGGAATGAGAAACTATCAAACTCTTATTATCACTAATAGCAAATAAATGGTATATACAATATAAATTATATAAACAATGGTAGAATCACACTGGTACTTCTGAGGAACATATTTATTTGACTAAAATCATGACAAAAGCTGCTACTCCATATTTTTGTGATTTAAATGCAATTTTTTGTTGAATTAAATGGTTGATTTTCGTCTGGTTTGGTGAGAATCACTGTATAGTTGAATTACATTGGATGTATATTTGTTTTCGCTATGAACTTTTTATAATATTGACCACATTTTCTGGTGGTTCCAGTCCCATGACAGACTTCAAGTCTATGGAGGACATTCAGACATGGTGATGTGCATGGTGATCCACAAGAGCATGGTGAGCACATCTTTAAAAACAGCCTACTGAGATCGGATAACTTGCCATACAGATTTACAGACATTTAATAACTAAATAAATGTTTATAAAAATGAGGTGACGTCTACTTGTCTGTTGCAGATCTACACAGGCTGCTATGACGGGAGCGTAAAAGCTGTCAGACTGAACCTGATTCAGAACCACCGCTGCTGGGTAAGACTCTGAGCTCATGACATCTGAATGTATTAGGACCCTGGTATACTTCAAATGACAACAAATAACAACGTAATTTCAAACAAAAGTGCCCAAAAATAAGTTATTTTCGAGTTTGTTTCTGCTCACCAAAGCAGACTTCTGAGGGAATTAGTTTTGGCTTCTAAACACCTTTGCGCTACCATTGGGCCATGGGGATTACACAATCATTGGGTTTGTTCTGGATCTCAGCCTTTTTTTTTTACTTGCTTTTTCTTCCCCTTGAATCATTTCATGCAGGTCAGAGCGAACAGCATCCAAAATAACATTACTAGACACAAATGCACTGGGGAGTCAGGTTGCAGAGCTGGTACAGATGTATCCGCACCTGTACGATTGCTCATAGAGAGATTTTAAAGATTTGGAGTGGGTCAAAACAAACGTAAAGCAAACCCTCTTGCACCACATCTTTTCTGTGAGTTTGCACACAGTGGGCTATGCGGTGTCTGTCCACAACGAATAAAAGAAGATGTGATGTGCAGCAGAAGGCTCCCAGCCAAACAATCATGAAACCGTTCTTCTCTCTCAGCCACCATTATTGAGTTGAGTTGTACTTTATTATCCTTTTCAGGAAATTTATCTTGGACTTAATTAGCACATTTGTCTTAGACAAATAACATGTAACATTTACCCACACCAATAAGATTTAAAAGACCTTCAAGGTAATTTACCTTTTAAATTGATATCTAATGGACATTGGTATAAATAACTTCTTGTAACAATTACTTTTACACAAAGGAACTCTATACTCTATTGCTTTTCTGATGGCAGTACTTCATACATTGAAAATAAAACATGATTTGGATCATTTGCTATAACTTGTTTATTTCTAAAAACCAACAAACTTAGGTTGACTGAAGTGATGTATACGCTCTTACACCAATCACTTTCATGGCAATTTTAACAAGACGTGCAAGTTGTGTTTTTGATTAAACTGACAGACTGCCATACCAAGCCTGCATACCATAATTTAGTAAACTTCCAAAAACTGCATGATAAAACAGCAACATGATTCTTTTACTTACACCAATCAGTTTGAGTCTTCTGAAAAATATATAGTTTTTGTAGAAATTTTGAGCTGTAGTCAGTGTGGGCTTTCCAATTCAGTGTACGGTCAATGACCACCTCAAGATTCTACTTTTCATACAAGATAATTACTGGACTGTCACAGTGTTTTTTAGGACCACTATCATTTGTATCATATATCATCTCTATCATATATTGTGATTATGGTTACATGCGATCAACGTGAGTGTTTAAAAACAGTATAACGTCACACCTCAGCCGTTTCCAACTTCTTTTTGCCCTTAAACGAAGAATGAAAATAACTTAGTGTGAAGTATACTGAGGCCTTTACAGTCAGACAGCACAATTCCTGATACCAGTTAATAATCTGCATGACTCTTAACAGTGGCATGGCTGTACTCTCATCTTCGGGGTGATGGAGCACCTGCAGCAGCACCTGCTGAACGATCACACCAGCCCAGCACAGCAGACCTTCAAATGCCGCTGGAGGAACTGCGACTCCTTCTTCACAACCCGCAACAGCTCCAAAGAGGTGAGCCAGAGTTCCCATACTCTTAATTAGGGGCTGATCACAACGATAACGCTTTTCCATTCTGTTGTTGACAAGAGAAAAAGAAGTGCGTGTGCTTTTTTCTCTAGCTGGACAACAACTAAATCAGCTGCATATTGTGCGTGAGTGTTGCTGTTGTTAGTTATAATATTTAGGCCCAATCCCAATTTTATTTTTGTACCCCTACCTCTTCCCCTTAAAACCGAGTGTGAAGGGGAAGGACTTCAAAATTTACCCTTAAGAATTGGGACTGCACTACAACACCTGCACACGTCATCATATATCATCGCGATCTCTTGCTTTATATGAGATTGACGATCATAACTGCTGTAGTTATTTCAGTTGTGTTACTTGTGGGTTTTTATCTACAGGAAATCATTGAAGGCAATAATATCATGTTATCATAACGATATAGTGTGGCAATAAGCTTGTAACTGTGCAATTACACCGTGGCCATATTCATCTAGGTAAACACAAGAAACCAACATTAACTTAAGACTAGACACTGTATAAAGGTCTTTTCCAGCCACTATACTTTTCTGACAGGGTATTTTAGTGTCACCGAGTTACAGTATATTGTGGGACTGCTATACTGGAGATTTTATTGGAGATTATAGACAGTGAAATTTAGCAGTTTTTCCTTAAATTTTTATTTTTTTTTTAAAGCATGACTGTAAAACACGAACACCATCATGATTGTATTAAATGTGCTTATTTGTTGTAATAATTCGTAATAATGAGAAAAAAATACTAATTTGTGCATCTCTTGGCTTCCGTGTGCAGCCATGCTGCCGTTGTTGATGGTGCATTCTGGAAATAGTTTTTGCCCAAGTGTGGTCCTGAAAAATCTCAGTTTGAAGGGGTATCTAGCCCTAGCCCTTGGCCCAACGCCTTCAAGCTAAAGAGAATTGGGACACCTATCCTTTCACTTGAATGTGCAAAATGAGGGTTAAGGGGAGGGCTAAGGCAGGGGTGGGCAAACTCGGTCCTGGAGAGCCGGTGTCCTGCACAGTTTAGCTCCAACACTAATCAAACACACCTGAACATGGTAATTTGTGTCTTCAAGATCTCAAGAAATCTATAAGCAGGTGTGTTTGATTAGAGTTGGAGCTAAACTGTGCAGGACACCGACCCTCCAGGACCGAGTTTGCCCACCCCTGGGCTAAGGGGTAGAATTGGGATTGGGCCTTAATAATATTGTTATATTCAATATTTGTGAAGCCATACAACCCCTGAATAACTCAAAACAGCAACCATTAGTGTCTCATTCATTTTTAAGAGTCTTTGTAATCATTTTGACAACACAAACACTGCTGTCACCTCAACGGAAACCCTTCCTCTGCTTCCATTTCATTGGAGAATGAAAAAGACGTGACTTATGTAATGCGGGTTTTCCACTCGGAGTTGACTTCTTTCAACTGCGGGCGCACAGTGCGCAACGGCAAAAATGTAAGGCACAACAGGGCGCATAAACAGCTCGCAAAATGCTTTCAGCCCTTAAAAAATATTCACATGATGCGTCTCAATGCAAAAAACACATTCGGTGTGACCAGCGGCTAAGTAATCAGGATTAGTGGTTGACTAACATGTTTTTTGAAGGCCTATGCTGATTTGTTTTGTAATTCTATAAATAAAATAATGTTTTAGGGATTTTATGTTGGTCACTAATTGATTTTTTGGTCACTAATTGATTTTTTTGGTCACTAATTGATTGTTGTGTTTGTAGGCCGTGCATTGTCACATGCAGAAACATGCTGAGGACGACAGTAAAATGGAGCCATGAGGGGCCAAAGGAATATCGGACATAACCTGCTCTTTTTTTCCCATATTGGGAATGTCATTCAATTTTCACCAGAGGAGCCCTGTTCATGGGTATATTTTTATACGAACCATCAGATACCAACAACTGCCTCTTAGATGATGTCAAGTTAATCAGCTATGGTCATTTTAATATCTGAGAAGTTGTTTTTATGTCAAAGAAAAACAAGTAAGATGTTCACGTGTAAGTTTAAACAAAAAGCTCTCTAAGAGGATGTGTTTTGTTTGTATGTTGATGAGAGGAAGTCATTCGTCTCCTCTTTCACTTCTATCCGAAGTGTGAAATATGCTCAATTCTTTTATACCGATGTGGCATTGCTCTGATCAAACAGATTGATTTCTGTATCAGACAAACACTCATCTGATTATACACCGTATCGTCAGCTCTGAGATTTACTGACCAAATAAAGACAGAGAAACTGTGAGAAACGTTTGGGTACCAGTACAGCAATAGAGGTGCGGCAGCTCCCTCAGCAAACACGTGCAGTTTTTCCACTCACTATTGTGTGTGCGGAGTTTAGAGATCCTCTGATGTGCGATTTAAAAGGCTTGTCATGTCGAGCAACCAGATTTTATCAGGTTAAAAGCCAGTGTGATCTGAGTCACATCTATATGTGCTGTGAAGTTAGAATCAAATGTGGATTGTGTTTCAGTGTGAACGGTAAGACGGGATTTTAGTTTGTTTTTCCTCATCATTCATTGGGCCTCTTTTGGTGTGGCGGTAATGCAGCTAACAAACTCACCTGAAACAGCGTGACCGGAGATGCATCTATATGTGATGTGCATTTAGTGCCAGTTTAGATTGTGTTTCAATGTGAATGGTAAGACTGAATTTGAAACAATCGTTCTCATCAAACTGCTTTTATTTTATAACCATCCAGATTACAAATTCGCACATAACCCAATCGGAATGAATCTGAATCGTCTTAATATGGAAAGTCAGATTGGATTTTGAATCGTTTTCCTCATCACATTTATTTGTGGTGTGAAATCAGAATCAAATCTGAAATGTGCTTCAATGTAAAGGTTCTGATTGGGTTTTCAATAGTTTTTCTCATTATTCGCAGTGTATAAACCAGAATTTGTTGAAGTAAAAACGCAGGTTACCATTTCATATGAAACCCAATGTGATCTGAATCCATATGTGGTGTGAAATCCGAATTTGATGTAGATTGTTTCAACGTGAATGGTCATATTTAATTTGTTTTTAATCATTAATCGTAATACACCTTTAAGTGTGGTAAAAACGCAGCTTGCACACTCACACAAAGCACAGTGTGACCTGAATTGCATCCATACGTTTTGTGCAATCAGAGTGAAACTAGATTGTGTTTCAGTGTTAATTGTCAGACTGGATTTGAAATAATTGCTCTCATCAGTCTGATTTTTGTTTTATAACCTTGCAGATTACAAATTTGCACACAACCCAATGTGAATCTGAGTTGTTCTAATGTGAAAGCGCAGACTGGATTTCAAATGGTATTTCTGATCACATTTATATGTGGTGTGAAATCCTAATCCATGCTGCATTGTTTTAATGTGAAGGGTCAAACAGAATTTCAGATAGTTTTTTCTCATTATTCATAGAATATGAACCAGATTTTGTTTTAGTGAATGCAGGTTACTAATTCATATAATACTGAATTGCATCTACATCTTGTGTGAAATTAGAATCAAGTGTGGATTGTGCTTCAGTGTGAATGGTCACATTGAGTTTTTCCTCATCGTTCATAACGCCTCTTTGTGGTGCGGTAACAATTCAGCTTACAAACTTACATGAAACACAGTGTGATCTGAATTACGCCCATATCTGGTGTGAAATCAGAATCAAATGTGGATTGTGTTTCAGTGTGAATGGTCATATTGAGTTTTTCCTCATCGTTCATAACGCCTCTTTGTGGTGCGGTAACATTTCAGCTCACAAACACAGTGTGATCTGACTTGCATCCATATGTGATGTGAAATCAGAATCAAATTTGGATTGTGTTTCAGTGTGAGTGGTCTATTGAATTTGAAAGAGATTTCCTCGTCATTCTTAAGACCTCTTTGTGGTGCGGCTTATAAACACCATGTGATCTGAATTACATCCGTATGTGGTGTGAAATCAGAATCAAATGTGGATGCTGTTTGAGTGTGAATGCTCAGACTGGATTTGAAATATCTTTTCAAACCCTTTTTAAGGCATCAACCAGATTCTGGTGTTTTGTGTTGATGCAGTTTGTTCTTTTGCAAGTTAAAGTCTTGTTTTTCATTGTTTTATTGGTATTACATACCTTGCGAAGCAATCCACTTTTTACTTCTGCTTTTTTTGTCAAGACACCTGGTGATTTTGTTTCGTTTTTATTTTATTTTTTGGCTATTAGACTTATTTGTTTTAATGTAGTCACTTGAGTGGTTTAAGCAGTTACTTCTACTCAGTAGACATATTTTGTTTGGCTTCTCTGTGGTTGCTCTCTTTATTGAAGAAAAGAAGGATTCGAGTGTGCCGTGACTCTAAGACTGCAGTTGAATTAAGTGTGCTGTGACTATTGACAGAGACTGAAGTATGACAGTTGGTTTGCATACGCCTTAGAGAAATTAATGAATGTGTTTTATGGGAACGTTTGTTTTTTCGATAGTGAAGAAGTTTTTATTATTTACTTCACCGTTTAGAGAATTTTGTGGCACGTGCGCAGCTAAGATTTGTAGTTAATTGAAAGTGCAGGAGGAAGTGCAAGAAAGCAAGTCTTTATTTTGCTGTCGAATGAAAGTTGTTGAAGTGAGAAACATTGGAGGTGTTTTTGTGTGGTTACGAACATATTCACTTCCTATAATCCTCAGCCTTCCTTTTATAGTATTATGCACACACACACACAAACAAAATAAAACCGGCCTAACTATGCATAACAAACTACATAAGCAAATATCGGGTGACATTGTAATATCCTAACATGGTTTCTGATGGTTTTATATAGGTTAACAACGCTCCAAATCTGCGGTGTTGCTTTTTTAACCTCAAATATAGTCAATCAAGTATTTTTTATTTTTTTTTGTCTCCTTTTTGTTTAGTTATATGAATAACCGTACTGTTTGTTTGAATGCATCTCAACTCTTTTGCTATAGTTGTGTGTTGCTGAGGAGAGATTTCAGCTGACCTCTTAGCTGGTGTTCCAGAGTTTCTCACACTTGTTCATTTCAAATACTGTTAAAATCTTTCTAGGAGTTTTGTACACAAAAACTATTGAAACTAAAGGAATAAAAAAGACATACTAAAGATAAGTGTTCTTTTTTGTTTTAAGTGGAAATGAGGCTTAATTGGAAGATTTTTTTACCAAAATTGTCAATTCTGTCTCATTTACTCACCGTTAATCATTTTGAGTTTGTCCAACACAAACAGCGTATGTTTTATACAGCAGATGCCCGTTTAGCTGCAACACAACGCTGCACTTGCCTTCACACTCATACACTTTGGCCAATTCAGTTTATTCCATTGACATCCATAGTATTTGATATCTGTTTGTCCTACACTCTCAGAAATAAAGGTATGGGAGCTGTCACTGGGGTGGTTCCTTTTCAAAGGGTACAAATTTGTACTGTAAAGGTCCATATTAATACCTCAAGGGTACATACTAGTACTTGAAAAGTGCAAAAGTGTACCCCTTAACATTTTTGGGTTCTAATAAATACTTTTGAGGTACCAATATGGACCCTTTAAGTACAAATGTGTACCTGTTGAAAAGGTATTACCCCAGTGACAGCTCATGTACCTTTCCATTTCTAAGAGTGTACTCTGGATGTCAATGGCTACCAGTTTCTTCAAAAAGTTTCTTTAAAAATATCTTCTTTTGTGTTCAACAGATTTAAAAAAAAATGGCTTAAATGTGTCAATAAATGATGGCAGGATTTAGATTTTGGAGTGGACTAACACTTTAATGCAGGGGTGCTCAATCCTGTTCCTGGAAATCTACCTTCCTGCAGATTTCAGTTGCTACCCATATCAAACACACCTGAACCAATTAATTAGGACCTGAACACCACGTGATAATTACAGGCAGGTGTGTTTGATATGGGTAGCAACTGAAATCTGCAGGAAGGTGGCTCTCCAGGAACATGATTGAGCACCCCTGCTTTAATGGATGTTATATTGATATTAACATTTTCCGTCAAGTACAGTACAGCACTAATCTTGGTCAAAATAACAATGGTGGCTTAAAAAAAGTTATAGTACCTGCTTGTTTTACTTTTGACTTGAACATGTAACCCTTCTACCAAATTAGTTTTATATGGAAAATCACCATTTTATTTCACAATCGGCACATATGTGTGAATGAATAGGCTTTAAAAAGACTTTTTTCATTGGAAAGCACTTCAGCCAAGAACTACACAATGATTTATTCAGTTAAACAAGGTAAAGTCAGTACACTCATTTGTACAATAGGTTAAATGAGGGTCAAGCACACACACACAAAAAAAGCCTAGGTTCGACCCATATCTTCACCCACAGTAATTAAGGTAAGACCCTGAATGTTGCCGTCCATCATGAGCTTTGAGGTTTTGAGATCCATGATTCTCCTCCTCCTTCAGTTTTTTATGATCCTCCTTCTTCACCATGTTCCTGTCTCCCAAACAACCAGGATTTGAAAGGGGGAACAAATGATGTATGCTTTATTTCCTAAATGATATCACCAAATCATGACTGAGAAGTTGGGATGGACAGCACGTCGAGTCGAGGTGAAGATGGAAAGGCATTCTCTGATAAAGGGATGTTGTCATGATTTCTAAGTGTAGAACTAACTCCGCATTCAAATGTGGATCAAATTTTGGCTGTTTTTCAGTATGAAAGGTCAATTTAAGTAGTCAGTTGTATCAGTAAGTGATATTGTTGAAGGTTATATCCAAATCTACTTGACTTCAATTCCTTCCTATTTTAACTATTGAGTTATTTATATTGTTATCTATAGTTTATTGGCTCCATCAGCATATAGCAGAGAGGAATTTCAGGGCTATAATACATAAGCGTTTTTGAGGCTAGCTGAGGAAAAGCGAGAAACGCTGCCTGTGACACTAGTGTAGACAAACTGAATGCAGTTCATGTGTAATGACTTCAAAGAACAAGTTATGACAGAAGATCGTCTGAGGATGACTTATGCCTCAAAAGCTGCTTGCGCACAGTGCCCCTGAAAGATTGCCTCAAATGTGCTGCCCGCCAACATTAGACCCGTCTTACCCTCTATAAATGATAAATGTAGAGGGGCAGTCGTGTTGAGCTGAGGTACAGAGAAAGAGGTAACAGTAGTCTGGCAGCATTGAGTGTTGAGGTAAAAGCTGGTAGTTCTGGTCCTTGCCAAGTCCGGGCTCACCTGGATCTGTAGCTTGCCTACGCGTACATGGTTAGCTGGAGCCACTGGGGGGGAATAGAAAATAGGCAGAATTTGAAATTAATCACATGGAAAGGTTTTAACATTAGAAATTAGAGCATGGCTTAAACTGTGATTTCATCCATGATTTGGTCAAATTTTGGAAATCCTAAAAGATTCTTATGATCTTTGGCTAAAATCTATTTACAACAAGGAGGCTACAGGGAGGCTAAACATATGGTAATAATAAACGTTTACGAAGTACTTTTAAACTTTCAAAAATCACGATCGCTATATATATATACATACATATATATATATATACATACATATATATATATATATTTATATATATATATATATATATATATATATATATATATATATATATATATATATATATATATGTGTGTGTGTGTGTGTGTGTGTGTTAAATCAATTATCATCATATCATCAATCATAATCACGATTATTTTGGTCATAATTGTAATCACGGTTATTCAAAACGATTATCAGTTGAAGTCAAAATTATTTGCCCTTTAGTGATTTTTTTATTTTTTTACATATATATATATAAACATTTCCCAAATTATATTTAACAGAGGAAGTTTTCACAGTAATTGCTATAATATGTTTTCTTCTGGAGAAAGGCTTATTTTTTTTATTTTGGCTTAAATAAAAGCAGTTTTAAATATTTTGAAACCTATATTAATAGCTCAATATTATTAGCCCCTTCAAACAATATATATTTTTGATTGTCTGCAAAACAAACTACTGTTATACGATGACTCGCCTAATTACCCTAATTAAACCTTTAAATGTCACTTTAAACTGAATACTAGTATTTTGAAAAATATCTAGTAAAATATAATGTACTGTCATCATAGCAAAGATAAAAAGAAATCAGTTATTAGAAATGAGTTATTAAATCTGTTATGTTTAAACTGTGCTTCAAGCATCCGCACTGTAAGAAAAAAAAAACTTCAGCTACAAAAGTCCTTCAGACAAGAGCAGTGAGGCATTTTCTCCTTTTGTTGTTTGATTAATAATAAAAACAGTCGGCAGCAGGAATATTGCACGCTGTCACTTTAAGAATAGTGCGGCTCTGATATGGTTTCTCTTTCACGTGTCTTTTGATTCTCAACTCGTTTGTGTATAACACAAATGAGGGTTAATATGAAAAATCTCTAAACACCGCATTCTGACACAAATGTGCATGTATTTGACCATAAAAGCGCTCTCATTAAGATGGCGTTAGCAACAGCATGTGCTCTTTCACGCTTTTAAAAATATGAATAATGCGCATCCCATGCTGCAAAAGTTACATTACAGCACATGCTTTTTACACATTTTCACGAGGAACTGAGCTTTGCAGAGCAACAAATGTGTACAACTGGAAAGGGGACGGTATATGATGGAATAAATGTTTATCTCGATTAATGTTTTTTCGTAATCGTTAGAAGCAACAATCGAAATTGAAACCGAATTTTCGATTAATTGCACAGCCCTAATATATATCTATATATCCATGCCTGATAAAGTAGGTGGGTAGTAACGAATTACATTTACTTCAATACATTTACCTGATTAAAATTGTTGAGTAACGTGTACTTTTAGAGTACATTTAAAAATGTGTACTTTTACTCAAATAAATTATTAGAGAAAAATCATTACTTTTACTTTGCTACATTGGTCGATGTTCCTCTGTTACTGTCAAATGATAATAAATATGATTTAAATGACTTGTTTGCAAGTACCGCGAGGCGCCGCATTGAAGAGATTGTCGCAAGAGGTTGCTATATGAGAGACGCATTTCCAGCTTTCAGTTAAAGCGGAGTTATATTTTCCCCAATTTCTGTTTAACAGAAAGATTTTATCAACACATTTCTATAGTTTTAATAACTGATTTATTTTATCTTTGCCGTGATGACAGTAAACAGTATTTGACTAGATATTTTTCATAATACTAGTATGCAGCTTAGTGTAACATTTAAAGGCGTAACTAGGTTAATTAGGCAAGTTAGGGTAATTAGGCACCTTAAAATGGTTACGAAAACAATAAAGGGTCACGAAACACAAAAACACATGTTTTGACCTGTTGACAGTCGTATATGTGTCCCACACTGCTAAAACGCTATTAGGAAACATATATTTCACAAAAAAATGAAAATTGGTTGTTTTTGCATTATTTCGAGCAAATTTGTACTTTCGGTTTGAAACAAATTTTTGAAGCTGCGTCACGACCATGAATTTCTTAGGGTGTATTCCAGTGTGTAGACTGGAGGTCTGTACCGGAGGGTGCCTTATTACGTTTTTGAGTGTGCTGCATTAATGTATGAGTAAGGCTTGGTTCAAATCAATCAGCGCGCCCTATTGTGCAACTTCATTAATATTCATTAATGTTACAGTGTTTAGACGGCACAAAGACGCCACGTTGTGTTGCCAAAACAAGCATAGAGTGTTGCTTTTATAATTTGCTACAGTGAAGGTTTTGTTTTCATTTTCTCTCTATGAGAGCGCAGCTGGACTCACGTGTGGATTACAGTGCACGGGACGCTCGACAACAATACGTGTCTCAAGAACATTGTTTACCTTTGAGCTTTTCTCATCTGGAAATAGTGAGATCCGGATTTGCTGCTCGTCTCCTCTTAATAAAGACGCGGCTCTTGTTGGTGTTAATTGTCCTGTCTCTACAGATTTGGTAAGTGAGCAACCAGTGGTCTTTGTTTATTCAGATGGCAATGTTAGTTCGTATCGAACACCGAGTATAAACATCTTAGCACAACAATCAAACTTACCGTCGTGTAGGATTTTCACTGCATTTTGTGACAGGAAACATTTTGTAACACACACAGCTTTCTGATGCTACCTGCCGTGTGCATCTAAGTTTCCGGGAAATGCCAACTCCCATTTTTATGCAAATTATTTACAGACCCTCCCTCTTTTGCTCCTCCAACACTCCCCCCTAAAAAGAGCTGGACAAGCCCACTTTCCTCACTTTTTCCAAAGTAGAGGTGTAAAAACACCCTGCTGAAACAAGGGGGTATCGTAGCCCTTTAAAAACAGCTTTTATTTTAGCCAATATAAAACAAGAATATTATTTAAAAAAAACATTTATATATACATATATATATATATATATACAGTAAAATTAAAATTATAAAAGCAACACTCTATGCTTGTTTTGGCAACACAACGTGGCGTCTCTCTGCCGTCTGAACTGTAACATCAATTACTGTACATCACTGATTTTGCTTCAGCGTCCAGATTCTTGAACATTACAGGTAGTTATTGTCATAGTTTTAACCTCCACTATGTCTGTATTTTTATTTTATTTTACTCATGATTATGAATTGTTTCAGTATTTACTGCTATTTTGTTTGTGCTGAAAAGTACATTACAGCAAACGTACAGAACCTTTGAAAACAAACCACATTAACAGTAACTTTACATGAAAAATTCACTGATGTGTGTTTGATTTGATGATTGTTGAATGATTGAAACATCTTACAGGATGGCTGAGCACGATTGGTTTCTGGGAAGAAGGATGGAGTTCAGAGGAGTGAGGCAGGATATTGCTAAACTTTGTAGGAACCTACCATGACCAAGTTTGCACAGTACTGATGTAGAGATCTTAGACGTTACTCTGTTAAATGATCCAAATCACTCACCTCCAGTACACTGAGCCTGATGCTGCCATCTCCACATTGGTCAAAGGCCTGGAATGCTCCTATAAGAAAAACAGGTTTGAACACTGTGTGATTTTAATATACACAAATACCAAATTAGCTGTCATGGACCTTTCTTAATCCTATCCCCTTCCCTCTTCCTCCCTCACTTCATTTTTTGTCATTTCCTTTTCTGTCCTATCATAAAAAAGGCAAAATGGTCAAAAATTTTAAATCTCTTGTATGGTTTACAAGTATAAACATGAGCACAAGCAATGAGAAGCTAGCTGTAATTTTCCTAATGGCCACTAGTGTCACTTTCTGAATTGCTGAATAACTGCATTAGTCTGCTGTCAAAAGCCATATTTATCCACCTATTTTGACTATCACATAATAAAGCTTAAGGGAAACACTAAAATCTGCATCATTGGTAAAAATGAGCATGCACAACTGAGTAAGATTAACATAAAAAACACACACACATTTACCAGTTGAATTGAAAAAAGTCATGTGATTTTGTTTTAACGTTTCAAGTGATAACAGAAAAGTATTCTTTCAGATAGGACGGCATTAATGAACAAACCAACCATTAGTGGACAAACCTTGTTGCACAATTTGTGAAATGTTGTTTTGGCCATTCTAAAACGCCTCAGCCAGAGTCTATCATCATCGTGATTTTACATCAAAAGCCATTTATAACTGCGTTCATTGCCATTAGTCTTCATCTTCGTCAATTACATAAATAAAAACAACCAACAGTGGCTTCTCCCAGAGGAGCCGCCTGACAGGTAAAGTTAGGATGATTTTAAGGGCCCACGAGTTACTATTTAGTAACTATTGGTGGGGGATGGGGGGTGGGGTCCTCTTTCCTCTAACTCATTGGATGGAAACGGTGCCGTTTCGTAAATGTTTTATGTGACATTTCAGTTTAGCAGTTTAATGCGCACCTAAATTATGGGAACATAATTAATATTCATTAATTTATATTTTCTTTTTGGCTTAGATAATCCGTTTATTAATCCGGGGTCGCCACAGCGGAATGAACCAATTCAATTCAATTCAATTCAGCTTTATTTGTATAGCGCTTTTACAATGTAGATTGTGTCAAAGCAGCTTCACATAAATGGTCATAGTAACTGGAACAGTGTGGTTCAGGTTTTAGTGTTTAAGTTCAGTTCAGTTGAGTTTAGCTCAGTTCAGTGTGATTGAATCATTACTGAGAGTTCTAACACTGAAGAGCCAATTCATCGATGCGTATCTATACTAATCCTGAACCATGCGAGGCAGTGGCGACAGCGGAGAGGGAAAAAAAACTTCACCTGATGGGAGTGAAGAAAAAAAACCTTGAGAGAACCAGACTCAGTTTGGCACGACCATTTTAATTTCTCCGCTGGCCAAAAAGTCTTGTGCAGAACTTCATTCATCGTGGTTTAGGCTGGAAGATGGCCTCAGCGAAGACTCGTCTGTCCCTGGAGCGTCGCTGGAATCAGACTCATGTTCTCCACTCTTAGACCCACCAACTTATCCAGCACATGTTTTACACAGCGGATGCCCTTCCAGCCGCAACCCATCACTGGGAAACATCCACACACACACTAATTCACACTCATAGACTACGGACAATTTAGTCTACCCAATTCACCTGTATCACGTCTTTGGACTGTGGGGGAAACTGGAGCCCCCAGAGGAAACCCACGAGAACCCCGGACGAACATGCAAACTCCACACAGAAACTGACTCAGCCGAGGCTCAAACCAGAGACCTTCTTGCTGTGAGGCGACAGCACTACCTACTGCGCCACTGCGTCGCTACAATATATTAATAATAATTATAATTCCTTACATTTAGATAGCGCTTCTCTAGACACTCAAAGTGCTTTACACAATGGGGGGTGGGGGGGGATCTCCTCATCCACCACCAGTGTGCAGCAACCACCTGGATGACGCCACGGCAGCCATTTTGCACACCACACACCAGCTGATTGGTGGAGAGGAGACAAGAGTGATGAAGCCAATTATAATATGAGGATGGTTAGGAGGCTATGGTGGACAGAGGATTTTTAACGACCACAAAGAGTCAGAACCTCAGTTTTTAACGTCTCATCTGAAAGACTGCACTCACTGAGCAGTATAGAGTCCCCTTCTTTATACTGGGGTGTTAAGACCCATACAGACCGCAGGTTGAGCACTCCCTGCTGGCCTCACTAACACCACTAGTGGCAGCAACCTAGCTTTCCTGTGTGGTTTTCCATCCAGCTACTGAGCGGGCGCAGCCCTGTTTAACTTCAGTGGGCGACCATGTAAGAGTTGCAGATAGCTAGCTGCCAGCTAATTGTCCGTTATTTTTTTTTCTCTGTAACGTTTTCTTAAATTTAAAAACATACTTTTACTATTAGTTGCGGTGCTAATGCTGGACACTAAGAGATGCACATAGTTCCCCTTACAGACACATAATTCTCTCTTCCTTTACTTTCTCGCTATCTTTAATCACAAATACATTCATATCTATAGTAATAACGACATTAGCCTGATATCTAAGACTCAAGCCTGCTACTAGCTTTAAAATGTTTCGAAATTAACGATGGGATGAGATGGATAAGACAGTGTTACTCAACCATGTTCCTGGAGGACCACCAGCTCTGCACATTTTCAGTGTCTCCTTAACCAAACACACCTGAATCAGATCATCAGCTCATTAGCAGAGACTGAAGGAACTGTAATGGGTGTGACTGACAAAGGAGACATCCAAAGCATGCAGTGCTGGTGCTCCTCCAGGAACGTGATTGAGAAACACTGGCATAAGATACTTATCCTGCACACAAGAGCAGTTTGAAGACAAAAACAGTAGAAAAAAAAGTCCTGAAAGATTTAAATAATCAGAATAAAGTCTTTTAGTGTAATCATAGTACAATATATTGGCCAACTTACTGAACATCCCCTCCAGTCGCACAAGGCAGCTGATGAAACTCTCAAAGTCGACATTCATGCTTTCGTTGGCGTAGCGCATGGTGATGATGTCATACAGCTGGTTGTTCAGACGGAACCCTGAGTGACACACAAGACACGTGACTGTACAGTGAACAAATCCAGCAGGGTTAGTCGAATGTCCTTCAGCGCAACAGATGAACACATGAACTCAAAACTCAAGACTGACCTGCGTCATTGATGGCGTTTCTCATCTCATAGCTGCTGATAGTGTCATTATGATCAAAGTCATAGCGCTTAAAGATTTCCTGCAAACAAAATGTAAGTTACAGCATGTGACGGTCTTTGTTTTGGGATTTATATAGGGTATAATGACAAAAAAATCAAACCTGCCACTGTTTGATTTTGTTCCACAATTGTCTAAACTCTTGCAGGTTAAGTCTTCCTGTTCCATCCATCTGTGTGGTTCAGATTAAGAAAGGTTTGCTTGAAGCATTGTACACACTTTTGTCTTTTTCAATATTTTTTTTCGCATTTCAGTGTTTACGTTTGTATTGTCAAGCTTTTACTATGGGCAATAAGATGTATCGCCATTAGAATCAGCAGCGCAACAAACAAGAATCACATTGCTCATAGTAAACAATCACCCTGATGATCTGACGAGGAAGAGCAGACATTAGCGAACAGTCATTTTTATAGTGTACGAAAGTGTTGCTGGATCTTTAGTGTATACATCACTGCACATTGGTTGACTGTGCACAATATACTGACTCTGAAGAGTGGAAAAGTGTGTGTACAAAAGTACAAAAGTAGCTTGACAATATTCCAATTCAACCACTGAAATGACATGGAATATTTTGAGGATGTTTTCTTGGCTTTAGATGTCTTCGAATTGTTGCTGTCAAAGAAGGATGAGGGAGCTCTCAGATTTAATCCAAAACATCCTAATTTGTGTTCTGAAGATGAACAAAATTCTCAAGAAAGGTATAAACGAAGATTGGAGCCAGCTCCAAATGAGTGTGACTTTTTATATCTTCTACATGACATGTCCACACTAAGTCCAAACTATTGTGTTTTACTAACATCTGCACCCACCACAACCCTTAACTAAACCTCACAGTAACCTTTTGTGTTTTAGAAATGTCTACACCTACCACAACCCTAAACCCAACCTCAGAGTAACCTGTTAAGTTTTAGTAACATCTACACCTACCCCAACACTAAACCCAATCGCACAGTAACCTGTTGTGTTTTAGTAACAACTACACGTACCTCAACTCTCAACCAACTTCAAAGTAACCTGTTGTATTTTAGTAACATCTACAACTACCCGAACCTTAAACCCAACCTCAAAGTAACCTGTTGTGTTTTGGTAACGTCTACACCTACCACAACCCTCAACCCAACCTCACAGTAACCTTTTGTGTTTTAGTAACGTCTACACCTACCACAACCCTAAACCAACCTCACAGTAACCTGTTGTGTTTTAGGAATGTCTACACCTACCACAACCCTAAACCCAACCTCAGAGAAACCTGTTAAGTTTTAGTAACGACTACACCTACCCCAACCCTCAACCCAATCGCACATTAACCTGTTGTGTTTTAGTAACGTCTACACCTACCACAACCCTCAACCCAACCTCACAGTAACCTTTTGTGTTTTAGTAACGTCTACACCTACCACAACCCTCAACCCAACCTCACAGTAACCTTTTGTGTTTTAGTAACGTCTACACCTACCACAACCCTAAACCAACCTCACAGTAACCTGTTGTGTTTTAGGAATGTCTACACCTACCACAACCCTAAACCCAACCTCAGAGAAACCTGTTAAGTTTTAGTAACATCTACACCTACCCCAACCCTCAACCCAATCGCACATTAACCTGTTGTGTTTTAGTAACGTCTACACCTACCCCAACCCTAAACCAACCTCACAGTAACTTGTTGTGTTTTAGTAACGACTACACCTACCACAACCCTAAACCAACTTAAGAGAAACCTGTTAAGTTTTAGTAACATCTACACCTACCACAACCCTAAACCCAACCTCACAGTAACCTGTTGTGTTTTAGTAACGTCTACACCTACCCCAACCCTACACCAACCTCACAGTAACCTGTTGTGTTTTAGTAATTTCTACACCTACCCCAACCCTAAACCAACCTCACAGTAACCTGTTGTGTTTTAGTAATTTCTACACCTACCCCAACCCTAAACCAACCTCACAGTAACCTGTTGTGTTTTAGTAACGTCTACACCTACCACAACCCTAAACCAACCTCACAGTAACCTGTTGTGTTTTAGTAACGTCTACACCTACCACAACCCTAAACCAACCTCACAGTAACATGTTGTGTTTTAGTAACGTCTACACCTACCACAACCCTAAACCAACCTCACAGTAACCTGTTGTGTTTTAGTAACATCAATATATACCACAACCCTAAACACAAGCTACTTGTGGCATAACTCATACTTAAAGCTCCCTGGGCGGCAGCGATTCCTACTTGAAATTCTAAGGTGCCTGATTGGAACAACATAGGGTAAATATTACCAGATTTTTCTTTTCTTCATTAGCGGAAATTTGAAACCAAATTCCTTTAGATGGATTTTTCCAACATGACTCTAACCCATTTCTGCTTGATTACCTTCAAAACAGATAGCAAGAGCATTCAAACTTGATACAAAGGATACGTCCATGAGGGCAATCATGCTTCTACAGCACTCTCGACTGAAGCTCTCGGTGTGAATGTCCTTGTCTGTGAATACCAGATAGTTTCTTGACAACATTTTACAGAGTAATCTGCCAAAATTGTTATACAAATATATACATACGTTTAGACACCACCTTGTTCAAGACATCTTTAAGCTCGTTGGCAGAGACCTCCATGTTCTGCAAAATACAAGAAGAAACAGAAAGGCAGGTGTTGTATTTGTTACGACAAAGTGGATCTGATAGGATCTGAACAGTTACCACTGTTACCACTGGCATGGTCAATTACCGGTCCCACCCCACCACCATACTCACACTCCCCCAAGCGCTCACTGCCTCCCCAGTACTCACGTCCCCCGCGATGTGCTGGAAAATGGACAGGAACTGTTGGTCCTCTTCGCTCTCCTCCCCAGTTGAAGCCGGAGAAGGCTGATCAGACATGAGAGTTGTAAGTTGCGTGTATTAGAACAATTTTGACAAATATGGAGAAAAACTAGTACAAATGATCTTCTCTGAAGAAAAGTGCCAACAGATTTGTCAACAGATTTTATCTGGGTCACAGCACCAGTTAAATCTTTTTAGTTCTTCTCGCACTGTGGAAACTAGTGTTGTAGGCATAGGAGCTCAGTGCACTGATTAGGACAATCAAGACCACAACACTTAGATTTAGTCACTAATCCACCTCTAGAGGTAAGGAGAGTGAAGTTTACTTCTCTCCTACAAGTTGGCCTCCATTACACTCATACCCTTAAATTCCACTCCAATCTGTGTCCTAGTATCAGTGTAACTCCTTAAACATAAAAAATACATGCTGATTCCCAGTACTCATCCCTTTATACCTCACTTTCAACCAGGTCATGGCATCAATTTCAACCATTTAATTAAATTGGTCCCAGAACTGGGCAGAATTCAAACTGTTGTTTCAGGCATAGGCAGTGGACGCACTAACAAGGACACTAAACAACCAAGCTTCAAGCCAATTCACCAATCCATTACTTGAGAACTCAGGAGTAAGGTTTACTCGCATGACTCCTACAAGATGGCCCTTATTACACTCACCCCCCTAAACTTCACTCCAATCCAGATCACAGTATCATTGTAAACCCTTCACCACAGTGAATATAAACGGATCCACATTACACTCATCTCCTTATACCTCAGTTACATCCAGGTCATTGCACCAAATTCAACCATTTAGTTTAACCAGTGCTAAAACTGAAACAGGATTCAACTGGTGTTTCAGGCATAGAAGGTGGGTGTTGCAATAAAGATATTACAAACCACAGCCTCTAGCTTCAGCCACTAATTCACCTCTTGAGATCAGGAGCGTGAATTCACATAGTTTCTACAAGATGGCCTCCATTACACTCATCTTCCTAAATCTCACTCCAATCTGTGTTCCAGGATCAGTGTAATTCCTCTGTGACAGCAAATACAAGTTTTTCCCATTACACACATGCCCTTATACCTCACTTCCATCCGGGTCATGGCACCAATTTCAACAATTTAGTTTAACTGGTCCTAGAACTAAGCAGGATTCAAACTGCCAGGTATAGGCAGTGGATGCACTAACAAGGACACTAAATAACTAAGCTATTAGCTAGTTCACTAATCCATTACTTGAGACGTGAGGAGTAAGGTTTACTCACATAGCTCCTACAAGATGGCCCTTTTTACACTTACCCCCTAAACCTCACTCCAATCCAGGTCACAGTGTGAACCCTTTACCACAGTGAATATAAACTGATCCACTCATGCCCTTATACATTAGTTACATCCGGGTCACGGCACCAATTTCAACCATCTAGTTTAACTTGTCCCAAAACTGATTGGGATGCAACTGGTGTTTCTGGTATGGGAGGTGGGTGTTGTAATATTCTCTAGATTTATGGTCATTAGATGTAAAGACCATATCCTCTAGATTTAGTCATTAATCCACCTCTTGAGATCAGGAGAGTGAATTTCACTCACATAGTTCCTACAAGATGCCCCCCATTACACTCACCCCCCTAAATCTCACTCCTATCTGTGTCCAAGTATCAGTGCAAACCCTCCACCACAGTGAATACAAGCTGATCCCCATTACACACATGCCCGTATACCTTACTTCCATCTGGGTCATGGCACCAGTTTTCACCATCTAGTTCATTGGGTCCAAAAACTGAGCAGGATTCAAACTGATCATTCAGACATAGGCAGTGGATGCACTAACAAGGACGCAAAATATTTTTCATCACTAATTCATTACTTGAAAGGTGAGGAGTAAGGTTTACTTACAGCTAGCTCGTTACCCTTGCTCAGCTAAACACTATAAAGGGTCATGGCATCATTGTAACCACTCCACCTCTTTGCCCTGCTCCAACAAGTGTTTCAGGTATGAGAAGTGAGTGCACCAACGCTAATGACCACAGGATCTAGATTAAGTCATTAATGCACCTTTTGAGATTAGCAGGGGATGTTTTCTAGCATGACTACACTCACTCATGCAAAATGCACTTCCAAGGACACTAAATACCACAGCCATATTTAGCCACTAACCCATCTCTTGTCATCAGTGGATTGAGGTTTACAGTAGTGAGGGTCAGCTTCTAATTGGTGACCCCCCAATACTTCACTCTCACCCGGGTCACGGCACCAATTTAACCCCTAGGCCATGATAAGAGATATGCTAAAGACTGCAGCCTCTAGCATTGTCTACAGGGATTATGGCTAGTGGAAGCATTTAAATGGCTTGTGTACTTGCTCAAAAACTGATATATACCATTAGATGAATCAAAATACCATACACACTACAGCTGCGTATTGACTCTAGCACAATCAATGGGGTTTTATTTCACAATTAACTGTTGCATATCTGTGTTCGATACATGCAGCCAGTTTTAATAACTGGGGTTTGTTACTATTTGGAATAAGGGCACGTCCTATCTGAACCCAGATTTCAAACACTTTAAGATAATACTTACCACTGGATGATCAGCTTCAATCCTGTTCTCTATCTCCCTGAGAAGAAACCAACAAACATCGGTCACCATAATAAACACCACAGACAAGTTAAACACCATTGTGGGAGGGTTTTCTTTTTGGATCTAGGTTTTCCTTGATATCTAAGCCTACTATTCGATATTTCGTGAGCCATTTTTCAATTATTTTGCTTTCATCAAACATACACCATGTTTTTTTTCTATAACTTCATAGGAATTACTCAAACTTACCTTGTATGATTACCTTACCTTTAATTTTAGCTACAGATTCTTCATAGAATTTAAAAAGAGGTGATATGTTTGATAAATGGTAATAATAATGATAGGATCAGTAAATAATTTATATCTAGGCCGCATAAAGAAACTGGAAATCGTTATTGATATGATCATCAATAAAATGCTATGTATCCCTAATCAGCATTCCTTGAAGATCATCAGCATCCCTTTGTGTGTCCGTGTCTTCCTTGTAGCTGCAGTTTATTTTGCGTCAGATTGGATCAGAACTGAAAGGAAATGTTTACCGGAGGGTCCCAAAATGTGCTGTTGCTTGTCCTAAAAATGATTCCATTACAGCCTCGAACTGGGGCCGATTTCTTCCAGTTCTACAAATCAAATTGTCATTAAAATTTTTGTCCTTGTGTTTTCTTTAGTTCCACCCCATATCCCATCCCTTCCGTGAAGAAAGCTACCAGAATTTACCTTTGTATTCAGTTTAACTCTGTGCCTGTCAATATAAAATGTCTTTGCTTGGTAACACCAAATATGAATTGAAGTAGATAACATGAGTACATAACACAAATATGCAAACACACAAGTAAATAAATGACAGGAAAGATGCAGAATGCGTGACGCATTTGACACAAATGTGGAGAATTTACCTAAATTGTAAGCTTAAAAATTAAACTCAAGTGGAAAATACATGTGAGGTGAAAAACATCCCATGAATAATCTAGAGCAAGTGATGCAATCCGCATCATAAGATGAAGAAATTTGTCATTTTTGTTTGTTTTGAGGCCGCTCACAGAATCGTTTTTTAATATTTAAAAACACAAGATGAAGGGAAGAGAGACTTTTTTTTTAAATATACTTTTTTTGAATTTGCATGTAATCTAAGCATCGATTATTATTAAATGTGTTTTGTTTTTTACCAATAGTAAAAATCATCACTTAAAATCGTCCAGTGCATGTTTACATTTGAAAGCAGGGCAGTGGAACATAAAAACTAACTTTTGCGTGATCGTCAACCTTCTTTTCTAAAACAGAAATGACCTTAATTCACTTGAGAATGAAACAATTATGAAAGATTATATTTGTTTTCAGAGGGTTGAAGACGAAATGGGTTTATAAAAACATTACAGCAATAAACATGTAATACTGCCTTATTTTATTAGATTGCGATTTCATTTTCACTTTATTATTCATTTTTATTTAGTTTCCAAAATGCCATTTTATTTCATTTATGCAGTTTTTGAATAACAATTTAGCATTTTTACCCATTCTTTGTCTTTTTGTCACAATAATAGTTTAATCCCTTAAAGCCATCATGAAACGAAAGTTGAGATTGTCATTTCTTCCACTATCGTAGCATCATACATTCACTTGTAATAAGGGATGAGTATCGTTAAGGTTTTAATGGTATTACTACTTTTATCAATACCACTTATCGGTTCAGTATTTTAAGGGTTCTCTTATCATTACTTTTTTGTGCTGTTTTTCCTTTTATGAAAAACAACACTTTATTTTATTATTACATTTTTAATGAAAAACAAAAACGATAATTGTAAAACAATTAAATATTTTTTTCCCCCTGTATAATGGGTTGAAGGAAAATGATTTTCAGGTTTTTTACCATTCTTCTGGAGAAAACTCAACATGTTTGCCTTTTCTGGCAGAAGATGGGATCTTTCTTGGTTTATAGTGCTCCCTGCAGTTGAAAAGACGATCTTTGAGTTGCAAAATGCAGTTAAATAATCAGATAATGTTTAATATTTTTTATTAACAGATTCGCATAAATGATTGAACAGTGTTTGGGGAGTTAAAAATTTAAAAATAAGCAGCTTTTTATCATTTCCTAATAAGCATAGTTTATTATTAGGCTGTTCATAGGCTATATTTGTAATCACAGCTGATGAAAAAGCATTTTTAATGTTTAAGATTTATTTAGGCTATGGCAGAAAAAGATGCTGTTTTCAATTTAAATGAATTTGTGTGTTTTGTTTTGTTGTGAGAGCTATGTTTTGGACCCTTAACCTTATGTGATTTACTGCTGGCATTCCGATGTGGATGATGTACCTTTAGCTTGGCAGTCGAAAAGTTTTCATTTTTCTTTCTGCAGTTAATACCCTTTTAAAGATGCCTAGCCAGATTGCTTGTGTTTCCGCTTGTAAAAGAAAAAAAAAATGTTGTCTTTATTGCAACAGGCATTGTCGGTGTCCACTCAGGAAATACAATCTGTTTGGTTCTCTCCGCCACTTTGCAAACTTATGAACTGCGTGTGCGTGCGAGTCTTTGTCACAACTTCTGTGTGCGCTTGGCGCGAGCCTCTGCTGAGTGTGCGCGCACAGCCGAGAACTGCGAAAGCTTTTATACTTGACACACTCGACATTTCTCATGTGAGACTGCCAACTGTGCAGACGAATATCAAATAGCGCAAATTAGAAAAGGTTGATCAGTTAAATTATGCAACTGTATGTAATGTTTATTCAGCAATAATTATCCAGTACCGATAACTGAACTGTTAACGTCAGAGCTTATTGATACTTCTGTCTTTTATAATTTAGCACCGATACCAACGAAGTACAGAGTTTCGAAACCCATCCCATTGTAATGGTCATGAAATGTGTACTATATATAGGGCGGTGCATGATTTCATTCTTTTGGGAACTGATTGGATTGTTGAAAGATGACCACTGCTAACAAAAGGAACGAAGACTTATTAGCGAAAAATGTGCTAATAGGAATTCCATGAAACCAGAAAAGGAAGAAAGTTGTTTTGGGGGAGGGAAAGTTATGGTATTTGATTAACGTTTATGAAGACATATTAATTTTTACAAAATAATGAAGCACACAGATACAGTTAGGTCCATAAATGTTTGGACATCGTCACAATTCTAATGTTTTTGGCTCTATACATCAACACAATGGATTTGAAATGAAACAAACAAGATGTGCTTTAACTGCACACTGTCAGCTTTAATTTGAGGGTATTTATGTGCAAATCAGGTGAACACTGTAATAACTGCAACAGTTTGCACATATGATGAAGGATTCGGATTTCTGCTTTCCAGTCCATCTCATCATAGACCAACGTTTATCCTTTTCATCCTCCTGTTTCTCAGTATTTAACTGTGAATTGATTTTAATTAATGAATAAGTTAACACATTGCTTAATATAAGAATGTTCAGTGCATTTGCCTGTCTCTTTATACCTATTTTCAGGAGCCAGCAAACTAGGTCAGAGGTCATGGAGACCTTGAGTGGAACTGAGGGCTGAGGACTGGAAGCAACTGTTTCCATTGTTATTTCTAGGATTTAATACTGTCTAAAATGTCTAAAGTGATTTTGCTATTTTTACAGTTAAATCTTTTAACGGGATTCTACTTTTTATTCAAGATAGAGTTTGTGTAGTAAGAATATAACTGCCTAAATGTAGATGATACCGGTTTTTAACCAGTTTCGATAAAGACGGTTGACAGTACACTCAGCCTTGGATAAGAAACAGATTATACTTTAAGTGTGTGTGTTCTATTTGATTGTTGATCCGTTTCACAGGTCTGGAGCCAGCTCTAATCAGTCTAAGGGATGTCTGACATTCATGCTTAAGATATTGTTCAGAATATACGCACAAACCCCACGTGGAAATGTTCCTAGTCTATCTGTGTTTTAACCAATCAGGTTAGGACACCTGTATGTGTGACGCAGTTAATGACGTTATTCGAGAGTATGATTGCTATTGATTGGTGATTGTAAGCAGAGCGGCCTAGGAACTCATTGCGAGTGTTGAAGCTGGCTTCAGTAAACTTGATTTATTTATTTAAATCTGTGACTCCTGCTCTTCTTCATCTACCAGACTGGTCATTGTTTGGGTCAATCTGTAAACTATCCTTACAGTGATCTTGCATATGACCCTTAACAAGTGGGAGGCACATATGCAAACTGCTGTAATTCCTACAGCGTTCATCTGATTTGGATGTAAATACCCTTAAATTAAATTGCACGTTTAATTTCAAATCCATTGTGTTAGTGTACAGAGCCAAAACTGTTAGAATTGTGTCAATGTCCAAATTTTTATGGACCTAACTGTACATTGATTAGAACAAGAACAACGGTGTACATATAAAAATAAGAAGACTGACTTATAATATCATGGTGACTTTAAGTCATATAGGATGTTTCATCTTTGACCCCTTTTATTTTTGAATTTTATATTAGTTGTATTAAAAGGATAGTTCACCCAAAAATGGAAAGTTCCTCACCACTTATCATTTCTTTCTTCTTTTGTACAAAAAAACTAGATATTGAGATGAATGCTGAAAAAAAGCAGCCAATGACATCCATAATAAGAACAAAACATACTATGAAAATCAATGGCTGATTTCTCCCTAAACATTCTTCAGTATATCTGCATTTGTGTTCACCAGAAGAAAAAACTCCAACATGTTTGGAACAAATGAAGAATGAGTAAATGATGGCAGAATCGACATTTTTGCGTGAACTATCCCTTTAAGCAAACGTTAACTGACTGAGTATATTATTTGTATTTATTTACTTGACAGTGTGTTCATGTTGTTCATTTTGTTTCTCAAGCAAATGTATCCTAAGGATGCAAGATGACATACTGATTAAAAAAATTAATGTGAGTAAAAATGTATTCAGACGTTATTTTGCTTAAAAAACACACACACAAGCCCTCCCATCCCTTCAGCGCTCACTCACTCAGAAGTATTTCTCTTTTCAGAGAAGACGCGGAGGATGAACTCGCCTTCCTGATGGGGCTCGTAAGAAGAGGGAATGATGACGTACTCTCCGGGACTCAGACGGAAACGCTGGGTGACCTCGCGCAGGTTAATGTAGGCCCTGGACCGAGCCTTAGCGGTGGTAGACATGAAGAACTCCTTCTGCATGTGCTGCTTATTTCCATGCATCTGACAGACACAACAGCGTCAAAGAAGGGAATATGATTAGGACGCTATAATCTATCTATAAAGCAGCACAAATGTTTTAAACGTGATATACACAAGCCTTGGGTCCAAACAGTCTTCTTAACATTTTCATACCTCCTTTGGCACCTACGGAAAAAAGGGAAGAATTAAATGGGATGGAATATGGTTGTATTATTAAATGAGGTTGAAAATAATTACGTTAGGGCTTCTCACATTACACTTAAAGTGACAGTTCAGTTAAAATAATAATGACAATGATGATAATTCTGTCATAATTTAATCTCCCTCAACTTATTCCAGACCTCTTCGGGTTTCTTTCTTTTGTTGAACACAAACGAAGAAATTTCGAAAAATGTTGGAAATAGTACTTACTAACCTTCATAGTTTTTGTTTTTCCTACTATAGATGCCACTGGTTGCCAGTTTCTAAGGTTCTTCATTCATTCATTCATTTATTCATTCATTTTCTCTATTTCAGAGGTCACCACAGAGGAATGAATTGCCAACTATTAGACCATATGTTTTACACAGCGGATGCCGTTCCAGCTGCAACCCACTACTGGGAAACACCCATACACTCCCCCATTCAAACACATACACTACAGACAATTTAGTTTATTCAATTCCCCAATAGCGCATGTCTTTGGATTTGTGGGGGAAACCGGAGCACTCAGAGAAAACCCACGCCAACATGGGAAGAACATACAAACTACACACAGAAATGCCAACTGATCCAGCCAGGACTCAAACCAGTGACCTAATTACTGTGCGACAGTCCTAACCCCTGAGCCACCATGCTGCCACAACATTCTTCAAAATATCTTATTATGTGTTCTTCAGAAAAAAAGAACCATATAAAGCTTTGGAACCACCTTAGAGTGAGTAAATAAATAGTATGTAATTCTTTTCTTTTTTGGGTGAACTATCCATTTGATCCAATGTTATTGTCTATTCTAAAAAAAAAAAACACTTTTATTCCTGGGTAAAGAAATGTTTCCCATTTGTAATTTAGAAGTGGCATTTGCAAAGTTTTATCTAGGGTTTGTACATGGAAAAACAGCACAATTAATGTGTACAAACAATCGTTTTACGTTGGAGGGGACAAAAATCTTAGAAAGTGATAGAAAATGTGAAGAAAAGGGAATTTCACTCTTACTTTTACAGTCAAAAAGTGAACTCAGGAAAAACTTTAAAGCAACGCTGAAGCCTGTGTTAACAGGTTTGTTTAACAGGTCATGACCCGTGAAGTCTAGTTCACGTTATCTTCCTTGGTGCTATAACAATTGCTGTACTCTGATTTTAATCAGTGTTTTTCAGGGATTTTGCTGGTGTGCTTTGTTTACTTTGTAAAATATGTGTAAATTTGAATTATAGACAAGTGTTATTTAATAGAACTGTATGTTATTTGCCATTTAAAATAGTTTTGAATTCGAGATTTTTTACTTACAGAACTTAGAGAACTGATTTTAAGGCAAAATTTGATAGACTTTTTTTATGTACTTTCAAACAACAAACGGGTTTTGGGTTCTGAATTCCTAGGCTGCAGATATCCAATTTGTAAAAATACAGTTTAAAATGTTCACGATGAAGAAATCCAGAACATCAAATTCAATATTCAAAAATTAAAAATGCAGAAATTCAGACTGCAAAATTCAGAAAGTAGGTTACAGATCCTCCAAATTGATGAACAGATGGTCTCAGAAAAGTCGAACAAATAATTTTGTACTTTTACAAACTGGATTTCTATACAAGCTAGGAATTCTGAACCCAATCGGTTGCATTCAAGTAAAAAAAAAAACACAATCAAAACTATTTTAAATAGCATTTAAGATGAGTGTGTAAATAATTCAAATTTTAATAGTTTTGTCATATTATTATCTATACACACCTAAAACTCCTTCAAACTGTGAATGATGAAGATTACAAGACTTCATTCATTCATTAATTTTCCTTCAGCTTAATTCCTAATTTATCAGGGGTCGCCACAGCGGAATGAACTTCCAACAATTCTGGCATATGTTTTACGCAGCGGATGCCCTTCCAGCCACAGCCCAGTACTGGGAAACACCCATACACTCTTACATTCACACACATACACTCCGGCCAATTTAGCTTATTTAATTCCTTTTTTTGCATGTCTTTGGATTTGTGGGGGAAACCGGAGCACTCAGAGAAAACCCAAGCCAACACGGGGAGAACATGCAAACTCCATACAGAAATGCCAACTGGCCTAGCCAGTACTCGAACCAGCTATCTTTTTTTGCTGTGAGGCAACAGTGCCAACCACTGAGCCACAGTGCCACCCCGTTACAAGCCTTTTTTGAAAACACAAAAACAAATTAAGTATTCATAAACTGTTTTCTAATTTCGATCTCCACTTTGAAAAGTCAGCATAAGAATACCCAGGAATAATTGTTGACTATTAGCTAAATATGAGCACGGCGAAACGTGAAACAAGATAACCCACAATTATGTTTAACCTGGGGTTTAGAATAAGCCAGGGATACTTATTACTAGTGTGAAAAGCCCTTTTCTCTTCATTATCTCTCTGAAAGTTTAAAATGGTGGAAGCAGTGATACCTCATAGATGGAAAATCCAATGGTCAAGAGATTCGCACCCAACTTGCGTTCTTTACGTCTGTTTTTCTGCATTAGAGCAACAACAAATGTGCAGGCCACTTCATCATCCTCCGGATCGTCATCTTCCTCCAGGAGACGCAGACGGTATTGTGGGTTTGTCCAGAATGTGTCTTTAGGAGACCACAGAAATACATTTTCTTTTTATTAATTAATTTATTTTTTGCAATTTTAGAACACAGAATAACAGGGCAATAACAACATTAAATTAACATCCAATCAAATGCAATATAAGAAGAAAATAAAAAATACAATTATTCAAAAAACAAAATTGAAGGCTTCACAATAATAAACAGTTCTTTTTGCTTTGGTATATTTTGTTTCTTTTATCGTGCATAGGTAATGACCTATTTCTAGGGATGTAACGGTATCAGAATTTCACGGTACGATAATACCTCGGTATGAATGGCACGGTATGGTATTTATTGAATAATTTACAGGAAAAACAAAACTAATGAAAAGACTCAAAAAAGTGCCAAAAGTGTTTATTTACCCTAGCACTGAACATATCAATGACATACAAATTAGTCACCTATCTGTAAGTTTCGAAACAGGAACTTCAATTTTTCAATTTTAATAACAAAAAACTATTAAACCATATAAAAAAATAAAGTTTCAATTTAGTATTGTTGAAAACTCATCACATTCAACATTTAATCACTCATTTAGATAGAGATGGGTTTTTTAAGGAAAATTATCATATAACTATAATCTGGTAAAAGCTGGGCATGTCCCCTGCAACAGAAAAACCCCCCTCTCATTTGGGACTGAGGTTTCTGGGACAGAGAGATATGATTTAGCCAAGGTTGACAGCAGTGGGTAACGTTGTGCATTGTCTTTCCACCACTTGAGAGGACAAGCCATGAGTGAGATAGAGGTCTCTTTGCGGTACAAGTCAATGTCTGCATCAATCTGAACAGTGTGCTGTGTTCTGCAGTCCCCATGACTGTTTTTAGTCGTATTCCCCGACTTATATTTCACTACAGTCTGGCAGTGCCTGCATATAGTTTTTTTCCTTTGTCTGTCACCTTTTCTTCTTTTTTGTATGTTTTTAGAAAGAAACCGAAATGCTTCCACACATCCGATTTAAAACCCGCTTTAGGTTCGATCATTTCCAGCTCTTTTTCTTCCCCGCTTCTAGCAACACACTCCATTTCGTCATTACTGGATCTGTAGTGACAACAGAACGCAAAGGATGATGGCCACGCCTGGGCTGATGGGAATTGTAGTTCCCGCTACCTCCCGTTCGCTTCATTTGCCTGAGCAAACTTTTCTCAGAAATATAGTTTTATTGAGTCATGCGCCTACGGTAATATTGAAAAAAATTACTATTGTGGTATGACGGTATTTACAATATTGTTACATCCCTACCTATTTCTATTTTAAAGTGAGTAAAATTAGTTTTTTTCACTGCCCATTTACATTTATGAATACAAAAATTTCCATATATAATGAGCAAATTAACACTATGCCAAATTTTGAAGTCGACTGTATTCTCATAAAAAAACAACATCTTTTTCTTTGAACTCCAATGCAATATTCGTACTTCGCTTAACAAAAAAGAAAAGATCACACCAAAACAATTGCGTATAAATCCAATTATAAAATAAATGAACAATGCTCTCTTCTTTATCGTTACAGAAAGTACATTTTAAATCAACATCTTTACAAAATCTTGCAATTACCTGTTGTACAGTATAAATTCCATGATCAATTTTAAATGATTCCTCTCAAGTTTTATTTATTATATAAAAATGTCTGGAAATCTTAAAAGTCTCGTTCCAGTTAACATCTTGAAATTGTGATCTCCAATAACCAATAGCTGAAGGAAAATTGACAATTCATTCATTCATTCATTCATTCATTCATTCATTCATTCATTTTCTTGTTGGCTTAGTCCCTTTATTAATCCGGGGTCACCACAGCGGAATGAACCACCAATTTATCCAGCACATTTTTACGCAGCAAATGCCCTTCCAGCCGCAACCCATGTCTGGGAAACATCCACACACTCATTCACACTCATACACTACGGACAATTTTAGCCTACCCATTTCACCTGTACCGCATGTCTTTAGACTGTGGGGGAAACCGGAACACCCGGGGGAAACCCACGCGAACGCAGGGAGAACATGCAAACTCCACACAGAAACGATAACTGTGCCGAGGATCGAACCATCGACCCAGCGACCTTTTTGCTGTGAGGTTGACAGCACTAACTCCGGCAAATCATTCTAAGATAATAATTATTAATTTTTTTCTTTAAGACTAAAATCTAAGTTTGTATTCTGAACTAAATCATTTACTAATAATTTCTTAAGCTCTGAGGGACAGAAATACCATTAATATTCACTTCTTACAAGACATTATTATTTTGCTCATTTTGACCTGTGAATCACTTTAAGGTGCACATTACATATAAAAGGTGCTGTCCAAATTCACCGTGCAATTAATATTATCATTAAAATAATTTTCTTTTAGTTGTTTTGACACCCACCTGGATAGTTTCTGCATCCTCCGGCAGAGCAGCCTCTCACCCAGCGGCCCTCATTGACAGACACTGTCCACTTATGTAGCTTATCGTCCTCCAGGGCATCAGGTGTCAAGTTACAAATCTCAATTTTGGTGTAATTTTTCTTAAAATCTTCAAACGACATCCTACAGGTTGACGACAAGAGTTAAAGCTCGCATTTATCTTATCAAAACACATGAAACCGTTCATAAAGATAAGTTGGCTTGTTTAACTCACCAAAACTCTCCATCTTCAGCGTTCTGTTGCTGGAGTTTCTCTTTTTCCGCTTTAGAAAGACTTTCCCATTCTTTAGAACTGTAACAATAAAACAGCTCATTAATATTCATGACCTTTCCAAACATGGTCAATTCGGAGCGTCTGATTCTAGGGCTGTTTTCTGGTGTAATAAATGCATATCCGCTTGTTAAGTGGTGACGTGTTGGTGACGTATGTAATACTGTTTCCGGGTCCAAGTCGCCACTAATTTGAGTTGAGAAATTATTTGTTTATGATCTCTTTTAATTTATATCACACATTAAAATTAATTTTATATAAAGTCATAGTGTACACAACAATCTCTGGGCTTGCTACATAACAAATACCAAAATTTTAACAAACTATAAAAAAAAATTAATCACTTTCTGGTCATCGGATATTAGGCCTGGACATATATACTGCGATCATGATTTTTGAAAGTATTATCGCTTTGTAAACGTTTAAAATTAACATTTCATGAGTCTCCCCGTAGAGTGGAATAGAGCGCTTGGACCTGGAAGTCGCTTCGTGTGACGTCACACTTAACAAGCGGATAAAACCGTTTCTGGAAAGTTTTATTCTTACCTAAGCCATGTATCTACTATTTAGATATCGGAGAATAATTTAATGTAATAAATCAATGTACCTTTAAATGAATAAAATGATTCTATGTATTGGTTGTTATTGTTAGTTATAATAAAACGAAGTTGCATCTACAGTATTGTACATTTATGACAGAATATATGACAATTCCATATATTAAGCCAACTAAAACAACTTACTAACCCATAGTACGAAATTCCCAGGAAGCATTCAAGTATGTTTTTAAAATGATTTTACACTTTTCTAGCATGTTTCTAACATAATTGCTAGCATGTTTCTAGCTCCATTTGCTAGCCTGTTTCTAGCATTATTTAATGTTTTTCTAGCCTGTTTCTAGCATGATTTTACTCTTTGCTGTCAAATTTCTAGCATGATTTAACACTGCTAGAATGTCGCAAGCAAAATGGTTAAAAACTTTGTTAGCATGTTTCTACATGATTTTATACTTTTCTAGCATGTTTCAAGCATGACTTGATAGCATGTTTCTAGCATGAGTTTACAATTTGCTAGTATGTTTCTAGCACAATTTGCTAGCATGTTTCTAGCATAATTTAACAATTTGCTAGCATGTTTCTAGCATGTTTCTAGCATGACATGCTAGCATGTTTCTAGCATTATTTAATGTTTTTGTAGTCTGTTTCTAGCATGATTTTACACTTTGCAGTCAAGTTTCTAGCATGATTTAACACTGCTAGAATGTTGCAAGCAAAATGATTAAAAACTTTGCTAGAATGTTTCTAGCATGGCTTTATACTTTTTAGCATGTTTCTAGCATGATTTAACAGTTTGCTGGCAAGTTTTATAGTATGATTTAACAATTTACTATCATGTTTCTAGCATAATTTTATGTTTCTAGCATGTTTTAGCATGACTTGCTAACATGTTTTTAGCATGATTTAATACTTTTCTAGCATGTTTCTAGCTTGATTTTACACATTGCTAGCCTATTTCTAGCATTTTTTAAAATGTTTTTCTAGTCTGTTTTTAGCATGATTTTACACTTTGCTGTCAAGTTTCTAGCATGATTTATCACTGCTTAAATGTTGCTAGCAAAATGATTAAAAACTTTGCTAGCATGTTTCTAGCATGATTTTATACTTTTCTAGCATGTTTCTGGCATGACTTGATAGCATATTTCTAGCATGATTTTACACTTTGCTAGCATGTTTCTAGCATGATTTAATACTTATCTAGCATGTTTCTAGCATGAGTTTACACTTTGCTAGTATGTTTTTGGCACAATATGCTAGCATGTTTCTAGCATGATTTAATACTTTTCTAGCATGTTTCTAGCATGCTTTTACACTTTGCTATCAAGATTCTAGATTGATTTAACACTTTGCTAGCATGTTTCTAGCATGATTAAAATGTTTGCTAGCATGTTTCTAACCTTATGATTAAAAAGTTTGCTAGCATGTTTCTAGCATGACGATTTAACACTTTGCTAGTATGTTTCTAGCATAATTCAACACTTTGCAAGCCTGTTTCTAGCAAGGTGTTTCTGTCCTATACAAAGTAATATATATATATATATATATATATATATATATATATATATATATATATATATATATATATATATATATATATATATATATATATATATACATATACAACAGTTCTGTCTGGTTCTCAAATCTGATTGGCTGATAGACGTGCGATATTCTGCAATATCAGAACTCCTACTGCCTCTTTACCCTTTGTGTATTACTCGGCATACAGCCAGCAAAAAGCAGACACTACAGATCTAAAGTTTAAAAGATGCTTGCTCAACTGTTTTAACTGTCAGCTTATGATTTGAATCCAAGGTGGAAGTAGCTCCACATACAAAAGGGTTTTTGAAACTATCCGTGTTTGATTTTGTTTTTATAAACACAATTATGCCGTCAAACTGTTGTAATAACGCAATATCACACTCGTAGCAGTGCGATATGGCTGTATATGGGCACTGGTGGGGGCACTAAGGCATTGCATGCCTCCCACCAGTGCCGATATACAGCCTATCGCACTGCTACTCGTGTGATAATGCACATATATATATATATATATATATATATATATATATAAAAATATATATATATTCTTAACCTTTTCCAAGCTGATATAAAAAATAGTAGTCTTAAAGTACAGCTTACAGGATTGAAAATATAAACGAGCTATAAACTGCAAGAAATAAAGTCGTACTTCTGTATTGTAAGCTTCAGAATTGAATATGTAAACTCAATTCCAAGACAAAAATGGCATTGCAACAAATAAAGTTTAAAGTTTAAAAATAAGCAGATACTCACTTGTCACTCCATGGTCCATTCCACTCTACTTGACCCCAGGGGTTACGCAAACGCACCAGACGCACTCTAGACTCCTTCTGCTGGCTCTGTTTACACTGCAGACACACAACGTCACAAATATCATAAAGATTCAACTTAAAATCTGGAATGCGAAGTGCCAAATGCTGATGTTTACCTCCTCAACAGCGGTCACAGAGTAGGCATGACCCTTCACAAGACCTGTCGCAGTACGAGTTTCAAAGCGGGCTGGAACCAGAGACTGTGGGTACACATTGAATCACTTTATGTTAGTGTACTAAAATTAAAATGTAAAGTTTAAAAAGATTATAATTTTTTTTTCCAATTTGAAGTAGTTTCAAGCTAGCAGCATGTTTTTGACACATTGCTATTGTGGTGTAAGTCATGGTGAAAGGATTATAATTATAAGTTGAAAGCACATAAAAACCACCATAAAGCCGTATGTAACTATGACAGAGAAACTCAAAATTGTTTTTAGGCTTTTAAATTATAAGGTAAATTTAATGAATGTGTGTCTAAGGTATGAATTAGATGTTTCAATGGTTCTTGTTTGTTAGTTACAATAAAACTAAATTGCATCTACAAACTACAACAGTATTGTACATTTATGACAGAATATATGACATTTCCATACATAACCATTAAGTTGTACATTTTATGATAAGAAGTCACATTACCATCTTGCTCTAACTAAAAAAGACTGACATGGCAATTACAACTCGCTAACCCAGCATTACCATGAAGCATGCAAGTATGTTTCTAGTATGATTTATCACTTAGCTAGCATGTTTTTAAAATGCCTTAATAATTTGTTAGTTGATTTTAGCCTGATTTAACACTTTGCTAATATTTGTATCATGATTTAATACTCTGCTAACATGTTTCTAGCATAATTTATCACTTTGCTAGCATGGTTTTATTATGACTTAACACTTTGTTAGGGTGATTTTAGCTTGATTTAACATTTTGCTAATATTTCCCTGCTGAAAAATCTAGCTTAAACCAGCCTAAGCTGGTTGGCTGGTTTAAGTTGCTTGACAAGCCTGATTATAGAGGGGTTTTGGCCATTTCCAGGCTGGTTTCCAGCCATTTCCTGCCTGGTCTTAGCTGGTCAGGCTTGAAAATTACCATCTAAGACAAACTAAAACCAGCTTGACCAGCCAAGTTTAAGCTGGACACAGCTGGTTTTGGCTGGGCTCCCAGCCTGGTTAGGAAAGTCAAGCTGGTTTTAGCTGTTCATCTCCCAGCCTGACCAGCTAAGACGACGCTGGAAATGATTCAACAATTTAATGTTTCTTTATGATTTAATACTTTGCTTGCATGTTTTGGCATGATTTAAAACTTAGTTAGCATGTTTTGGCATGACTTAACACTTTGTTAGCATGATTGTAGCATGATGTAACACTTTGTTAACATGTTCCTAGCATGATTTAACAATTTTCCAACATCTTTCTAGTATGATGTAACTCTTTGCTAGCATGTTTCTAGCAGGATTTTAAATTCATTTAAATTTAATTTTTAAGTATAATTTAGCAAATTGTCTAGAAGAAGTTTAAGGTGCATAAGAGTATAATAGCTATCTCAAGCCAGCAAAATGAAACAGCAGGAAGTGAATGATAAATGTAGTAGATTGAGGAAGCTCACATCAATGGAGCAGCCCATGAGTGAGCCTCTCTCTAGAGCTTTCTGCATGATCTTATACAGCTCTTTGGGCGCCTCCTTCATCTCGTAGAATTCAGTCACTCCACCAGTGAAGTCCTCCATTCCCTCGGCTGTGTTTCCACCCTTCAGGGCCTCATAGGACCCATGAAGCCTGAAGAGGAAAGTCAATGGTAAGTGAAAAAAGAATTCATCCTGCTTGTACTTACGTTATTGTATAACTTATTTGGACATTATACTTAAAAAGGCCAAAAAGAAGAATTTTGCTTATGCTAAATAATAATATGTGAAATATTAGATTAGAGTCATTCTCAGGAACGGTTTGTGGATCAGTAAAATCTCTAAAACATGTTAACAGCTGAAGGAATGATTTTTAAAATGACAACATCAGACTTTTATTTTGCATAGATTCTGCATAGACTATAACCAACCACATGCCCTCTACTAGTCATGAGAGTATTGGTAGATTATCTACTAAATTTACCCATTGCTTTGTTTTGAAGGTCCCCTAATAGATATTATACTGACTATTAGTAACTTTGCAAGTATGTCAACTTAATAGGGTATATGCCGAGCTAGTGTTTTTTCCATACTGATAAACTTCCGTTGATAAACTACCAGTTATTGTGAACTTTTTTCCATTTTATACAGTTCCTTTTACAGCATCGATGTTGTAATGTCATTAAAATACATTCAGTTAAATAAACTTTGGCATTCATTTAGTTGCTCAAGTGTAAAACGAAACAAAAAGCTGTTTACTCGCACGCGCCCGTCAGAATTGGCAGGCTAGCGCAGAAGCTCCATTGAATATACTGGGGTACAATAAATGCTCAGATCACAAAGATTTAATGCAGTGCTTCTTGTACAATCTAAGACTTTACTTTATGTCGAATATCACTCAGCTAGTGGAGATCGCTGATTTTTAGAGAAAACAGACCTTATACGTGTACAATTCGCCGGAAGCGCTTAACCCAGGTTACTGGCAAATTAAAAGTCCCATTAGCATGCTTCGGAATATACCCTATTATACCATGGCTACAAAAGCCATAATGATATTAAGCAGCTAGTTACCTAGCTTTGGACTATTTTCAGGTGCTACGTAATATTATTGCGCCTACTGCAGCCATGGTATGGCAGGAAAGCTCCTTGATTATTATACCAGAATGAGAGTTTTAAGGTGCAGAAGGTGATCGTCTTCACAAACATTTTTTGTTGTGCTGGTTGAAAGTCTCTTCACATTCCAGTAGTAATGAATAAAGTAAATGATCTAAACTTGTTTATATGTATTTTTATATTCTGGGAAAGGCATAAAACAAAAAAAAAAGTTAACCCCAGTAAATATTAACAGGCCGACATCTCCCATATTTCCGATAAGTAGCTCAAACTGTCTGTCAACAAACGTAGATTTTGGCTTCTGCACATATTTTTCATGCAGATCCGATATTAGGGTGTGCACGCCTGCATGAGCACTGCGCGTTCACAACACATGCACACAAGACAGTCACAGTTGCGGTAAAATCAAATGCTGAAATGAAACTTAAAAATCCTAAATCAATAATAGAGTTTCTTTAGCATGCTGGAGGAAAGACCCCACCATGGCCAAAGTATTTTTGTTAGACAGGTAATATTCTGTTTTAAACTCCCTCAATGCTAATGTAGATTGTGTTGTTTTATGAATGGGTTATATGCACAGAAGTGTAGTTCACCACTGAATTCTCCTGGTGAAAGATTGATGTGACTATTTTCTGTTTCATGAGGGACATTTTACAGCATCAGTAATGTAGATTTTTATTTAGTTTAACAACAAAACATCAGTCAATAGCGCTATTCCGCCTAACCTGCTTTACTGAGCTGAAGTTGCTTTTACCTTTACACTGGTTCATTTTTGAACAATAACAGCCTCCTTATATTGATTACCATGATATTCTGAATATTCACTCTAAAATAGCATGTATGGCTTAGTAACAAGTGTAATTTCTGCACGCAGCTGGGGTTCTGACGATCTGTGCTACCTCCTCAGAATGTGCTACCAGTAGCTTAATCTGTCATGTTTTATGTACCAAAACAGGGTTAGCACATCTTGTCAGCTTCATGTGTCTATCAGAATGATCTACCACATTAAAGGATGTAAAAACAGGGGTAGCACATATTGTCTGATTCAAATATCAATTGAAATTAACTACTACTCTATTGAATAATGTAGAAAAAGCATAGCAGCTTCAAATGTCTATCAGAGTGATAGACTGCCTTAATGTTTTTTTTATTACATTAGTTTTATATAAGTAAAAAAGTGGGTGGTGGCTCATTCTGATTGACATTTGAAGCTGACAAAATGCACTACCACTGTTTTTACAACCTTCTTTAAGGAGGTAGTTCATTCTGCTAGACATTTGAAGCTGAAAAGATGTGCTAACTCTGTTTTTTTAGATGAAACATGACAGATTGAGCTACCGCTAGCACATTCTGATGAGGTAGCAAAGATCGTCGGAACACTGGCCAAACACTAATTACATTTCTGACTGGCGAATGACATGAACTAGCAGGTTGTCTGCTGTAATGTTGCGGTTTGTGCGTTTGCGATTTTAGGAGGCGTGGCTTTAAAAACCGTCCCTCCCCTGCAGTCCTAGATAATATGCTCACCGGTTAGCATTTTGGCAGATCACCCACTGCAGCTTTAAGAGTTTACACTTAGCTGATTTAACACTTTGTATTATGTTTCTAGCATAATTTAGCACTTTGCTAACATGTTTCTAGCATGAAACATGATTTTACACTGCTAGCGTGTGTCTAGCATGATTCAACACTTTGCTAGCATGTGTTGATTAATTAGCTGATGATTAATAATTAAAGTGTGTTTGGCGTACTGTCCTGGGACAGAGCCCGGGGCTCCTTCCCATTTCATCAGATGAGGGGGAGTCTGAGCTCAGGTAGGTCTCGAAAGCTCCTCTGAATTTATTTGCTTTGGCTCATTCCTTTTTTATAATGGGGTTGCCACAGCAAAATGGACCGTCAACTATTCCTGCATATGTTTTACGCAGTGGATGCCCTTCCAACCACAACCCAACACTGGGAAACACCCATACACTCTTGCACTACTATACTATGGCCAATTTAGTTTGTTCAATAAACTTGCGCATGTTTTTGGACTGTGGGGGAAACCGGAGCTTCATGCTGTGAGGCAACAGTGCTAACCATTGAGCAGCCCGACCCTGAAATATGCTATGAAAAATGTAGAGTCGCGGTAGATGGGCGGATTCTTAAAAAACAAGATCGAGAAGGTAATTAAATGTGGTTGTTTATGAGTGTTTCGGATTCATCTGATTGGTAAATCATGAGATAGCCAATGTGGGTCCAGCTATGGTCAATCATTAGTACTCTCAAAATTAGTTTATAAATAAACTTCACAAAGTTCCTAGCCATATCAGCTCAGAAAATAAAAATATAAAATTTTCTTACAGTCGTAGTACAAAATGAAACTACAGAAGTTTCAACTTTAAATAAAAAACATTTGCAGAACTCTTTTTAAAAAAATCTTTTTTCTAATCTGATTTAATGATCTATGCTAAGCTAAGCTAAAAATGCTAAAAATGCTCCCACAAGATCTGAGGATTGGCTAAATGGATAAAAAAATATCAATATAGCACAGTTGAACTAATGTTCCTACAAATGAGGTAAATATCCCCCACAGACACTCACTTAGCGTAAGCCTTCTCCAGAAGAGCGCTCCAGAACTCGTTCCTCTCAGCAGACTTGGTGAACACCAGTTGGTTGTTGAAGGTGGGAATGCGGTCATCAACCACAACATCCACCCAATCCCCATATCGCCAGAACTGAGAACAGAAATCAACTCTAATGCAGAAGTCAATTCAGACACCAAATTTACTCAACGGCACCAACCTGGAAATGGAAAATTCCTGCATATTGTTCGGAGAAGCTCTGCTCTTGAGGAATAACACGATACAGCAGCTTGTCATTCAGAGTCAGACAGGCAATGGCTGCAAGCAACCAGCAGTCACCTAGAATGCACAGAAAATAGTATTCCGCATTACATTCATTGCAAGTGTAAATATAGAGCTATTACAGTAAAACAGAAGCCTACACTGCTGAGCTCAGCATTTTCAGACTGTCCAGGGAAACGTGCCAGCTTGGTAATCTACTCTATGTATTAGCAACCTTTGTGCTTTTAGTCTCTTTTATGGCTCATGTGGGATCAAAACAATAGGGAGAGCTGCTAGCTGGATTCCCTTCCAACAGAGTAAACACAATATGAAGCGTCCTGTGTATATGGGGGCCCGAGAGAGGTGCTTACTGCCAAAAAGCTGCAATGGGACCCTAAACTACTGCCTATACATTGAGGAAAACAGTCTGTAATGTTGATGTTCACAGTTTAATTTCTAATTATTTTTTTTATTTTTCTTTGCCCTGATGACAACACATAATATTTGGCTTGATATTTTTCAAGATACTAGTACTCAGCTTAAAGTGAAATTTAAGGGCTTAATTAGGTTAATTTGGTATGTTAGGGTAATTAGGCAAATCATTGTATAACAGTGGTTTGTTCTGTAAACCATTGGAGAGAAAATATTGCTTGAGGGGGGTAATAATACAAATATATAAAAGCTAGTGCTGTCTAACTAATTAATGTCACTTTTTTTGAAAATTAATTGTGATTAATAAAAGTAATTTTGGCTATTCAAATGTAAAATTAACATAAAGGCAAGACAAAAACTATTTAAATTCAAAATCTAATTGCTTATTAGAAATTTTGTTTAACTTGTATCACAGATTTCTTCATGTAAACAATATACCCACAATAAACCATCAAGATCCTGGCTTGACAGACATATGTCTTACAGAAATAAAAATACAGGCATGTTAATGCCATTTAAATTTCAAATCAATCAATGCCAAAAAAGAAAAAAATATTTATATGTTGGACTCTAAGAGGACTGCAAAAAAAAATGCCAAATTACAGGCATTGCAAATATGGAAATTATAATAATAAAGTAATGAATACAAACAATTGCACTCATTGTAAAAGTTGTATTGCTGTGAGTTGAGAACATTAATTATAAAGGAGAAACAATTTTGCTTAGTCCTCCTTTACATTCAGCCAGGTGCTAAGACAGTCCAGTCTATTGACATTATCGGGGCACCTTTACTTTTGAATGATGTGAGCTGAGAGTGAGAACAGTCTCTCACACAGTGGCGTAGCGCAAAATGCGAAGGCCCCCCTGCAGGGATCGCTGACGGGGCCCCGTGATGATGAGGAGGGGGGGGTACGTCATACGTCAATTTGCATATCACTGACGTCATCACGTTCTACCGTTTCTGTTTAACAGCATATGGTTAATAAAGGGGTATTTATAATTGCACTACACTTTATATAAGCATGTTTATTTAACTACATTTATTGCTGTTTGAATACAGTATATCATTATAGATGTGTAACGTTAGTGAATGTGCAGTAATCTCTCATATGAAATAAACTCAGACAAGTTCAGAAACTGTCACTAAAATATCTGTGTGAACAAGAAAAGAATAAACGGTCCAATTAAATTGTTAAAATAAAGTAGAAGTAGATCGGTTTGACTGTACAAGGGAAATACCTTCACACTGCCTTTGCTAAATCATTTGTCGCCGGTACGCAGAGGGGTGATCTGCTCTCGGGCTGCAGGTGGGAGAGGCTGCTGTACGAGGACTGACTGGGCCGCCTGTCAGTGCTGTGAGGCGGGGGAGGGACTGGCGGCATCACACGCAGCTCGTTGAGAAGAGTAGGGACGGTACGGTATGGAAAAATGACAGTCTAAAAAAATCTCCAATAACACACAAAAAAGTCGCTAGATTTGTCGCTAGGGGGGTCTGAAAAGTCGCTAAATCTAGTGACAAAGTCGCTAAGTTGGCAACATTGGCGGCAAGCAATCAGAATGAAGTAGTCCACCGCTTGAGAGGTGTTCAGAGAACACAGACGTGTGAACTTTGGTTCCGACCACAGTTGTTCCCAACAGTTTATTGAAAATCGCGACGACGCGGGGCCCCCTAATCGCGCGGGGCCCCCCCGCGATGCGTGCCCTGCGGGCCCGTCCGCTACGCCACTGCTCTCACAAGCAGAATCACCGAATCAGCAGATGAATTTCGGTGACTAATTTTGTTGCCACTGGTGCTGCGACAGGGACATAAGAAGTATCAACCGGTACATCAAAGGCACCCACAGGTTGTGTCACACCAAAGACTAATTCTTACAGGGACTTTGGTCACACCATCTCTGAACATTTAAACAACTTTGAGGAATATGTATGTGGATATTTGCGATGTTTATGCATTTGTTCTTGTTGCTAGGAAATGTGCGCACACACACACACACACAACCCGTGCAGGACAGGGCCGCCAGTGAGCGACTCCCTTCAAGATTCATCAACACGCATGATCGCGTTCATCAAATTTGCTTAAACTAAGTGTTCTAAAGTATGGCTACATTTTACAAGGATTCTGACAATGTGAAGCAGACGCCTTACAAAAGTTGCGTTTAAGGGGGAAACATGTCAAACTTAATGAAATATTTAAGGGCGCATGGAATAATCTGAAAGGAATAGGAATGCGATGTCTTTGACAGCTTGCAACAACATCTGGGACTTTCTAAGTACCTTTACATGGACACCAATACTCCAATTTTTTATATGTTTGAGATAATACTGTCATTAAGAGTCTACCATGTAAGCAGCGATTTTTGATTACCTTAAAGGACCACAGAGGCACAAATTGTGGAGGTTTTTCTTTCCATAAGGCATGTGGTTTCAAATTCCACTAAAACAAAAGTCGAAAAGATTAAAAATGAAACATATACGAAATTAGATGAAACTCTGGAGGAAACGCTGGATAGCCTGGTAATGCGACGTTAATTTTTAATACTAAAACTTTCCTTCTAAAAATGTTACCTTGGTCTTATCCATATTTCTTTGCATGTTGAACACACGTGGACACCAACAGGGGAAAAAACTGCAACTGCAATAATTGCGTACTTTGTTTTAAAGCGTTAAATATTTCAAATTAATTGCATGCGCTAACGCTAAATTATTCACAGGAGGGCTAATAATTCTGACTTCAACTGTATACATACTTCTTCATCACATTATTTATTCATTCATTTTCTTTTCAGTCCCTTTATTTATCTGGGGTCGCCGCAGCAAAATGATCCGCCAACTTATCCAACATATGTTTTACTCAGCGGATACCCTTCCAGCTGCAACCCATCTCTGGGAAACATCCATACACACTCATTTACACTCATAAACTACGGACTATTTAGCCTACCCAATTTATTTTCATTTAATGCTTTGTTCACTCATGAACTGGCATTCTCCATGCATTTTCTCTCCTCCCACTGTTTAAGCAAAAGTCACAGATAAAAAAGACTTTTATTTTATGCAAAAAAGGTTGATTTTAATTTATATTGTTAATTATTATTACATATTTAGTGACATATATAGTTATGAAAGTAATTCAATTACATTTTCAAGCACTTTATCCAAGCACCAATTCAAGCATTATCATGTATTTCGCAGCACCCATATAAACCCTGTAATCGCAGCCCTGCACAGTTTAGTTCCAACCCTGCTTCAATACACCTACCTGTAGTTGTCAAAAAAGCCTGGAGGACTCGATTAGTTTGATCAGGTGTGTTTTATTTGCAACTAAACTGTGCAGAGCTGCAGCCCTCCAGGAACTGAGTTTGACACCTGTGCTAATGTGTTGGGGAGATAATCTTACCCAGATCTCCCTGGCAGATATCAGTCCTGCTAGCGCCTCCGACAATGAACTGTGGGTTATCGCAGATCTCCTGCAGGACACACATACAATATTGTTAGGTCATTGGTTTATTACTGGTTCACTGAGGTTTCGGAAGAACAGATGAATATATGGACTGACAAATGTGTTGTCAGGAAAGTTGTTACAAGGTTTAAAGCTACAATTAAGGAAGTCCTAGAGTGAAAATAGCAATGGTAATAATACACTAATTAAGTGAAACAACACAATTCTTGAGTTTTATTAGAAAAACTCAATTGATTTATGTTCAATCCACTTAAATTTGTAAAAACTTATAAATTAACTTAATCCATGTTGTCTCAGCACAAATCGATAAAGTGAATTTCATTTGTCTTAGTGGGAAGATTATAATCCATGGTGCGATATTTTGACTTTATTTCTTGCAATTGTCATTTTATATTTCACAATATGACTATTTTGTGTATTGCGAATGTACTTCTCATTGTGTGGCTAATTCTTCTAACTGTGACTTTAGATATCACACTAATAATTTCTCACAATTATGTCACAGTTGTTACTCCATAATGTGATTTTATTTTTTAGAATTGTGGCTTTAATTTGATTGTTTATCATTATGACTTTTTGGGCTCTATTTTGACGGTTCATGCGCAGAGCACAAAGCGCAGGGCGCAAACGCTTTCAGGGCGTGTCAAAACGCATTTTTGCTAATTTAAGGATGGTAAAATCTGCTTTGCGCCGTGGCGCATGGTCTAATAGGGTTGAGTTTATTTTCTTAATGAGTTATAGGTGTGTTTTGAGAATAAACCAATTACAGTCTCATCTCCCATTACCTTTAAGAGCCAGCTGCGTCGCACCAAGAGCGCATTCGCTATTTACAGGATGTAAAGTAAGTCTAAGTGGAAGCACTGAGCATTTCACTAGCAAACAGTTAACAGAAAACTGTTAAACAGAGCATCTACTGCGTGAGAATGAGAGATAATGGATCACTTTCACTTTCACTCTTGGATAGGGAAACCTTTACGCATGCACAGACATCAATTAGTCTATAAATAAATACTTTTGTTTGTTAAGCGCAAATATTCATTTTAAAACTATTTCTAAATTCAGTTCTAATTTCCAGCAAACGAATAAATGAACAATAATAACGAAGTGTGTTCAAAAACCTGAGTTATATCCTAAAACACATGCTGTGCCCCATATGGTCTAAAACCTGACAGGTGGGCAAATCTAAGCTTGTTTGTTATAAAACAAATATAAATATGGATATAATAAATAATACTGCCAATAATAATAACATTATACAAAAGCAAATTGTTACGAATCAACTGAAAAAGCCTCCCGAAATGAAGAAGACATAAAAGCAGTGATTTTTCATATTTATATAGGCTAGAAAATAATATGTTTTGTAATATTTTAATCATTTATACTTATATCCTATATATATTCTTATTATATCCTATATATATCCTTAATATTTTTTTTTTTCAAAGACTATTGCACCGCACCTTGTGCCACATTGCGCCGGGTGTATGATAGGTCCCTATATCTTACAACACAACTTTTTTTTGTAATTGAGACTTTGTATCTTACAAGGTGTCTATTTCTCATGATTGTTAACTTTATGTTTTACAGCGTGAATATTGACTTACATTATTAAAACATTAAATCTCACAGTTAGATTTTTTTTTCTCAGCAACTTTATCAGCATTGGTTTATGTTACTTGTAAAAGTAGTATATCACAATCTTGAGCCACTTTTTTTAAATAAAAGTAATTAAATGTGTTGCTTGTTTATCTTTCAGGATAGTATTGTAAAAGTATGTGTTGTTGTTTTGTTTGAGTCTTTATTTCACATTTGCAATCTTATGTCACACAATGTCATCAGTCTCACAATGCAATTTTTTTGTTGTAATTTTTTATTTTATCTACAACAGTGTGACTGTTACTCAAAACGGAGACTTAATATTTCACAATGTGACAATTCTCAAATTCTCAAACTATTTATGGCAATTGTTTTTCTTTTTCAAATATTTCCCAAATGTTGTTTAACAGAGAGTTTTTCCACAGTATTTCCTATATTTTTTTTTTCAGGAGAAAGTCTTATTTGTTTTATTTTGGCTAGAATAATAGCAGCTTTACATTTTTTAAAAGCCATTTTAAGGTCGATATTAATAGCCCCTTTATATTTATTTTCCTGATTGTCTAAAGAACAAACCATCGTTATACAATTACCTTAACTTGTCTAATTAACCTAAATAAGCCTTTAAAAAAGCTGAATACTAGCATTGTGAAAAATATCTAGTAAAATATTATTAACTGTTATCCTGGTAAAGATACAAGAAATGAGTTATTAGAAATGAGTTATTAAAACTATTATGTTTAGAAATGTGTTAAAGAAAAACCTTCCCTCTGTTAAACAGAAATTGGGGACAAAATATACAGTGGGGGCTAATAACTTAGAAGAGCTAATAATTCTGACTTCAACTGTATACTACAATGTAATTATTTATTGTAATTACGACTATCTGACAAAATAATTACTTCTCAATGTTGTGACTTCGTGTCTCACAATGTGACTATTCCTTTTCATTTTCAACATAGTATTACTTACAGCAGAGTATTTGCAGTTACACCTTTATCACAGTGTGACAAACCTACTTATCGTAATTGCAACAGTTCCTTTTTCATAACTTAGACTTTTCCTCTTAATTGACCTAAATATATTATAGTCTAACTTTATTACTGGCAGTGCCATCTTTAGATCTCCCGAAGTGACTCTTTCTTCATAACTGTGACTTTTCCACATAATATTGTTCAAATATGTCATAGTATACTGTGAGTATTACCAAAGAGATTAGAATCACCAAGAGGCGACTCTCAACAGAACGTTCTATTGCAACAGCAGCGCCCAGCAACAGCCCTGGATTCCGCCATTTTGGAAAGCGGTCGGTTGTCCATTGGAACTTTTTGCTGTCGCGGTGGCAAGCAGTTGCTTTGTTTTTATTTATTTATTTAAAAAGTGCATTAAAGCTGAGATACAACCTGAAAGATGACAATATAACACTTACTATCACAATCATCAGCACTTTTAATAGTTTATTTTACAGACTTATAATATGCTCTTGTTTCTATTGGAATTTTAATTCTAAAATGGCCGCCGCACCATCTAGTTTCCCAAATTACACTAGAGTGTTGCCTCTTGATGATTCTATGCTCTGTGGTATTACCAAAGACTATAGAAAACACAGGACATGTCACTTGTATTGTTTTAAAAAAAAATTGTAGAGGTCAATATGACTAATAAAGCCCGCCTTCCAGTACAGGAGCCAATCGTCGATCGCTATATGGCGAATAAAGCCCGCCTTCTAGTACAATAGCCAATCATTGAGGGGAGGGGCTTGGACCAGACGTGACTTTCTGCAGATTTTGTGTGATTCGAACATTTAGAAACAAAACTTATGAGACAGTTGTTATTTAGTTTTTTTTATTTTGCGATTACTAATATGAAATTCAATCATAAGCTTGACCAGTAGTTTTTGGAGAATTAAATGTTTCCCCATTAAGACAGAATGCCCCCAGTATACTGCCTGAGAGGTGTTTCAAAGATGGCCGCCGAGTGAAATGACTTGCCTTAAAGGGACTCTGGTATTACTCATAGTGGAATTTGTGGAGCTGTGCATCAATGGATTTGCTCTTCAGTGTTTGGAATTCCAGCAATGAAAATTAAACCACACTGAACTGAACTTCAACTCTAAAAAACTGGCCCAGATTTAATTTACAAGAACTTCCATGTTTGACACAATCTAGATTGTAAAAGCGCTATCGAAATGAAGATGAACTGAATTGATTAGTACTTCCTTTATATCTCACAATACAACTATTTCTCAGTATTGCGACTTTTACATGGCATATACTCAATAAATATTTGCCACAAAAACTTTAAATACATCTACATCAGGCTTCTGTATACCCTGCAAAAATCTATAATTCACATTTATAGAGTTAATGTGCAAAAGCCTCTAAATTCCACCTCAGTTTCTTCTCAGGCTCCTGTGTGTAGGGTTAGTAGTTTCACTTTTATGGCAATGAATAATTACTTTTCATCCCTTCAAAGTGAGTTAACAATGTAAACATTGGAGGCTGAGAAGAATTCTCATTTTATAAGTAATTTTAGGTGGCAATTGAAGCTTTTGCATCTGATCTCTTCATCTTACCGCATCAGCACTCAAAAAAGTTGAAACTTTCAGTTCTTTACCAGTTTAGAAATCTAAGCATTATCATTGGCCAAGAACAATGTTCATCTACAAAAAAAGATCCATCCATCCCATGAGCCATTTCAACATCCATCTCAATCTAGAATTTTTTTTCAATCTAGTAATTTTTTGACAGATTATTGAGTAATTTGTATGAACTCCACTAAAATACCAAACTCTTACATTGTTTGTCCACGTCCCACCCCTTAATGCTAGTCCAAATCCATCCAAACCCACATAAGCTCCCTTGCCTCCTACCTTGGGACGTTTCCAGACGATGTTCTTGACTTTGTTAGACTTGTGGCCCAGTTCTTTATAGCCCAGAGAGTCCACAGTAGCAGGGAAGGTCTCGTCCTCGAACAGGGTCTTCTTCTGGAGATACTCCTGCTTGAGGAGGGTGTAGTCCTGGCCACTGAAGCGAATGGGTTTGCTCAGCGACCCTTCGCCATCCCTTCTCTCCCTCTCCCGAATTAAACGGTCGCAGAAGAACCCAGACGGCGTATAGGGCATCTTGTCTCACTGTTTTTTTTTTAAGGGATTGAAAACACCGGCTTTTGCCACCACAACTTAAGTCTCGCAAGCCCCCAAAAATCCCTGGCATAAATTCAAACAGCTGACCTGTGATTGGTCGTCTTGCCAAATGACGTGCCTTTTGGTGCGGTCACGGAGTAAAAACCAGGGTTAGAAGAAAAACAGCACCTGTGGACACACTCCAAAAACGCTACCTGCATACAAACACAAACTGCTACAGTCTTCTCTTTGGGCTGCTCCCATTGGCTGGCAAACAATGAGTATTGGGCGACATTTGGGCGCTCGTGCCATCATTGTAGGGTGACACAAAGGAAAGCAGGCCTGCAAAGAGAGGCCAGTGAGATGGCCTGCCTCAGCAGAAGGCATTCACAGCCTTTAAACCTGGTCTCAATAGAGTTGGGCATTGAGCACTCTCAGCATAAAGACAGCAGGCTTGACATAACTTTACAAAACTCCCCGTTTTATGTGACTTTATGGATTTTTGTGGGAAATCAATCATCGTTTTCTGTAGCTTTTAGTTGTGTTCAAAAATTTGGAATTCGCAAATTCCAAAATGCAGTTAAAATTTTAATATTATACAATATAATTGGAATTAAAAGTATAAAAATACAATTAAAAAAAGTGAGTGAAGTTACTATTAATTTCTGTGATGCACGACTCAGTTTTTGGTGCTCATTTATTTATTATTATGACCTTTGAATGGAAACTGACAAGCTTTAATACAATTACTTTTAATTTCTGGACTATTTGATGAATGTAGAGTTTAAAGGGAAGGCATTTATTTGACATGGAAATCTTCTGTAACATTATCAACGTTTTAACAATTTCTTTTGATTAATTTTATTTATCATTGCACTGTAAAAATCTTTCTGCCTTATTTTTTTTGTTGAATCAAACCTCAAACTTTTCTAGTCGTCCCAACTTACATCAATAAAACTGACTAAGAATATGACATTAAACTTTGTATAGTTAACTTAAAAAAAGTTTAGTCAACACTTGACTAATTAAAATAAGTTAAAGCAAAATAAAAATCAGTGTTGTCTTGATTTGTGAGCCATTTTTTCATTTTATTCAGTAAAATATTGTCATTTGTTTTATTGTGATAAAATATCTTCCACATTTTAGCAAAAAAAAAGTAAAAAATAATATACAAATTCTGAAAACGGCAAGTCAGTATAGCAAACGTGTGGTGTTTATTGCAAATGTGGGGTGTTCAATCTTAAGTGATACACCAAAAAAATTGTACTTAATAATTTTGATGATATGATCACTTAATTGAAAATATATTATATGCAAGTATCAGTTGTTTAACTGCAGGTATGTACAGTTGAAGTCAGAATTTTTAGCCCCCCTTTGAATTTTTTTTCTTTTTTAAATATTTCCCAAATGATGTTTAACAGATTCAGGAAATTTTCACAGTATGTCGGATAATATTTTTTCTTCTGGAGAAAGTCTTATTTGTTTTATTTCGACAAGAATAAAAGCAATTATTAATTTTTTAAACACCATTTTAAGGACAATATTATTAGCCCCTTTAAGCTATAATTTTTTTCGATTGTCTACAGAACAAACCATCGTTATACAATAACTTGCCTTATTACCCTAACCTGCCTAGTTAACCTAATTAACCTAGTTAAGCCTTTAAAGGCTGTATAGAAGGGTCTTGAAAAATTATAATTCAAAAAAAAATAATTATTCAAACTATTATTTTAAGAAATGAGCTGAAAAAAAACTTATTTCTGGTAAACAGAAATTGGGGGAAAAAAAAATAAACGGGGGGTAATAATTCAGAGGGGCTAATAATTCTGACTTCAACTGTGTATGATTGAGCGCAGTATTGTCCAAGGAAAACTCGACACCTTAACTTTTTCTGATTTAGATTTTAAGGTAATACCATAAAAATTATGTAAAGCTGCATTGAAATGATAGTCATTGCTTTACAAATAAACTTGAATTTGATAATTTATTTGAAAAAATTAAGGTTATTCCATCAAATACTGATTTCCTAACTCTTCTGAAATCCTTGGCAGTATTGTCTAAAAATAAATATAAATGTGTCTGAAAACAGCGCAAAATTCCATGTTTAGAAGAAAAAAAATCTAAAATGAAATTTTACTCAAACAAATAATATTAAATAAAAGTAATAAAATATTTATATATATATATATATATATATATATATATATATATATATATATAATTATTATTATTAAAGGAATCTAATGATTTATAATGGTGATTGTAAAAATACGGAAAATGTATAAAAAACGTAAAAAATATATTATTAAAGAAATATGTTGATGAATAGAGGTGATTGAAAAAAGAACACAATGATTTAAGTTAATGGCTGTTTGCAATAGGTCTATGTTATGACATGTCAATCTACAAATAGTGAATTAACCATACAATATGTCAAAGATGCCAAAAAATGTACGTATTTCTCATGTAAAGCTCATGCATGACTCAGGTAAAAAGAAGAGACAAGTAAATGAAGAAATAAATTAAAGTAAGAGACGAATGATGTGTGTGGTAATGGAGTGGGGAAAATAATAAGCTTGCACTTCATCCTGCTCCATATCGACCATAATGAAATGTATTTTGTCTGAAGAATTGTTTTGAATAATTAATTTTTTTCTTGTTCGAAATAAATAAATCAAAATTAAATCAAAACCATACTCATAAGACTGTTCAAGTGGTCTTCAATTTTTTTTAATAGCTGTATATCGCTAATGAATAAAAGATATGACTTTGCTCTTTGACAATCCTTTATTTAGGAATCAAAACGTTTAACAGCAAATTTTGTATATTTTCAAAACCCATTTGTCCCTCCAATGTTGTCAAATCTACAGTTTTATATCAAATTAAAGATAAAAGAACCCAACAGCTGAAATGTCATCACATTATTATTAAAATAACTTGAGGTAGTAAATCATTTTGGAGGGAATCTTAAATATTAAACCACTGATTTAATTACAATGAACAACTATAACATATCATTGCAATGATAAACTGCCGTGAGGTTTAAACAGCACCCCAAAAAACACCATGGCTATATTATTATTTCCCAGTCTTTGCATATTTCAAGTTCCAAACCACTTAATGTTAATACGCCTCGTTTTTTGTCAAATTCAAACATGACCGATGTCCTCTTTGCACCTTAAAGAAAAAAAAAAAGAAGTTTTAGTGACGAGCGTCTCTTTTGTTTACCGTCACATCATTTATATATGTAGTAATCTACTAATACTTAACATGGAAGGACATTTTAGGCCTCTTCCCACCTGATTTGAGCTTGGGTTTCCTTTTCACACTTTTCAGACCAAGAATGACCACCGTTTCCACTTTGTCATCAGAGACAAACAAGCCTTTATCGTTAGCACAGCTGAAAAGGAGAATGACGTTCTGAGGTCTATGAATACTCAATGGTACGGAACCTAAAACAAAACAGGAAGGAAATAAAGTGATGTAACTTGGGTTATTACCTGTTGACAAGCCTGCCGGCCTGCATGCTAAAGCGCCGCAGACAGAACTGCATCTGGTCTCTGTAATTAAAAGAGTGGCCATCATCCAAATAAAGAAATCCATCAGCTTTGCCCTGTAAAGCGAAACAAAACAAGTCAAAAGATGGAATTATGTTTAATGCTAAGGAACTACGGAGCTAAGGCTACATTCACACTGCGAGGCTTAGTGCTCAAATCTGATTTTTTCTCAGAGCTGATGTCTTTGCATGGCGGTGATGATGAACAGATCATGGTCTTAAACTGACCCGCATGCGCAAAAGTGCATTACGGAGAGCACAAAATGTCTAATTGTGCTTTTAATTGAATCTCTGATTCCGGCTCTTCACCTGACAGACTGCTCATTTTTGGTTTCAAACTGTAAAATATTCCTACACTAACCCTATAATGGAAAAAAAAAAACTGACTAATTGTAACAGTAGGCAAAATATGGGAAACCATGATTGATGAAAATGAAAAAAAAAAAAAAAAAAAAAAAGAAAATAAAATAAATTTCCAAAAAAAAAAAAAAAAAAAAAAAAAATATATATATATATATATATATATATATATTATATAAAAACATTATATTCTTTTATTGGGACAAAATAAAATCCCTCACTTTCAATATCTGAAATAGTACTCTTAAAATTCCATGATATTCAACAAAATGACAATCAGACGATATATTATGGCAGCACATGGTACTTTTACTTCAATGCGCTACAAAAAAATATTTTCTTACTTGAGATTTTTTGTATTGTTTCTAGTCTAAATGTCTAAACAAAAAATTCAACTGCCCTACTAATATTTCATTTTTAATAGTTATTTAATTTATCATTTACTCTGATCTTCATTTGTATATTATTATTATTATTATTATTATTTATAATGAATCTTTTCACTGGTGGAAATGTCTACATGTATTTATATATACACTTCGTTTTTTATTGTCTTTCTTTCTTTTCATTTATTATTATTATTATTATTATTATTATTATTATTATTATGTTTCTTCAATCACCTGTAATTTCAGACTGAAGTAACTGACAGCTGGAAACATTCATTCATTTTTTTGTCGGCTTAGTCCCTTTATTAATCCGGGGTTGCCACAGCGGAATGAACCGCCAACTTATCCAGCACGTTTTTTAAGCAGCGGATGCCCTTCCAGCCGCAACCCATCTCACACACACACACACTACGGACAATTTAGCCTACCCAATTCACCTGTACCAAATGTCTTTGAACTGTGGGGGAAACCGGAGCACCCGGAGGAAACATCCATTAGCCTACATAATTAATTTTGTTTGTTAAGCACAAAGACTTGTTTCAAAACCATTTCTAAATTCAGTTCTAATTTACAGCAATCAAATAAATGAACAATGGACAAAATAAAAAGAGCCAAACACATGTCCTATCTCTCATAATGTCTAAAACCTGACAGGTGGACAAATCTAAGCTTGTTTTTAATAAAACAAATATAAATCTGCATATAATAAATAATACTGCTAATAATAAAATCATTATACAAAAGCAAATTGTCGTGAATAAACTGAAAAAGCCCCCCGAGATGAAGAAGGCATGGAGGTGGTGGTTTTTATATTTTTGTAGAAAATAATCATTTTTGTAATAATTTAATCCTTTAATTCATTCATCCTTTTTCATTTGTAAAGGTATTTGCTGTGCATCTCGCATGTTTTAAGCAATGAGCGGGGCGCACAACACTCTGCGCTGAACTTTAGACCTGCTCTCAGCCGGTCTACTGCACAGTCTATTTTAGTTCCTTACAATAACAACGTGCCAACAATGCGCCTTAACACACCTACATTCTAGACTGGCACGCCCATGAGCCCACAAAGTAGCAAAAATGGATTTACTATTTAAACAATGTGGCGGAAAATGGGAAAATTAAGGGCGTACTCACACTATGTACAGTTGCCTTGAACCGGGCCAAAGCACACTTGTCCCTTCTCCCGTCTCCCCGACGGCCCGCACTCACATTACATTCGGGCCTGAGCACGCTTACGTCATTGATAATGAGTTGTTCAGTTTAACAGAGGAGAAGTGCTCTAGCTCAGCACAGTGGAGATTTATTTATCTATATCAGTTTGGGATGGAGTGAGGCAGTGAAATATTTGGCTGAACAGATCTGCTACTTTTGACGCTCATAAACAACCATAAAGTCCTCGTGCACTCCTGTGTGAATCCCGGTTGGTTGTTTGCATGCACGCCGACAAAATAGGCACCGCTCATGCGCCGTGAAACCGGAGTAACAGCCTTTTGTGCAGAGGTGTCGGCACGCAGCGAGTTTTGAAAGTCGACTAAAGTTTATATAATATGATGATGATGATGATGATACTTTCACTAAGCATGCCTTTAAAGCAGAAAGGAGGGATAATGAGTCAGGGAGGTAAGACTTCATAACATGATTTCTCAGCCATGGTCTGGTCTAAGACCACAGATAATTCTATAATACATTTTTTGTATTCTTTAGAATTGTCATAATTAATTTTCATCAAAAAGGTTTCTTAAGTGATCTTGGCATATCACTCCAGTTATTGTTTTCCATTAATATTTAGGACTGATTTCTGTTATTTATTTAGAATAATAATTGTATATTAATATTAATTGTATTTATTTAGAATAAATATAAATAAATTGTTAAATTTATTGAATAACAAATCTAACAATTCAAGAGAGGTGGGGGGTGTATAGGGTGGTTCGCCCAGGGTATCATTTAAACTAGAACCGCCACTACCCTCCCCGATCGTCGTTGACAGCACGCACACACCTTCAATAGACAGCAATGGCTATGTAATATTTACCTTAAGGTACAGTATATCAATAGAAGAAGCTGCATTAATAAAATGGTTCAAAAAGCAATATGGATAAATTATATTATTAGGTATAGTGAGTGTGTATATAGTAATGCCTTTTGTTCAGTTTGTTCATTTGTTTGGGTAATTAATAAACTCATTATTCTTTCATTCATTTTCTTTTTGGCTTAGTCCCTCTATTAATCCAGGGTCACCACAGCAGAATGAACCGCCAACTTATCTATCACATTTTTTACACAGCGGATGCCCTTCCAGCTGCAACCCATCACTGGGAATAATAAACTCATTAATCTTAATTAATTTTAGACATGGCATATACCGTATGATGAACAATAAAGGCACGTAAAAAAAAAAGAAGTTATTTATACAGTATATGAAAAGTGTTTTTAAACTAAACATAGATTTTTATTTGGTTTGCACATGTCCTTGCTGGATTATTTCAAAGAATAAATTGCAATATTTCAAGTAGAATTAATTAAATGAATAATTACTACATTATTTTATTTACCAGAAACACAAATATAACATTACACTGAATTCATTATTTTTTTTTGTGTGCCACCCCAAGATTTGGTGCGGCTTCTTCTGGCCACCCCTAAGAAAATTTCTGGGGGCGCCACTGGTCTATAATAAACTACGACAGGGCTGGCCAAGTGAACCATGCCTGAGCTCGATTCAGAGCACTCACACTATTCAAACGGTCTGGGAAATGAGCCTGGGCATAGTAGCAACACATAGGGGCAAACATGTCTTGCACCTTATTGTGCCAGGTGTATGATAGGGCCTGAATATTACGCTTAGCCCATTGACAGAATATTTAGCTTGATTTAAGAATAAAACTCACTTAATTTTGACATATTTTTTCAGAAAACAAGACTATATTTTTACTTATCTAGAAAATGCCTCTTGATTTAGGAATTGTTAGATATTTAGACAAGAAACAAGAAGTAAAAGAAGCATTTTTTTGCAGTTCGGTCACCTTAATGTCCAGAGCCACAGTAAGAGTGATTGTATAATGCTGTAGGTCTGCTGTACAAGATCCACAAGCTGTTCTCCTAGGCACCACTGTTCCCCCGCGCTGGAAAACAAGCACCTAATACAGAAAATACATTATAAACAACCCTGTAAGACAGTTAGTGCTCAGTAGACTGCAGCATCAGAGGTGTAATGTGATTCGCTCACAGTGGTCAGAGTCACTGGTACATCCAGACTTCTGGCACCCTTGTGTACTTCTGATGTATTTGTGTCGTACCACAGCTTTTAAACACACACACAATATCTCTTATGAACACACTTTCACTTTCAGTACAATGAGAGTTCAACTGGTTTGTGAAAAAGTCTTACCTCATTAGACCCTGGGAGCAAAACCTTGACTTCTGTGACCCCTGGATCTGTCACAGGGCACACAAGGAGAGCACCGCCTGGAAAACATAAAGCAGTCATAAAGCTCACACTATAAATCTCACACTGGTGTAGCCTGTCTATTTTTTTTTCCAAATTTCTGTTTAATGGAGAGAAGATTTTTTCAGCACATTTCTAAACATGATAGTTTTAATAACTCATCTCTAATAACTGATTTATTTTATCTTTCCCATGATGTCAGTAAATAATATTTTTCAAGCCACTTCTTTACAGTTTAAAGTAACATTTAAAGGCTTAACTAGGCAGGTTAACCAGGCAGGTTAGGGTAATTAGGCAAGTTATTGTATAACAATGGTTTGCTCTGTAGATTATCGAAAAATATATATAGAGGGGCTAATAATATTGACCTTAAAATGTTTAATAAAAAAAATTAAAACTGCTATTATGCTAGCTGAAATACAACAAATATCACTTTCTCCAAAGAAAAAATATTATCAGACATACTGTGAACATTTCCTTGTTCTGCTAAACATTATTTGTGAAATATAAAAAAAAATTCAAAGGGGGGCTAATAATTCTGATTGCAACTGTATGTGTATCACACTTGCTTATAACTGGAGTCCCTAATCATGCCGATTTTGCAAATAACAATCTTGACCCAAAAATGTCAAAAGAAAAAAAAAATGTCAAAAAAAAAAAAAAAAAAAAAAAAAAATATATATATATATATATATATATATATATATATATATATATAGATATTTTATAATTAGTTGTAACTAGTTATGATTAATTATTCGTATTTCCCCCTTGTGACATATAACACACAAAAAAAAGTGTTTTAGGGGGTGACTCTTTTCAGTCAATCACAGTTCAAATCCACTTTTTGCTATCTTTTTTATATAACAAATTGCAAAGCCACTTATTTAAAAAAAATAAACAAAATATTTAGGATGTATAAATAAAATGCCTAATGAGTATTTAATAAGAAAGTCTGGAGATTGTTAGTAAGTAAGGTAGTAAGGTCATTACAAAGAAATCTCAAAGAAATTGCCATTGATTTCATAAATATTCAAATTCACATTATTATATTATATTATATTATATTATATTATATTATATTATATTATATTATATTATATTATATTATATTATATTATATTATATTATATTATATTATATTATATTATTCATTCATTTTCTTTTCAGCTTAGTCCCTTTATTAATCTGGGGTTGCCACAGCGGAATGAACCGCCAACTTATCCAGCTCGTTTTTACACAGCGGATGCCCTTCCAGCCGAAAACCCATTTCTGGGAAACCATACACACTCATTCACACTCATACACTACGGACAATTTAGCCTACCCAATTCACCTGTACCACATGTCTTTGGACTGTGGGGGAAACCGGAGCACCCGGAGGAAACACATGAGAGCGCAGGTAGAACATGCAAACTCCACACAGAAACGCCAACTGACCCAGCCGAGGCACTAACCAGCGACCTTCCTCCTTTGAGGCGACAGCACTACCTACTGCGCCACTGTGTCGCCTTATATTATATTATATTATATTATATTATATTATATTATATTATATTATATTATATTATATTATATTATATTATATTATATTATTCATTTTCTTTTTTCATCCACACTCATACACTACGACCAATTTAGTTTGTTCAATTCACTTATACCACATGACTGTAGGGGAAAATGGAGCACCCGGAGGAAACCCACTCCAACACAGGAAAAACATGCAAACTCCACACAGAAATGCCAAATGGCCCAGCTGGGACTGGAACCAGCAACCTTCTTGCTGTGAGGCGACAGTGCTAACCACTGAGCCACCGTGCCACCTCATAAGTAACAGTTTTTAGCAGGGGTGGGCAAACTTGGTCCTGGAGGGCCGGTGTACTGCACCGTTTAGCTCCAACTCTAATCAAACACACCTGCTTATAGATTTCTAGTGATCCTGAAGACACTGATTAGCTTGTTCAGGTGTGTTTGATTAGTGTTGGAGCTAAACTGTGCAGGACACCGGCCCTCCAGGACATAAGTTTGCCCACCCCTGGTTTATAGTATTGAGATAAATGCTTCATTTAAAATTTGACATTTTAACAAAAGACAAACCGATGAAATGAATAAAAATGACCATTATGAATGTAAATAATCCCTCTAGAAATCAATTCCAGGGGTCAAATATTTCTCTTTAATGTAAATATTATGATTTTTTTAAAATTATAAATAATATAACAACTGTTTTTGTAGTTTTTTACCAATCATGTACTGGTTCTCCACAGCAAATGTGCTGGTATCCTTGGGAAACTCCACCCAAAGGGGTCTATAGGGAAACACAGAAACAAATTTTTTTGTCAAAACATGTAAATCTAGAATACTGTTATGAGCATAAATATAATCCATATAAATAAAATATAGGGTCCCACTTTATATTAAGTGGCCTTAACTAATATGTACTTACATAGGAACTAATAGTTTGTTACAATGTACTTATTGTGTAAATACATGTATTTACTGTGTACTTATGCTTGATAAAATACTGTACATGTATGTAATTACATCTGTAATTAACTTTTGTAATTACATTTGTAAATACACTGTTGACCATCCCTTACACCTTAACCCACCCTTACACCTACCCTTGCCACCAAACCTGTCCATAACCCAACCTCTATCCCAACTCAAAAGCACCACAAGTGTTCTCAAATACATTATAAACACAGTAAGTACATTGTATTTATTTTTTGATGTAAGTACATAATAGTTAAGGCCACTTAATATAAAGTGGGACCAAATATTGTACTGGGGCTGAAAAAGCAGTACCTGATAGGTGGAAGTGCAGCTGTGTGTGCCTGGTGAAACAGTGTGTACCAGTACGGCAGAAGACAGTATCTGTCCTGAACAGCAGAGCGGATCGCAGAGGTCACCTCCTCTCCAAACAGCCACGGCTCACGACGCTTGGTCATTTTGGCAGAGTGTGCCCTGAAAAATGGCTGAAGGGCCCCTGCTTGATACCAGCGAACCAGAAGCTCAGGGTCTGGATCCTGCACGAAGCCCCCTACATCAGCTACACACACATACACATGATGATATTTAATCCCTTTACACCAAACTCCAAACTCCAAAACTGTCTCTTATGTTTACCAAAACATGATTTATTATTGATTTTATAACCAAATATGCAGTTTAAAAAAAGTAATAATGTGACATTAATATAATAAATAACTATTTTGTTTCAATACATTTTCAATTTAACTTCCTTTCAAGTCAAAGTTTCATTTTCAGCATTCTTTAGTACAGTCTTTGGTGTCTTAAAGCAGTGGTCACCAAACTTGTTCCTGGAGGGCCGGTGTCCAGCAGATTTTAGCTCCAACCCTAATTAAACACACCTGAACCAGCTAATCAAGGTCTTACTAGTTATACTAGAAACACCCAGGCAGCTGTGTTGAGGCAAGTTGGAGCTAAAGCCTGCAGGGACACCGGCCCTCCAGGACCGAGATTGGTGACCCCTGTCTTAAAGAGACAGTACACCCCAAAATGATGTTTACCTTTACATTACAGGTAAAAATGTTCAGTTTTGCACTTGCAAAGGTCAACCATTTTGCTTCATAATTTGAGTGTTTCTTCAATTAGTTTTGTCTAGATGTTTTTTGACTCGCAATGTGCCAATAGTGTTGATGTGAACAAGGATCATTGTTTCAGCTAAAAAAAAATCTTTAATGTTTTATGAAAAAAGAAGACAGCTACTCTGTCATTGGACATTGATAAAACGGGAGTATTACCATTCGCAACTTTCCCTGAACACCTGCGTTGCTTGAAGCCATCTTAAAACTCACGCTGAGTCTCAATGTCCAATCACAGTGCACAGTGCTTCTGAACAGTGTATACTGTTTAAAATACTTTAAAGTGTAAAATATGAAGTATTAAAATAAAGATGTCATCTGTCAAACCTCCACAAAACTGTATTCCTGTCAGACTCAGAGACAGCAGCATGGGGATTGAAATCTTTAAGTACTCCCAGGTAGCAACATTGTCCCCAGTCCAGATGGCGCCTGTAAAATTAACAACACAGAGTTGTTAATGACACATGAAAATGAAAAAATATCAGGATGAATGTACAATGTGCTTTCAAAAATACAATCATGAAACAATAATGACGAATAAATGAACTAATAACTTAACAAATATGTAAATAAATACAAGATTGAAAAGGAAAAGAATAATAAAATAAAATTAATTAATTAAACAAAATAAAATAAATAAAATAAAAATAAATTCAATTTATTTTCAATGTTTTAATTAATTAATTAATTATCTGAACAAAATAAAATAGATTTAAAAATTATATAAAATAAATTAAACAAAATGAATTAATTAGAATAAAAAATAGATAAAATAATAAAAATAATAAAATATAATGTAAATAATATAATATAAAAAATAAATTAAATACAATCAATTAAACAAAAACGACAAATAAATGAACTAATAATTTACTAAAAATTTAAATAAATACAAATTTAAAGAGGAAAAGAATAATAAAATAAAATAAATTAAATTAAATTAAAAATGTTATACAAAATAAATTAAATTAAACAAACAAAATGAAATAGATAAAATAAATGAAATAAGTAAATAAAAGATAAAAAAATAAAATAAAATAAACGAATAAAACAAATAAATAAATAAATAATTAAAAATAATAATAATAAATAAAAAAATTTAATTAAATAAAATTAAATAAAATTAAATAAAATTAAATTAAATTGAAAAAATAATAGATAAATAAACAAAACTAGACCCCATCTAGAAGTATTTAATATTGGTGACTAAATAGATAGTCACAAACTATGGAAAACCACACAAAAAATAGATATTTACTTTAAATATTCCATATAACTAATACTTAATTTAAAAAAAATCCGACACCCCTCAAAAAAGGAACCCTAATTGACACCTAAACCCATTTCTCTCGCTTCTGAAGGGAAGTGATCTATAAAAAGGACATTTTGAAAGCTACCTAACCTACCTAATCTCTGAGACCCAGCAAAGAAGGAGCGTGTAAGGATAAACGGCCTCTCTGTGCCACCCGAACGGGTCAATAAGCCCTCAAATGTAGCCATATGCTGTAAAGGAGAAGGAAAAAAAAAAACAATATAACTCTCTATATCTCTTTAACCAGAGTGTCTCTCTGTATTACATGCTGGTTTGGGCTCAGATTACCTGATAGAAGCCATATAAGTTGTGCAGTTCTCGATGTTCCCATCCTCCATGGTGAAGCGCATCTTTTGGCATGGTCTGTTCGGGCCCGTTGAAGACTGAAGGTTCGTTCATGTCGTTCCACACAAACAAAGATTCTGTTGAGCCCTATTGGAAGCATGGATGGAGAGATATCATTTTCAACATTAAGATAGTGTTCAGAAATGGCTATGCTATTATGTTAAACTGTGATAGTCACTCACTTCATATTTGCTTAGAGAGAACTGTCTGGCATACCATAATCTTGTCTTTGAGCTACTGAAGTCCAAATAACAGGATTCACCTGATGGAACAGAAATCACCTTTTTAAAAATATAAATGCTAAATAATAAAAAATGTAGATGAATTCTGAATAAAAATGTTTGACCTTCGTTTTTTTATTGTTAAAGCCACAGTATTGAAGAATCTAACCAAGGATCTGAGAATCTGAGCACACTTATTTGTGTGTTGTTTCAAGAAAACAACCATTCATTTGTGTTGTGTTTTATTTTCATTTGTTTATCTTGATTTATTATATATTTAATTATTTTATTAAAGCATATGATCATTGGTCATTTATATAATTATCATTATTTATTTTATTGATCATTACTTAATGATTTGATTAATATTGATTATTATTTATCATTTTATTATGTTTTTTTATATTCTATTACTACTATTTTCATATAAATATTGCTTTATTATTATTTCCTTTTGTCATATTGCTACTATCTAATGAGTGTGTGGATTCATTCTCTTCCCTGGCTCCGAGGCTCTGGAACTCTCTCTGATTTTGGCCTGTGCCTTTAAATGAAAATAAGCTGGTTGTTCCTTCCCACTCAAATGACATTTCTCTTTAGAGACGGATAACCAGAGTCAAATCTTAAGATAAGCACAACAAACTGACAACTCAAAGACGATAAAACAGAGACTCAGTGTCACAAATACCACAGTAAGGTAGCAAACTACACAGATATGCGGTTACCATGTTCGCACGCACACGTTTAACATGTTGAGCTGTTTTTGCGCATCTACTCTGGGCAAATCTGACAGGATCCCCACAAAATAGGTAAACGAATATGCTGCTGTATAGAGATGCATTAAAGTTAAGTTATTGTACAAAATAAACCTGGTTTAACGTCTATGAAACCAGGAGTCCTGTTGTGTGATTGAAGTATCCTCATTTATAGTTGTGTACACTAAGCAGCTGTGCTGATTCCAGAGGCTATGAATTACGTTGTTTAGACATATTATTTCTGAAAACGAGACCATATTTTTTACTTGTCTAGAAAATCCTTCCCGATTTAGGAATTTTTGGATATTTGGACTAAAAACAAAACCAAAACTCAAAGTAAAAAATAATTTTTTATAAAAAATAAAAAAAAAACACGGAAACACCAAATGTTTTTTAATATGTCATGTATTTTAACAGACTGCACACAGCAGCATTATAGCAGAACGTTAAAATGTATTTAGTTTGATAAAACAGCACTGCTGCTTCCTCATTTGATCATGACCAGAAGAACCGAAAGAGGTGAAAAGCTCTATTATAAGAAAAAGACTATTTTTAATTATTTATAATGAAAGTCTAGTTTTGGACCGCTGACTACTAAATCTTCACTGACGTCCCAAATTTAGCCTAGTTTTAGCCTAAACATCTATGTTTAGACATCTATTAGACATAAATAAAAAAAACTTTAGCAACAATATCAGCAACAGTCAGCATTTTTCAGTGCAGTGTGAATCTTCCTTAAGATTCCCAAATTCCCAAATAATAAACATGTACTCGTTTTAAACAAGTTTGAGATAACCCTGTTTGAGTTTCTTTCTTCTATTGAACATAAAATATGATATTTTGAAGAAAGCCGAAAACCTGTAACCATTGACACCCATAGTAGGAAAAAACAATTACTATGCAAGTCAATGGTTACAGGTTTCCAGATTTCTGCAAAATATCTTCTCTTGTGTTAAACAGAAGAAACTCAAACAGGTCTGGAACAAGTGAAGGCTAAGTAAATGAAGACAGAGTTCTCAGTTTTGGGTGAACTGTCCCTTTAAGATTTGTGCTCTGTGGCATTATATATTGTGTAGAGGATCTTACCTGGCCAACACGTTCCTTCAAAATCAAAGCCTTCTCTGTTCTTCACAAAATGGCCTCCTTTCTTAGCTTCACAGTAAATTGACCAATCGGGATCCATCTTGATGTGTGGGTCACTGATAACAACCAGCTAAACAAATACTATAATTAATTTAATAGAATTAAATATTAAAGCAGTGTTTCTCAACCACGATCCTGGAGGACCACCAACACTGCATGTTTTGGATGTCTCCTTTGTCTGATACACCCATTACAGGTCTTTCAGTCTCTGCTAATGAGCTGATGATCTGAATCAGGTTTGTTTGGTTAAGAAGACTTGGAAAATGTGCAGAGCTGGTGGTCCTCCAGGACTGTGGTTGAGAAACACTGTATTAAACAACTATACTGGTTATCTTACATAATCCACTACTATACCTTTCTTTTCTTCTTCATGAGATGATGCTGAAGTTCTGCTGGATTTGGGAAACGCTTGGAGTCCCAGGTGAAATAGCGCTTTCCATCGGTGTGCTCGATGTCCAGCCAAATGACATCATACGGGATACCGTGGAGGTCAAATCCAGCATCCACCGCTTTTACATCAGCCTCGTCCTCGTAGTTCCAGCGGCATTGGTGATTACCCAAGGAGAAGAGCGGAGGAAGAGCCTGATAGCCTGTTGGCAAATAAACAATAAATGAAATTCTATATATATTTATAATGAATTTTTTTGCAATAAGTATGCGTGACGGCATCAGTGTTGGGGAAAGTTACTTTAAAAAATAAAGCATTACAATATTGAGTCACTCCCCCAAAAAGTAGCTAGTTACATTACTTAGTTACTTTTTATAGTAAGTAATGCATTGTTACTTTTGAGTTACTTTTTATTATCTTTACTGAGGCTTGATCTCTTTCAGAACTTGATTTTTTTATTAAAGGAGATCTGCAATTAAAAACACAATGGCTGCATCTGAAACCGCATACTTCCATACTATATAGTACGCTAAAATCAGTATGCGAGTTGAGTAGTATGTCCGAATTCACAGAATTCGAAAATCCGTATGCGTGAAGTACCCAGATGGCTTACTACTTCGGGCGAGATTCCATGCACGCTGCGCTATCCCATGATGCTCCACGAAATAATTTATGAATGGGAGCGAAGCGACACAACTGACGCAGGTGGGACACATGACCATTACAAAATGGCGGATGTAGTAGGCCCAAATTCCATTCATACTTTTCACATTCATACTGTATAGAACGTACTTTTCTAATGGCCGTGTAGTACATTTAAATTCAAATGCAGTACCTACTGAGTAGTGGGCGGTTTCGGGCGCAGCCATTGTATAGCCTACACCTACATTTCCCTATAAAAAACACGCAAAAAATAACATATTAGTATAATATTATCTGAAAACTTCCCTTTTCATTTTCTTTAATAGGTTTAAAATAATGAACACATTCTCTCATTAACTGCGGGACTACTTTAATTTTAATTCAGCAATTTATTTTTCAAAATCTGACACGATGCCCACAAAATAGGTAAACGAATATGCTGCTTAATAGAGATGCATTAAAGTTAAGTTACTGTACAAAATAATCCTGGTTTAACATCTAAAAACCAGTGCTGTTGTGTGATTAAAGCATCCTCATTTATAGTTGTGTCCACTAAGCAGCTGTGCTGATTCCAGCAGCTATTTTACTGAGGCTTGATCTTTTTCAGAACTTGATCTCTTTCTTTCTTTTTTTATTAGAGGAGATCTGCAATTAACACACTGTATAGCCTAAACCTACATTTACCTTTAAAAAATATTAATATTAAAATATTTTAGGATAATGTTATCTGAGAACTTCCCTTTTCCTTTTCTTTAATATGTTCAAAATAATGAAGGCTTAGAACTATTTAACAATGTCGTCACTGTCAACGCAAACGAACTGGAAACTTACTTTTGGTTTATTTGTGTTGATTTTAAGTGACGTGACAGGCGGGTGCAGGTGTCGATTGTAAATGACGTCACTTGCATAGGAAGTGTGGGTGCCTGAGCATGCAAGCCCGAGAGTGCAAGCCTGAAGAACAAGTGCATCTCTGCAGCCAGACCCTTCTCAATGCGCTACACCCAACACCGGCCAGCATACAGTATGTAACCTTAATAGTAGGTAAACGGTCTTGTGCAATACCTGTTATTTTACCTTGACATTTTTTTTTTATTTTCATGATTTTTTTATTTTTATTTTAAGCAACACAAAATCGATTTAAACTGGCCAATCTTGCTCTTCACTATTCTCAGCTTCTTTGGAAAACATTTTTGTCAGTGCTTTTTTGTTTGAATTGAATGGCATGTCATTGTTGTGACCAATACTGACCAGGGGCCTCATGTATCAACCAGGTTTCACGCTCAGAATCGCTCACGTTTGGATTTACTAACGAAGAACTGAACGTGGGAATGTGCGCATCTCCACGGCAGCTTTATGGCTGGCGTACGCACATTTTTTGTGCGTGTCTGTTTTTTTTCCATTGGCAACTCCTAGAGGCAGTTGTGTTAAAGTGCACTCTACAAAGTGTCTTCTCAGCTGTATAAAACGGGTTCATCCGCATGTCTAGTATATAAGGTTTCCATACCATACAGTTGACCATCCAAACATTACTGTACATTACTGTAATAATACAACTGTGTTAACTCCATCAGCTAAACTCTCCCACTATAAAAAAAAACTCTCCCCACTCTATTTTTTTATTTTGTTATTAATTCCAGAAGACAAACCTGCAAATAAAACAGTTTTTCTCCGGTCTACCTCCGAAAGCAGCACCTTCAATTCACATTCTGTTCAAAGTTTCTCTTCTTGCTTGCTTTTGCCATTGCTTTTTTGTTGGGTTTTGCCAAAGTAGAGTCATTAGCATATTCATACAGGGGAGGAGGCAGGGAGGGGTTTTGTGCTCGTGCATGTTGCGCTCAGTTTCACGTTCATTCTGATGTACAAAAGAATATACGTGGGATTCGGCGTACGCAGTGTTTCATACATCTGAATTTTTTTCTGCGTACGCACATTCACAGCTTTGTGCGTACGCAATGTTTTAGTCTGATTTCCACGCAAGTCTTCGTACATGAGGCCCCTGGAGTCTCATTTGTAAAACTTTGTACCATAACCTTCCTAAAAGTGATTGTACGCCAATTCTTTTAAATAATTTATTAAGGATTACGGCTTATATGATGATTTAAATTGTTTTTAAGTAAATATTTAAGGTTAATGTGTTTACGTTCAGTTTAGTTTTTGTTTGTTTTAGGATCAAACCTTTGCATGGGAATTGGCGTACACACATTTCCATACATATTTTGTGCGTATGCCCCTGTCACGGTCACAAAAGGAAGACAAAGATGGTTATATCTTTAAGGGCATTAATTAGTGCACTGCAACAGATGCAGAGAGATGAAGCAGGTAAGTGGTGAAGCAGAGAGAGAGCGATCTCGTACACAGTTCATATGGCAAGTATCAGATCTTCAGTCAAACACCATTTAAGCTTAGTCTTTTCCCTTTAGCAGTTGTGTTCGTATCCACAGGTGAATACAGACATCCACAAAAGAATACGAGAGGAAGAGAGCCGATGAGAGAACTTTACGTTGGGGTACGGTCCCCCCGCCCACCCATATTGATTGACAGCTGCGAGTATTAACATGTCTCTGTAGTAATGCATATAATCATATCGACAAGACAAGACAGCGCAAAGCAACCGGGAATAAAAGGTCTGTTCAATTTGCTAGGATCATCAATCAAACGTGATCAAGAGTGAGTTTTACAAGTTTAACATGTTTTAAAATGTGTGTAATGAAGTACAGCGATTCACTTTAGATTCACTTCATCAGCACAGCCGCATGTCTCTCTCACTGTCTTAGTGTGTGTGTGTGTGTGTCTGTACTATGTATGTGTGTGTGTGTCTGCGTGTCTACGCTACGTGTCTGTGCTATGTGTGTGTGTGTGTGTCTGCGTGTCTACGCTATGTATGTGTGTGTGTGTCTGTGCTACGTGTCTGTGCTATGTGTGTGTGTGTGTCTGCGTGTCTACGCTATGTATGTGTGTGTGTGTGTGTCTGCGCTACGTGTCTGTGCTATGTGTGTGTGTCTACGTGTCTACGCTATGTATGTGTGTGCGTGTGTCTGCGCTACGTGTCTGTGCTATGTGTGTGTGTCTGCGTGTCTATGAAATGTATGTGTGTGTGTGTCTGCGCTACGTGTCTGTGCTCTATGTGTGTGTCCACGTGTCTACGCTATGTATGTGTGTGTGTGTGTGTGTGTCTGCGCTACGTGTCTGTGCTATGTGTGTGTGTGTGTGTCTGCGTGTCTACACTATGTATGTGTGTGTGTGTCTGCGCTACGTGTCTGTGCTATGTGTGTGTGTCTGCGTGTCTATGATATGTATGTGTGTGTGTGTCTGCGCTACGTGTCTGTGCTATGTGTGTGTGTCTGCGTGTCTACGCTATGTATGTGTGTGTGTCTGCACTACGTGTCTGTGCTATGTGTGTGTGTCTGCGTGTCTATGATATGTATGTGTGTGTGTGTGTGTCTGTGCTACGTGTCTGTGCTATGTGTGTGTGTCTGCGTGTCTACGCTATGTATGTGTGTGTGTCTGCGCTACGTGTCTGTGCTATGTGTGTGTGTCTGCGTGTCTACGCTATGTATGTGTGTGTGTCTGCACTACGTGTCTGTGCTATGTGTGTGTGTCTGCGTGTCTATGATATGTATGTGTGTGTGTGTGTCTGTGCTACGTGTCTGTGCTATGTGTGTGTGTCTGCGTGTCTACGCTATGTATGTGTGTGTGTCTGTGCTACGTGTCTGTACTATGTGTTTGTGTGTGTGTCTGCGTGTCTACACTATGTATGTGTGTGTGTGTCTGCGCTACGTGTCTGTGCTATGTGTGTGTGTGTGTGTGTGTGTGTGTGTGTGTGTGTGTGTGTGTGTGTGTGTGTCTGCGCTGTGTGTGCGTGAACTCATTGTTGCAACTCCACAAAAAAAATGCATCAAATACTGATGGTAAAGTTCTTACTGTAGTATTTTTCACAAACATTACATGAGATCTGCTTCCTGAGGCAGCCGAAGGCGACGATTGAGGCATGTTGCTGACAGGCACGTGGGAATGGTGGGCGAGGATGACTAGCCTTAAAGGCCCAGTGCAAAAAAAAAAGCAACAACCTTTTCCCAGCTATAATACAGACACTTTAAACAGTTATAATAAATACTCTGATGGGTGTTTTGAGGTGAAACTTTACAGACACATTCTGGGGACACAAAAGACTTATAATAAATATGAAAAAAGGGGTAACCTATGTGCCCTTTAAACAAAAAAGGAAAGAATGATGCTCTTTAATGTGTTTTCAGAGTTTTTAATAACTGTTAACAATAATTTGGGTAATGGAACAAACCTGTTAGCTGAGCATACTGAGAGAACACCTGGGCAGGTGTGGGTCCCAGCAAAATGAAGCAGTCGATGGTGCCGCTCTCTGATATCCATCTCACATCAGTCCGAGGTGAGATTCTGCTTTTTTTCCCTGGTGGTTCATCCTCATCCTGCTCAGATAAAAACAAAATACACAAATAAATCAACTGAAACAATACACATAATGAAAAGGGAGGTTTTTTTCATTTAATATCTTATTCAGTTTATGCAAATTTATTTAGACTGTTCTACAGAAGCCAATTTTCATCAGGGAATAAACAAAGTAATTGTGACTTCTGAGACATTAACTCAGACTTATTTTTCGTTTTTGCAGTTCTCTATGTGATCCTCAAGTTCATTATCAAAGGGATAGTTCATCCAAAAATGAAAATTATCAAGAAAAACTAGCAGAGGTTCAAAACTGTGAGTTTTTTTTTAAATTGATAAAAGCTGAAAACAAGTAACCACTGACATAGTGTCCCGATCACCAGCGATCTAACCATTATAGATCGCTGGAGAACATTCACCGCCACACAGACTACAATCCTGTCTCATTAAGAACTACAAATCCTGTCATGCACCACACACACACAACTGATTTAGTTCTCCTCTGATTACACGCACACAGCCGGGAGCTGCTTAAGGACTGATTACATAGACCTTATATACAGCACACACACACAGACTTTGCTGAGTCGTGTTGGTTTCTAACCCTGTAACATACAAGGGGTGGTCCAGATTGTATTTTTAGCCTTGGATTTGTTTATAAGATGCAAAGCAATGTGTGTGCATGCTTTATTTGTAAAAAAGGATTATATAAAAATTATATAAAAAGGTTATTTTTTTCATGTATCCTACTCAAGCGGCAACCTCCCGCTCTCAATCAGGAAGCCAATACGGAAGTAACTAAACCGTTTCCCATGTGAGTAAAGTTATATACTTATATACCATCTCTATACATGTATTTGTTTTATTTAAGATCATTTATCGTTTATATTTATATTTAGAGCTGTAATACACTTCAGAATCTGTCAGATTGATTAGCTGTAGGCTCTAGAACAGTCATCTGAAGTGTTGTCATACAGTGTTATGCTGGATTACATCAATAATCTTACATTAACTAACACAGACTATATCTGAAGTGTTTGGAAGTAATTCGCGTTTTCCTCCTGTTAAAAAACATCATAAGAACAATGTTTAGTGGCTCAATGTGTTACAGCAGTGTTTTTAAAAGTCTAAACACTTTATTGATATAGTATACAACCAAGCACAAGTGGTCAGAATACAAACGAGTCGCAGGTGATAAAGTATTGAGCGTTCTCCCAAAGTAAAGTGTGTCTGAACCAGGTCCAAGCTAAATGCCAGCAGATGTCTGTAGCTCCGCTCACTCTCCGCCTCTTTGCCCTTGTTTGGTATCCCGCTATGGGTGTGATGACGCCTGAACAAAATGGTGACGGTTAACCGCGCCTACTTGTGGCTTCTTTTGCGCTCTTTAGAAACCTATGGGTGACGTCACGGATACTACGTCCATATATTTTACAGTCTATGATCCTACTTTGAATATACAGCTACTCAGCTAACATGAAAACGACTGTGATATTTCCTAGTTCCTCTGAAGACCCGCCCTAAAGAGGCTCTGATTTGTGATTTAACATAATGTGCTGTGATTCGCAGATCAGCTTAACATAACCAAGAAGTGTCTCAGTTATAACATAAGAGCACCTCTGGCTACGCCCCTTCACTACGCAGGGTGTATGTGCGTAACTTTAAGGCTTTATGACATCATTAACCCGGATCTATTTTTTTGTAGTCCCCAAACTTCATTCTCTGTAGGCTTTGCTAAGCTAACTCTATAAAAGCCAATGTCTCCCTTTGCATTGAACTTTGAGCATATTAAATTCAGAGGTGTTGTTTATGTTCACACAGCTACATTACACATCAACTAAAGTTTAAAATATGCTATCGTAGTGGACCACCCCTTCAAAAAAGCATTTCCTGTTTTATTCTCTCTGTTTTTTGACCCTTGCTTTGTTTTATTGTTTATCCTGCCTGCCGCCTGTGCCCACCACTCGCCTGTTTTTGACTACGATATTTGATAACCTGCTACTGCTTGCTCTGGTGTTAGACCATTGCCTGCATGCCTCTTCTTTGTAAATAAAACTGTACGTGGATCCCCAAATCCATTGTCAGCGTCTGTATGTAACACATAGTAAGAAAAAAACAAACACCGTGAAAGTCAATAGTTGCAGGATTTTTCAAAAGAATTTGTTTTTATGTTCAACAGATCAAAGAACCCAAAACAGGTTTGGAACAAGTGAGAGATAAGTGCTGTAAATTTTTAAGTGAACTATCCCCTTTAATTGCTATCTCGCAACTCTAAAATGCATCTAGCAATTCTGATTTTATTCAGAATTGCAAAACCCAAATGTTAAGTTAAAAAGAAAACACTGTGATATGTCAAACTGCAATTTCAAGCTCATAAATCAAAGCCATATTCAATTGTATAAACAAGAAAAGATCAAAAGGGTCAAATAATTATTTCGTTTTAATGCAAGCTTCCATGTTAATCAACTATTATTTAAATATCAAGTAAAACTTTGCAGCGTGTAATTTCTGTACCCCCACTGACACCAAACTGCACCTCATTTTGCTCAGTGTTGTACTTGACATCAACCAGAGTCTCAGATGAGTTCAACCAAAACACTCCAGCTGTCCTTTCTGGCTTGTGAGCGAGCAAAAGAGGGACAGAACCATAAAGGCCCAATCTGCTGTTGATCTCATAGCCAAACACATCCAAGTTGTACAGCCGATACGCTTCAGAGACACTGAGAAGTAAAACGAGACACTGGGTTTGACTATTCTATTCAAATTTTCTTACGTATTAAATCCTCAACCACATCAGATACTTTATGAAGTGCACTACTGTACCTTGTATCCTTCAACAGCAGGGTATCAGCATGTTCGGGAACACCATATGTATGGTTGAACCCATGTAGACTTAAGTCCAGACCAACAGAACTAGGACCTGAAATTGAAAGGCACAGTATGTAAATTTTGTCACTAGAGGGCGCGTATTCACAACAAACAAAGATGTGTTTTAATGACGATTTGACCGAATGTGGAATCATCAACATGGCCTCATTCTTAAAACGTAGCTCTATATACATTTCTAGGGATCACAAATTATGTAGCCGGAGGAATGTCTTTATAACAAACACAACGATGCTGTTACTTTTCACGCTGGCCAGTGCTAACCATTATATAATTGTACTAAGGTGCTAACCCTAACCCCCGAGTGGATGACTTTCAAGGATACTCAAAGGCGTAGTTGACCGTGATGACAGGTCCGGCGAAAAGCGGTTTCAGAAAGTAGCTAAGACGAAAAACAAAAGCCAAAAAATTAAAGTAAAAAGTAAATAACAGGGTAAGAATGTGGTCAAATGTGAAAATGTGGTAAAAATCCAGCTGCTGGGAGGGCTTTTCCTTTTCTGGATTGCTTTTGAAAACACTGTTTGTTGGGTTTAGGGAGGTGGGTGGGCGCTGGTCAATCTGTGTTTTTTTAAAACACTATCGGTTGGGTTTAGGGAAGGAGGAGGGTGGATCAGTCGATTGATCAGTCAGTACATCTGTCGACAGCGGCATCTGGTAGATTTACGTGAGAACAGCAGGCGCAAATGGCACTCGCGAGAGAAATTTGAGCTCTCGAAAAGCATACACAGCAGCCTCTTGCATTCGCAAAAACAAAAACTGCAAAAAAAAAAAAAAATGTAGCTCCTGGGACGTATTTGGTGCTCTCCAGAAATGTATATAGGGGTAAATAATCAGAACGAGCCTGGGTTGAAAATCAAGGTCATCATTTAATCCTACGGGGCTTCAGTAGAAATGCTAAAGCAATTGCTAAAGCAATTGCTAAAGCAAAAGAGTGTGAAGCAGCGTGAAAGAGTAATGCCCCATTCACATGGGGCGTCAGCGTCAATGCTTCCCAGTCACTTTGAATTGCCGAACTGCATTGTGGATTAGTCGGCGCCGCTTCAGAGGCGCTGCTCGCTGCAAAAGTTGGGACTAGCTCAACTTTTCAAGCGCCGAAGGAAGCGTCAGCCAATCAGATTGCTGTATGCAAATACACCAGCTAGACAGTGGCCTATTGCTGACTGAATTTCATTGGCTGACGCTGCTATGACGATCGCGTTAGCCCAAACTTCAGACACGCCTTCAGTCAAGCGTTGACGCTGAAGCCCAGTGTGAATCCAGAGTGAAGGACCCATGTGAAGATGAAGCTGCAGGCCCGGAGACACGCTCAGACCTGCACTTTCAGACCTATCATTTTCTCAGACAGTGCTGAATGCTGTTGAACTGAGTGTAGCGGCACTTTCTAGCAAGTAGCAACATCAGACATGCGAGTAAAGTTATTGATTTTATTAAAGCGATAATTACACTACAAACAATTATTTCAGTGTTTGATTTGATTAAAATTAGTGTCAAAAGATAGCATTATTTTATGATAATAACAACTTGCTCTTATTTTCAGTGTTATTGTATCATTCTGGGACAATTTTCTTGCAATGTTTTCTGGCAAAATAAAAAAAAACTTTAAAGTACAAATGTTCAAAAAAAATGTATAATATATAACACAATCATTATTTGTAACATATTCTAGTGCTATGTAGGTCTACTGTACATATTACTCTATTATCTATTTGAAAGTGCTGCCAAAGACAATAACAGGAAACCATTAACAGTTTAACAGTTGTTAATAAGTTCTGTAATAATTACAAATACGTTTTTTGGAAATCAAAATATCAGTCAGTCTGCATATAATTTACAATATGAAAAAAATTATTAATCCAATTATTATTTTTCATTATTTTTCTCTGCATTGTTTACAGCTTGACTTGTAGGACCTCATGAAAAAGTGCCCAAAAATTAAAGTTTGTTGTGAGAAAATTACTCCGAGTACTATAACTTATTGTATGTGAAGAAATTTATTGTATATGAAGATAATATTCATTCCCTCAACTCAATACTACACAGTGATAAATCCTTAATGACTAAAAAAACAATAAACGACTGAAAATATTGAAGTAACTGAACAATATCTATTTACAAATACAATTAATAACAATACAACAGAATTAATGGATTAAATCAACATTTTATAGTAGAAAAATAGTTTAAGTTACATTTTATAAGTAGCTGAATTCAGGTTAGTAGATCTTTTAAACAGCAGGTGATATGAGGTGCCGTGTAGGATTTAAATCGATCTTCGCTTATCAACACTCACATAAAACACATGAATATACACCTATAAATTACTCGCATATACACCTATACTACTGGATGTTCAAAACAACACAGATGAAACTTGTGTATTTACATATAAACTTGACTTATGCATACACCCACATACACACGCACATACAGGTAAACTCGATCCTCACATAAAGCACCTCATAAGGTGACACAACCTGAAAAAACAGTCTGGACGTGCAGGTCTAGCCATCTGAGCGTGCAGGTCTGAGTGTGCGGTTGGGTCCCCAGGCCTGCAGCTTCATAATGTTAGCGTGAAAGCAGGCAGCAGAGCTTTTATTTTGCTCAGTCGACCGATTCTTTTGGATGCGATCACAACTAAATAGGGTATATGCTAAGCTAGTGTTTTTCCCGTACTGATAAACTTCCAGTGACCTGTTATTGTGAACTTTTTTCCATTTTATACTGTTCCTTGTACAGCATCGATGTTGTAATGTCATTAAAATACAAACTTTGGCATTCATTTAGTTGCTCAAGCGTAAAACGAGACAAAAAGCTGTTTACTCGCACGCGCCAGTCAGAATTGGCAGGCTAGCGCAGAAGCTGCATTGAATATACTGGGGTAAAATAAATGCTCATATTACAAAGACATGGCGGGGGAAAATGTAATTTAATGCAGTGCTTCTTGTACAATCTAAGACCCACTTTATATTGGATATCACTCAGCTAGTGGAGATCGCTGATTTTTAAAGAAAACAGACCTTAAAGGCCGTTTTTGCATTGGCATACAGTTCACCGGAAGCGCTTAACCCAGGTTACTGGCAAATTAAAAGTCCCATTAGCATGCTTCGCCATATACCCTATTATCATACTATGATAATACTATGATCATACATACTATTATAATACATATTATCATCAGCTCATCTCAAAGGGCAACTAGGTTACCCCCTTTTTTCAGATTTATTATGAATCATTTTTGTCTCCAGTATGTGTCTGTAAAGTTTCAGCTTAAAACACCCATCAGATTTTTTATTATACCTTTTATAAGATTCTGTTTTATACATTTTTGCACTGGGTGGCGGTTTTGTTGTACTGCGCCTTTAAGGCGAGTCCTCCCTGCCCACCGTTTCTACATGCCTTTCTGCATGCCTTAATCTCCTCCCTCGGCTGATTCAGACAACAAACAGACAGAAAGGAAGCAGACCTCACGTAGCGTTTGTGAGAAACAGGGTATCTGCACATTTTTTAACAGGAAATTTAAGACCTTTTAAGACCTTTTTAAGTCCTCTAAAATGAAAATTTAAGACTTTACCTAATCAAAAAAAAAAAAAAAAAAAAAACAGGAAAATGTTCAGTGTGTCAACACAGAATGATGTGGTGAAGTATGGCGGCAAATCTATGGCGGCAAATCAATGCCAATATAAATCGAGCGCAGCGGTGATGTTTGCGCGCGAGGAGAAGTGAACCGTGAGCAGATTACTTGGTTGACTTGGTTTACTTGTTATCTCTAACGCTATTGGCTACTCTGCCTTTCCGGAAGTTAGCCGGGATTGGACGCAGGTTAAAAGATCACGCCGTTAAATATATATACAATTTGCAAGTCATAATCATAAGAAACTTTCTGAGAACTTTATGAGGATTCAATCTCGAGAAACAGTCAAATAATAAAAATTAATCTTCTAAAATAATGACTTGCATTCTTGTAACATGACTTTCTGAACCCATTTGATTTGTCCGTGCAGCACTTGTCTGGTTTGTTGTATTTTACTTCATTATTAACCACAACAGCAGTGCTCATTATTACACTTGGGCATGATCTTTCTAGGAAATATTGTCTTCAGAAGAGTTTATTTGCGTTTTAGATCTTTCCATACAATGCATACTTTGTGCAGTGCAGCTTTGTATATTATTATAATTGTTAACATTGTTTGTAATATAGGTCAGTGTAAAATATATATATATCTATATATTATATATATTTTTCAATCTCATTTTTAGTTAATGATTGAATAACCTGCATATAAAGACTTCAATCAAAAATGATTAGCCCAATTAAACATAAAAAATACAGTGACAGACATTCAGATGTGTGTTTATCGCCAACTATTGAGCAACAATTTAATTTCTACAGTCTTCGTTTGGCTTTACTCACTATCCATTACATCATTCCACTTCAGAGGCATACAAATACTACTTTCTATACGACAGGCCCACATCTTAAAGGTCACATATGCAGTTGAAGTCAAAATTAGTAGCCCACTTTTTTCTTGTTTTATTTCGGCAAGAATAAAAGCTGTTTTAATTTTTTAAAACCCATTTTAAGGTCCATATTATTACTCTCTTTAAGCTATTTATTTTTTCGAAAGTCTACAGAACAAACCATCGTTATACAATAACTTGCCCAATTACCCTAACCTGCCTAGTTAACCAAGTGAAGCCTTTAAATGTCACTTTAAGCTGTATAGAAGTGTCTTGAAGAATATAGTCAAATATTATTTACTGTCATCATGGCAAAGTTTAAATAAATCAGTTATTAGAAATGAGTTATTAAAACTATAATGGTTAGAAATGTGTTGAAAAAAATCTTCTCTCCGTTAAATAAAAATTAGGATAAAAATAAACAGGGGGCTAATAATTCAGGCGGGCTAATAATTCTGACTTTAACTGTAAAGTGGAATAACAGACTAATGGCAATATATTTACTATAAACCTTTGTACTTTATGCACTGCATGCATGTATAGCCTATTTTGTATACTATTGTCCATCCAATTTAT